GTTAGTGAACCCAACCAAACTAAACAAACTAGTTAGGATTAAACTTAGCTTGTATGAGACCTTTTTCATTTATACATTGTCAACCAAATGTTTTTTTTGGCGGGAACCCTTTTTTATTGGTATTACTATCACCCCCTTCATAAAAATTCTCCCTCCACAAAAAACTCACTCCTCCACCGAATGTGTCTCCATCTACTGAAACTCTCTCCTCCACAGAAACTCTCTCCCCCCATTTAATGGATTTACTAACCAAGTTTGATGTGAGCGTAATAAACACCCCTCCAAACAAAGACCGCCTTCGAAACGCAAGTGAGTCACCAGACAAGCAATGTCACTTTCCTAGACAGAATGACCATTTTGTTGGAAGTTTTGAGTCTGAAAGAGTTCTTGCTTTCTGGAAGGAGAGGCATCTTCAACTTGGTGATGAAATCCAAAGGGCAAGGGTACGTTTGGAATTTGTTGAAGGCCAAATTGAAGATGACAAAAGGCAGGCCAATCTGGATAGGGCGAAGTTGCAGCGCATGAAGCGTAGACACAAACGACTTCGGAGTGTAGCTGTTCAAAATACAAGAACTCATCTAATGCAAAGGAGTCAAAGAAGCGTGTGATGCAAGCTGGATTCGACTACTTCCGGTCCTATGCAAAACTCGTCGTACCCGGGTTTGATTGGTCATCTATTACCGTTTCCGACGTTAACAAATATACTCAGCAAGGGAAGTGACCATTTTGGTTATCGTGTTTGAGTAGAGGCAAATCAGAGGAACTGGAATTTTCGTTAAGCTCTGCTTCAAACCTATTTTGATGCTTACTACTATAGAAGATTTCAACCTTCATATTTTCATGTCTTTAATTACGATAACACGATGCAAAGTGCCCATCTACTTCAGTCATATGTTGCTGCCATGTCCATTTTTTGTGATCACGTATCAGATTTGGACATGGTTGCATCATATGCAATGTTGCCTTTATGTATTATATGTTAGGGTAAGGTTTATGGAAAAGCATGTGTGACTGGTTTTGTGACAAGGTTATGGCATTATTTTGTACCAGTTATATATTGTTTTTTGTACTGGTTCATCTCCTACTATTGCTTTATTTCTTTATATTATATGTTTATGCGATTGGACATGATAGAAATATATTACTGATTCCCAATGCGGCGTCATAAGGACAACTTATTGAATACCGCCGACGTGTTGAAAACTCTAGGTGCAGGTGCATATGGACAACTTATTGACTATATCTGACGTCTTCAAAGCTCTAGGCGCATGCGCAGTTCCAATTATGGCTTCCAAGTAGTGGTGCATTTATTATATATGTACATTATTATAACCAAAACAGATAATTTTACATCCTTATATATGAAAGGAAACTAATTCTTGTATTAGTACAAATTATATAACGAATATTAAGGAAATATACTTGTTAAAGTGAACAACATATATACTTAGGGTTAAGAGGAAAGTGAGTTATGTAAATCATTTTTGAATTTTTAATTGCGAAATGGATGATCTATGGGTTCCCCTCGTTTTATAACGTCACACGGAGGCCGGAGTATTTTTCGGGGCATTTTTAGGATTTTTCTACTATGTATTGCATTTTTTCAAAGATTTTTGCACTAAAAAAGCCAAAATAATTGCCAAATGGACACCTGGCGCGATCTCAGCCCCTCACCTTTCACCCCTTGACAGGTGTGCGTCAGTCAACATGGCCACATCCTTACCTTTTACCCTAAATTATTATTTTATGACTTTTTCTTAGAAAATTCATAACTAAATACACAAAAATCACAATAATGTTCCGAAAATTGCTACGACCTCATTGACACTCCATCTCCCTTGCTGAATTCCCCGATTAGTGGTTACGCATTTTAAAAAACAATTCCGAACATTAACGGGAGATGCTTGTTGAAGTAGGTTATTGAACTTAAAGTGAACAACATATATACTTAGGGTTAAGAGGAAAGTGAGTTATGTAAATCATTTTTGAATTTTTAATTGCGAAATGGATGATCTATGGGTTCCCCTCGTTTTATAACGTCACACGGAGGCCGGAGTATTTTTCGGGGCATTTTTAGGATTTTTCTACTATTTATTGCATTTTTTCAAAGATTTTTGCACAAAAAAAGCCAAAATAATTGCCACATGGACACCTGGCGCGATCTCAGCCCCTCACCTTTCACCCCTTGACAAGTGTGCATCAGTCAACATGGCCACATCCTTACCTTTTACCCTAAATTATTATTTTATGACTTTTTCTTAGAAAATTCATAACTAAATACACAAAAATCACAATAATGTTCCGAAAATTGCTACAACCTCATTCACACTCCATCTCCCTTGCTGAATTCCCCGATTAGTGGTTACGCATTTTAAAAAACAATTCCGAACATTAACGGGAGATGCTTGTTGAAGTAGGTTATTGAACTTAAAGTGAACAACATATATACTTAGGGTTAAGAGGAAAGTGAGTTATGTAAATCATTTTTGAATTTTTAATTGCGAAATGGATGATCTATGGGTTCCCCTCGTTTTATAACGTCACACGGAGGCCGGAGTATTTTTCGGGGCATTTTTAGGATTTTTCTACTATTTATTGCATTTTTTCAAAGATTTTTGCACAAAAAAGCCAAAATAATTGCCACATGGACACCTGGCGCGATCTCAGCCCCTCACCTTTCACCCCTTGACAAGTGTGCATCAGTCAACATGGCCACATCCTTACCTTTTACCCTAAATTATTATTTTATGACTTTTTCTTAGAAAATTCATAACTAAATACACAAAAATCACAATAATGTTCTGAAAATTGCTACAACCTCATTCACACTTCATCTTCCTCCTCAATTCCCTGTTTCATGGTTACGCTACATTAGTATTTTATTATTATTTATCCAAAATTATTTTTATTATTATTGTTATATTACTTGTTAGCTTGTACATTTGTTAATTATATTTACTCCAAATTTGTAATTTTATTTTTATTTTCCGTGTGAATAGACCATTTCTGGTGCTAATCAGTTTCTCTCTTCTTCAATTTGTTAATGTTTTTTCTTTTTTAGGTGTAAGGGATGTTTTCAAACATAAAATGGAAATATACAAGCCATCCATTCTACAACATCAGGAAATAATTATTCAAAGTCTTTAACTGTTCAAGTTTTGCTTAAGAAACGTGTAACCCAATCATTTGGGATATGCTAAGTGGGAAAATGTCATTCCCAAGAACCGGTGAAAAGACACATACTCACTTCATGCATGCGTTTTCGTTTACCAAATATTAAGATTGCAGTTGTACAAAATATCTGTGTCAGTAAAATGTCATTCTTAGCCGTCAATTATGTCAGTAATAATTCCACTATATAGCAAATATTATACATTTATATATAAACGGGCTAGGACAGCACAAACACCAGACAAAATAGATTAAAACATGAAATAGAAAACAACATGTGTAGAACATAGACACGCATAAAAACCGTAGAAACATACTCCAACTAATTATAAGGGTATGGATTCCCTGGCACAACATAGACACGCATCACCTTGAACCAAAAAACACTCTCACGGGGCCATTTGCATCGATTGCAACAAGTCCAGAAGGCAGGATTGATCTTTTCTTCACTAGGCCAGCCTGGAATAACAAAACACCAGTCGTTGTTGTTACAAGCGCTGCACTGATTGAACTTAATCTTCCCATAGTGAAACATATCTACGATATGTCTTCCAACAGAGAAAATTCCGCTTAATCGTCGTCTCAAAGCATCCCTGGTTCCTTTCATATCAATGTTGTTACGTTGATTCAAAGAACACAAGAATTCCAATGCATCCTCTTTTGACTGACCAATTCCGGACATGCCAAGTAGTCCAACTAGATATGACGCTTCCATATGGCCTGCCGTGGCTGCAACGCGCATCCCAGACAATGCTTCCACATTACCCTGCCTGAAAAACATGTCGAACGCTTCTCTAAATATCGCCTCAGGGTTCTGGCAAGCCCTGCATTGGTCCACGAAATGCCGGACCTGCTCTGCGGCATAGTACCAGTTAGGATGGTCTCGGTACTTTTCCATTGAAATTGTGTTCCACACTTGTGGAGTGTTTGCCAACGTATTGAACAATCGGCACACACATGCCATACGAAAGAGATCTTCCGATGAGTTGGTTGCCACGTATAACATCACTTTAAACCAAGCTAATTCCGGGATGAAGGCTTGAGGCACATCCGGATCGCGATGCTTCCTTCTCTTTCCTCCGACTGTAGTGTAATGTTTGGAATTCATTGAAATATTTTTGGAATGGAACGATTTGAGGACTGCAAGAGGGGAGAAATGAGAATATACGGGGTTTTGGGTTTGTTTTAGCCTCTGGTTGCACTGTTCTGAAAAGGTGTTTCCTTGGGGTTTTACCAAGTTGACACTTTTTAAAGAAACTGAACTCAACACCCAAAACATAAGACAGGCGAAGGGAAAACGTCATCAAAATGCAAAGGGAGTCAGACCGTCCAAAAGTCAATTAATAACCTATTTCCATAGCCATTGTTAGGCTTTTCCCGCCATTAAATTCATTGATACAAATGTGATGGATTACTGACTAGTGACAGAAGGTCCCATCAGATACTTTTTCATTTTCCCACACCACACTACCCCTATTAAATGACGGATTCTTATCCAACTAGTTGCCTTAATGCAATATAAAGAAAATAATATATTTAAAGCAGTGTCCCCTCAATTGTAAGATTAATTATTGTTTGTGAAATAGTATATCGCTTATCGGAGTAAAATGTGTCACAATTCTGACGGTACAGGTGTCCAGATCGTGACCAACCCACCCACACACAGAAAAGAAGGATATAATTCGATTTGGGCAGAGATGAGAGAGAGCTGAGTGAGAAGTTTAGGGTTATGACTTATGAGTGAAGGGGTATAACTCAGAAGGTATGAGTCCGAAGAGGTTTTAGTGAGAAGATCTGAGTGAGAAGAGGTACAAGTGATAAGATTCAACATGTCTTCGTCTTCATCTCCCGCTCAAACAAAGAGGTGTCAGTATTGTGGAGCGGCAATGGTGCTTCGGGTTTCAAAATCAGATAAAAATCGCGGGAAGGCATTTTGGAAGTGTCTAACCTCCTATGTAAGTTCTCATTTCCAGAATATGTATGTGGGTGAAAAAAAATCCTAGGTCTAACTCTGACAAATTATTTTGCATATATGATGCCTGCAATTAGGGAGCCACCAGCTGCAATGGATTCGAATGGGTTGATGTAACCTCCGCTGAAGCAGATCAGCAAGCTGACACGTATGATGCTACAGTGCTTAATATGCTGAAGTCCATTAAGGGACTTGGTATTAGTTTTATTAGTTGTATCAATTGTCATATTATTTGTTCTTTTAATGACCAATTAAGTGCACGGTTTCAAGGATTGTAAAAGTTCTCCCCAAAAACATGTTGCACGCACCACCAATGACTTTTCAAACTCAATTTGTAATTTTTGTTATGAAATAGGTGGATTAGCATTGAGTTTAAATTATTGTTTGAAACAAAAGCATTTACTTGTCAGAAACCCAGTAAAAACTTTCCTACAGTTACTTTACAAAAATAAAGTCAACGAAGACGATAAAAAGACAATACAGGGCCAATACGATGCAATAATAAACAATACCTTTTTTTAAGATTGCATAATTATTCAGTGTATAGATTGTTTATTGATTGTTTACTGCATGTAAATCGCATGATATTGACTGTTTATTGAAGGTTCATTAACTGCATGTATTTTCGCATGTTATTACTCCGATATTGAGTGTTTATTGAAGGTTTATTGATTGTTTACATGTTTCGTGAAGGTTCATGATTGTTAACTGCATGTATTTCACAGTTATTGAACCGATATTGAAGGTTTATTGAAAGTTGATTGAGTGTTTACTGCATGTATATCGCATGTTATTGCTCCAATATTGCAAGTTTATTGGGGGCAAAAGTAGGACTCCATTAGATTTAAGGGGGGAAACGGTCCTTATTCTTTGTTTTCGTAGGAAGAACAACTTAAGTAGAATTTCCTATTCAATACGACTTCCTTATGGTTGATGTAATTGGGGACTGATGTATATTGCATGTCTATTGCGTGTATATTTCATATCTATTGCGTGTATATTTGCTTGTCTGTTGCCTGTGTATGTTATTTATTTCCGTCGTAAGCAATACAAATCAATACAGACGCAAAAAATGTAAAGATATGCACGCAATAGACAAGCAATATAGACCCAACAGACATGCAATATAGACGCACCAATATACATTACTGTTATGTTACTCACTGCCCAAAACCAATAAATAAAGAAAATCAACCAATTTATTAACCGATTATAAAGGAGAGAGGGATTCAAACCCGAGGGGCAGTGCGGAACCAATAGGAGTTTTTAGAGCATTGCACCTGGGGACATTTTTCATGTGTTTCTATAAGGAGGGCATGGTTGAATAAAATATTGGAGGCGAGGCCATAGCAGCCTATTCCCCTTACAGAATTACCTTAAGATGCAACCCCTTGCGATTAAGTCAAGGCATGTTGAACGGCTTAAAGATTGGGATCTGATATTTGGAATGGTGGCTTGGATAAATGATACATCACTTTGCAATGATGTAATACACTTAAAAAGCCATCAGTCCGTATGTGAATATGCATTCTTCAAATCCAAATTCACATATGCAGTCTTCAAATCCCAATTCAATGCAGTTTGGTTGAGGTTAGGTAAATGTCGTGAAAGGAGTTAGGCCAATATTACACCGATGTTTGTTTCATTACATCAAAAAAAAATTACACTCCATGCACATTCTATGTATGGGAATGGCATGTGTCTAACTTCAAAAACGCATCTGCCTATCCATTTAGATTGCCCACGTGCAATAGATTTACAGATCCAGTTACTTTTCTCTCTCCAACCCTCAGCATCTCCATTTCAGAGTCTTCATTTTTCTATGCTCTGCAACCAGCTCCCATATACATTTTGCACAATATGAGAATAACATAGCGTAATATCACACTAATCAAAATGAAAGCATGCATCCGCTATAATATTTGCCACTATTTGGGTTCTAATTGTTATTGTCCAGTAACTTAAATCTAAATTTCTGTACACAAATACACTAAGATTGAGAAAGACGAAGAAGAATTCAGGAGCAGAGGTGGAATTCGAAAAGGACCCATGGGTCTCTATTGTGTATTTACATGACTTTGAAATTTGACATTCCCAAAACCCTATTTCATCATCATGTGCCTAAACCAAGTTCAAACCGATATCATGGCATGTAAGCATCCCCCTGCAATTTCTGCAGCCAACTTCAACCGAAAAATGGATGTTCTGCGAGGTGCAAGTAGCTAAGGAAATCTCAGCACTCAACAAGCTCAATGTACTTCAACACGAACATACCACAATCGCCTCTGAAGCAAAACAAGAACTCGATCAATTCAACTAATGACATTCTAACATAATTGACAAATTAATAAAATTAAATAAAAAGTTGTGCTCACTGATTAGCCTGTTGTGGAACATCCACACGATGTATTGGCCACGGACCCCCACACATCTCGGGTGCACTCGTTGCGGAAACACCTTCTTCATAAAAGTCGAGGGTGCAGAAGATTGGAATCGTAATTGACAGGGGGCCGAGTTTCCTTTAAGCTCTGATCTGGAATGAGTGAAACCATTGAATCGTAGACCTTGATTTCACACTGAATCAGATCAATCTCTAGAGCCACCCATGCTTATATTTTGGCAACATACAAGGGTACATACACCTTATACGTGTTCTGCCAATCCATCCACAAGCCCGGAACCTTGCCATTTACAACGTTCACTAAACTGGTTCTAATTTTCCACCCAACTTCTCTTTTTCCTTTTATTATCCGCAAAGCAAGTAGGATGTGATTCTGTGAAATAGAAAACAATCAATGGTTAAACAACTCCACAAAGCAAGTATGGATAATTTGTAATTATTAACTGCACTTGGTCAAGGCCTATGCCATACTGATGTAGCACAGCCCTGGGTGTGTGTTAGTTAAACACTTAGAGCAATAAGACATAAAGATAAGAAAAGCTGAAGGGAAGAAAAGGTAGAAGGCAGGCAGAAATCAGAGAGTTTAAAGGAATGTTTAATCAATATTCAAATCTGAATTGTAAGAACTACACAGGGGTATTTATAGCAAACTAAACCTAGAGAGAATAGAATTAAATCCCCAGGAAACAAACAGAAAATCCTATTCCTAAAAATAGGAAAAACTTAGAAATCCTAATAGGATTTGGAAAACTAACTTAGAAATCCTACTCGATTGGAAAACTAAAGAGATAGGAAACTAACCAATAAATTAGGAAACTAAACAATTTAGGTCCTATGCATCCTGCATCACATACCATAAAAATACATCGGTCGTTGTCCAATCCGATATTTTCTACTTCCTCCAACTTTGTTGTCGCTTCCGGTGAGATACAAGCCCAAATCAATGTGCTGCAATGTTTCCTTGTCAATCTAATATCTATGCACATTCAAACAAATGCATAATCAATTAAATTACATCTCCTTTCAGCCAGCGTCAGCTTTGACGAGGGAAGCGAAGAATTCAATCTCAGCTTCCACGTTGCCAAATTGCATCACCAAACTATGAATATAAAAAAGTTTTAGAACACAACAATTACAAAATATATACACTCATGCCTTCTATCTCAAAAAACAAAGGACTTACTGTGGGTTATGGCGCCATTCCGAACAAAGTTTCAGCAATTTCACCATATCATCATGCGGAATCGCCTTCATGGGTCTACGTCCGAAGTCCGGTTGTCTTTGGCAAATTTTTTTAACCACTTCACTAGCTTCAACGATCTCCACATAGGAATAATCCTCTTCCTCTCTCGTAATTGGACCCCTCGTTCCACACCTTGACCTTCACATTCAACCAAACGTTCAACTGAGATAACACAGCTCTAGGTTGATTCAAATCAATGTCCCCGACAGTAACCTCAACCTTTGTCCCCTCCGTGCTCTCGCCAATGTCATCGCCAACCAACATAACTTCATCATCCTCTTCCTCTCATTGGTTTCTTTGCACTTCCTTTTCGCACTTCTCTGTTTTTCACTGGCCTTCCTTTTTTTTTTTTTTTTTGGATCCTCTCCCTCACTGCTTTTCTTTGCAGTTCTTCCTCTCCCTCAATGCTCTTTCTTTGCGCTTCCTCTCCTTGCTGCTTTTATTTTCACTTGCTCTCACTCACTTCTTTTCCTTTGAGCTTCCTCTACCTCCCTGGTTTTCTTTGCACTTGGCACCTTCAATCCCCTCTCTTCCTTTCCTCTCCCTCATTCTCTTACTTGGCACTTCACCCCTTCAATCCCTCCTCTTCCTTTCTCTCCCTCACATTTGTCTTACTTGCCCCTTCACCCTTTCAATCCCCTCCTTCCTTGTCCTCTCCCTCATTCTGTTATTTGGCCCTTCACCCCCTTCAATGTCCTCCTCTCATTTGCCTCTCCTCATTTCTATTACTTGGCCCTTCATCCCATTGCATGCCATCCACTTCCTCATATCCCTTAAATAGATGTGACACGACACAACGATTCGTCCTCTCTTTCAGTAAAGCTATGTCCCTTCTCACTTCCTGCTCCAAAATGAGGACCTAAACAGTGGCCCAAAATTTTTTCCATCGTATGACCTTTAACTCAAGGACGTCCTTTTCCCGCTTTACTTGAAACAACTCGGACCTCAACAAGCTTACGCCTTGTTCAACTCATCAAGGTCAGCACAGAAGAAGGAATTGACTCTGCCGAGACAACAGCAGGGCGACCCTGTGGCCAAACTCCAATATGGTTGTCTCATTTCCTCTTCACTTGGACATAGCGCCCGCAACTGAACTGACTGTTTCAGAAAACAGACAAGAGTCATATGCAATCTTCTACTTCATAATTTCATGAATCTTATAAATAGTTCCAAGGGCTGCAAACCAAACCTCTTTGCTCTGGAAAAAATAATTGTTCAACTTTCTCATCTCGGGAACAGACGTAGTGTCTCCATCGCAAATACGCCGGGAGAGCTGTCGGATCAACAACCTTGCAGTAATTCGTCCACATTCTAGGAATTCTTCCTCATACCCACATTAACAATTCACAGGACACAAGTTGATTAAGTTTTAAAAGATTCAAAAACTAACGCGACTGAACTTATTACATGTACCTGGAAAGCATACGTGAAAACCTTTAAAACTCAGCCACCCCTTTGCACTTCACCATGGTTATCCTTCTTGCCCTTCTCATTTCTCGGCTTGTTCCGGTTACCTACATTTCCCCTTCCTCTTCCCTCTCATTTTCAAAGCTTTTCACATACTTTGTTGGTGCAGAAACCGACGTCTTGGGTTTTGTCAAACGACCGAACCATGGAAACCTGTTGAACGCATCCAAGCCTCTACAAGGGTCAGGTAATTTAGATTGATGTTCAAATGTTTGTCCCTTCCCAAAACCACTAACTCAGCAAAGTAAACAAGAGCTAGCTTGTAGACGTCATCTTCCTCTGTGCACCTCACAAATGCTTCTTCTAAAGCATTACATGTAATTCCTTCGTCTATAAAATATCTTTTTCTGAAGTCTAATTTCATCACTTTCTCCACTGGAAACTTCAGGCACTTCCCCAAAACGAAGCCCTGAGATCAAACAGAAATCCGACGAGTGAACTGAGCAACGTCGCACCCTATTAAGAAACTCAGTCCATCCAAGTCTTTCACACCCTGCCCGCTACTCTACGCAACACAACCCCATGCACAATCTGCCCGCTAAACTGAATCTTATCTATATTCAGAAGATGGCCAAAGCATGATGTCTTGAATTGTTCTAATTGTTCGGCACTCAACTTCGCTCGAATTACAGCTAGGGATGAATTTGCATGTGAGCAGTTGTTCACCGTGAGGAATATGCCTCTGACTCTGGCCATACCAGCTCAACGTTGGATCCCATTTCCTGAAATACAAGATGAAATAACGTGAACACATATACTACCACGTATTTGCACAATCACATTGGTATTTACACAACTAGTCAACCAGCACATTACAAATTTTACAAAGTACATGCGCATAGGGATTACTGATCACAGGCTTTAACATCATCAAAGCAATATGACATATTTTGTGCAAATACCTGTTAATGCAATGATTCTGTGAATTACAAGCACTAGCATGTGTTTTATTTATGGATCCAAACTCCAATCAATGGTTGATGCATGAGTGAGTGTGAGTGCAATCTAGGCAAGTTCTGCACTTCACACACATGACAATTATTGTCATTTCATACACAACACAAAATAATAAAATAATAAATGAAAGATGGTGGAAGGAAGCAAAGCAAAGCATCTGCTCTGCTATCTGCTCGCTAGCCATTGCCACATCCTTCTTTCTTTCTAGCTTTTTCTTCAGTCAGCCATAATCGTCATAGATCAACCTTTTTTTCAAATGCTTTGCACTTTTATTCATGAGTTTATTATCTGTTCTCATTTTTAACAGGCAAATTTAGTAACAACGGAAAATATATTATTTCAAAAATTATATATATTCTAGCTCCAGAGAGATAATCTGCACTCTGCACTGCTTCAAATGTGGAAGGTTTTGAGGGCCTCCTCCAATTCAACACCATTACCTTATTCATATCATTATTGACATGTTATTGACAGTTATGGACTATATATCATTCGTTTTTTAACATATACCCAAGCAAAAATTAACATGCAAGTGAAGCACAAAGAAGAGATGCCAAATCTAACAACATTCATGCTACAAATTGGGGAAAACGGTTACTCTAACCCTAAACTCAAATTCCATAAATTACTCACCAAATGCTGGTTATTGAACAATCGCAAGGTGTCTGTGTTGGGTCTTTGTGTGGCTTTGCTCCACAAATGGAACCTATCACTTCCAACGAATACGGCTTCTCCTTCCCCTTCCCACTGCTTCGTCTTCACTGTTTCAGAATCCACGCCTTTGCTCCTTCCACTCAAAATAAATACTTTTTCACGGTTTAGATAGTGGAGTTGCGTTCAACCGTCGTTAAACCTGTGCCTTCAACCGTCGTTGCCCGTTGCCTTCAACCGTCGTTGCCCGTTGCCTTCAACCGTTTCTCAGAGCTTAGCAGTTTCTCTCAGCTATGAGTTTGAGATCAATGGGTTTTTTCGGTTCAAACTTCGAACTTGCCTTTTTTTTTTTTTTTTTTTGTTGGGACCAACTTCATTGCGGGATATAAATTCGGGTTTGGGTTCCTCACCTACCCGATTGCACAACTTTATCCCAATTCTCCCCAGCCCTTCGATTGATCCAATGACTATAAAGTGAACTTCTTTTTATTTTTTTTTTTTTTAAAAAAAAAATCCCCCCCCCCCCCCTCTTTTTTTGGGGGGGGGCCCCCCCCCCCCTTTTCCCCCCCCCCCCCCCCCCCCCCCCCCCCAAAAAAAAAAAAAAAAAAAAAAAAAAAAAAAAAAAAAAAAAAAAAAAAAAAAAAAAAAAAAATTTTTTTTTTTTTTTTTTTTTTTTTTTTTTTTTTTTTTTTTTTTTTAAAAAAAAAAATTTTTTTTTTTTAAAATTTTTTAAAAAAAAAAATTTTTAAAAAAAAGGAAAAAAAAAAAAAAAAAAAAAAAAAAAAAAAAAAAAAAAAAAAAAAAAAAAAAAAAAAAAAAAAAAAAAAAAAAAAAAAAAAAAAAAAAAAAAAAAAAAACAACAAGTTTCTCCATATGTCAGCAACGCTTGATAGACCATAAGCACCACAAGTAGGCAAGTACATGAGATCGTTTAGGCAAGGTTTGTGTGTTTTAACAAATTCATCAAAGAATTCTTCTTCATAACCCATTGTAATACAAAGATACTGACCCTTTTCCTTTATCATTGAATCAGCCCAATAAATTGAATAAGAGAAGTCAATACCACCACCTCCATGTATGTACGCATTTTGCTTGCTCACAGCCAACAACTACATACGAATTCAGCTCCAAAAAATGATGGTAACTTTTCTAACTCAAACTCTCTGGCATTGGTCATTGAGACCAATTGTGGGTATAAATTGACACATGCACAGATGCACTCTACGTGTTTTATGAAATGATAAAGTGAGTTCTTGAGATTTCGTTGAGTTGATAATTTCATCCATTTTGATCCCTTAAACTTCCAAAATCATAGTTTTAGCTCAAAATCCTTGCTAGGAACGGTTGCCTACAAAATCTTCACTAAACACATTAAACTAACAAATTTCACACAAAAACAATGCAAATAGAGATAGATTATATATGCAAAATAGGAATCTATCATTTGCCTTGTGATAAGTCCAGACGGTGAGTGAGGTATACTGGGTAAAGAACCACACTAGCGCAACATCAATGAGGAAAGAGAATGAGTTCTTGGAGGTGGGAATTAGGAGAGACTAGCAAAGTAAATTTAAGTGAATTAATAATTAAATGGCATTTTAGGAATAATGGTGGGTGGAAAGAAATGATTGTATTTTTTCAAATTTACATGGTAACTGGGAAAATAAGATAGGGGAGTGGAAATAACAACACTCTTTTTCTTTTTTTGATGACCTTTTTTATTGAGAGATGCGATAATATACTAAATTTACATGCACTACACGAACGCTAAGACTCAAACTCAGGACCTTACCTGGTGGATCATTTACAGCAGCACTCTTAAACAATCACATTTTGGGATTAGATACCCCAATAATTAATGAAAAAATAGATGCCACCCACCTCATCCCTATTGGCCCTTAAACCTCAATTGTTTTATGGGTTGTAAATAATGTTTGTTTAGACAAGCATGCAACATTTTACGGGTCTTGTTCTATTGCACCTACCTCCCCTGTCACATATCATAGTGTTAACAGCTGCTGATCAGTTCACTTGGTGGACTGGACAGGGCTTTTATTTTATTTTTATACAAGTGATATTAAGAGAGAAATCGAATCTAAAACCTTGAATGCAAGAATAATTTCTTTTAACTACTCAACCTATAAGCCCTTCAACAGGACAAAGCATCTTAGCTTATTCTTATATTCAGATTCAACAAACAATATCATCACAAACAAAATAAATTACTTTTACAGCAGACTAATTGCGCTTAACTAAGGACAAACAAATTTGCCAAGTTCTTAATGCGAGCAAACCGAGGTGACTTGGAGAATTCTTCAAGCTTGTCCGAATATCTCTTGAAAAGTTCATCAACATTGAGGTCGGATCCGAAATGCTTGCACAGGATGTCTTCCATTGCAGCTCTTGCATGAAAGCAGGAAACTCGAACCTCCTCAACACTAGAAAGCTTTGCTGGGAAGCGCATTTCCTCCAGCCTCTCAATACTATAACCAAGGTTTTTGTTTTTCGTACCCAACAATATCACTCCTTCAACTTCACTGGCACTTGGAACGTAAATGGGTAGATTGAACTAGTCCACAGCAGCCTCACTTAACAAGCCCTGCAATCAATTTCCAAATATACGGCCATTAACTAAAAACACAAGTAAAAGACAGAAATGGACGTAGACGTGGGTTGAGTCAGTTGGTCAGGGCAGTGAGCCCATCTCCTTGCACCAAGTTCGGATCGCTTGTATAAAAAAGAAAAGGACAGAAACGGGAAGATAAAAAATTATGTAGAAAATTGATATTAGTACTTAATTTGAGCCTGGCCTTTACCTCTTTGACCATATCTGCAAGTGCATCTCCCAAACACTCCAAGATATTCATGAGCGTTGACTCTGAAGGGAGGCTTGGCTCTGGCCTGCAGGGCATGAGAATGGCCAGCAACCCATCATCCGCCAGTTCTGCTGACCTTGCTGTGGAGAAAGCCTTCATGTCCCTCGCAAACTGAGCAGCATAAGCCTCTTCAACTTTACTGGATTCACTCCTCGCGTACGTACTTCTTCCCTTGTTCCAAGCCGGAGACACTTCTTCAGTGACTTCTTGGGGAACCCTAGTGAGCCATTGAACTGCAAAAGAGGAGTGCATTAAGTTCATTGAGGCCTTAGGAAATAGCCGGCCATGGAAAGAACCTGGAACTCCGGCTGCCATGTAAGTCCTGTCAATTGGGAAGGCTTTAAACAGAGTGTTGAAGTCGTTGGCAACATGATCGTTGAAGAAGACTTGGAATTCTGGCAATTGGGTTTCAAAGCCCTGAGCTTTGAACTCAAGCTTCACAGCTTCTATGAGGGTCCGGACACAAGCAAAGGTGTTGGGTCCAACTGAACATCCAAGGTCTGCAATTTTAAATACTGGTGTGATAGTGGTGGCATTGGAATTTTTATTAATTGTGAGCTTTTCTCGGATGCTATTTCTCAACAAGACCTTTGCTTCATCAAACCACTCTCCCTACCATCAAAGTCAGTTATATATTTTCATCATCACAAATTCATACTTCATCTCGACTTTTCGAGGAAAAAAAAACAATATATGAGTCTCTTGGAATATAAACAGTTTTCTAGCCTGGTTTTAGCGGGAGAGACATATATAAACCTGGCACTTGGAATTCTGCTTGTAGCTGTTCAGGCCATCGCCACCATTCATTGCAACGGAGTCCGCCATGTCCTGATACTTAAGCTTGACTCTGCCTTTTCTATGTTACAAAGTCAGGTTGTTTCATTTTTATGTACATTCTCAAATATAAAAATGGTCGGGCATCAATCATGCCAAACTGATTAAACCGGTTGATTTGGACCGTAATGGCTGGTTTGATTTGGTTTTGATCAAGGAAAAAGTCAAATGATTTAAGCTAAACCTAATGGCTTTACAAGAATAACCTTAGTCATTATCACCATACAAAATAAAATTACTTGAGCACAACTTGAGAGAAGTCCTCCATCAAAGTTCAAACCCATGTAACCCCATCCATTGATCTCATTTTCTTAATTCCAAGCATTTTCTTGCTAAACAAGCCACATGCAAGAGACACAGTAAAATGTAAAAGTCAAATGACACTGGCACTTTTGGACTCTTCGGAGCACACATATAATTGTTTTACGCCTTCGAATATCAGCCCACAAAATTGATAATCTCATCCAAAAATATGTTGGGATTAAAATGTCCCCAAATAGAATTCCAATATAACCCTATTCTATAAAATTAGAAAGTATATGAAATGGATACAATTATTTTCTTAAATTTTCTATTTTCAATTTTCTGTGCGATGAAATAATTTTTTTTATAAAAATTTACGAACCGTGGCTGGAATGGCATTAAGTTGGATCTGAATTGGGATTAGTTTCACACTTCACAGCGTGTGGGCAGATAAATCGACGGTTCAACTGTTTGATATGCTGAAATTGACAAAAATAAATAATTGAGAAACGCATTTTGTATGTAGATTCTCTTCCATGTGCAATCCAAACATTAGCAAGCTCCATCCAAATTCCAAATGCAAGGCCGACCGAAAAACCCATCAAAATATACTATTTTTCTATTCTCTCCACTTGGGCAACAACTTTTACCCATGTACCTTTACCTTCTTCATCCCCCAATCTATTCACAAACATTACAGCAAAAAAAATCATGAGCAGGCAAACAAAACCTCAACAGAAGTACATAACTCACAAAAACTTCACTCGAGACCATTATCATGGTTTGTGTTGTGCATAAATTGAGGTAGGGACTGCTTGGTGAGGAGTCGGAGCCTTTCCATTTACAAGCAATTGTTCTATGAAATCCACACGAAATGATTTGAACTGGTACAACTGACAATAGCATTGGAACAAGAACAGAATGGTTATGTACGAGGGTAAATAATTAATACCGTTGTTAATGAAAATCAACAATCTTAAAATCCACAAATTAGCATCGATTTTATTACTCAATCTTTTAATCAAACAAAAAACGAAAGAATGTCCAAATTAGTTAAATTAAGCACCTTTTCTTTCCAAGAAAAATTGACATGCCGATGAAAAGGGTCCAATATTGTCAGCTGATCTCCTTCTTTGATCTGCGAGAGCAAGGTTCAATTTGACTCTTAAATCACTTAAAATGATGAAAGACAAAGCATGTTTGCTCAATACATAAAAAGGTCAGACACAAATCCATATTTGGAATTTAAAGAAAGTACCATGTACTTTCTATTTCTCATTTAATTCTTAAGCTGCTAACTCTTACCAAATCATACTGAATGCCATAAACGGACACAACGAAGCATATTTGATTTGCATCACATGCCAAAAAATACCTAAGAATGAGAAAGAGAGGATAAAATGGTCAAGAACAAAGCTAAAAACCTAAAAATACAGATGCACTCAGCACCCGGCAATCTCTCTCTCTCTCACACACAGAGCAAGTTCATATTATCAAGCACTTTAATTACACTGCATCACAGTTCTACATATTAGCAACAGAATGAAAGAGATAAATTTACGTATTCAAGTAGATATGCAAGGTGCTTCCAGAGGACTTACAGTGGAGCAACATTCTCATGCTTAATGAAGAATAACACTTTTCCTATTAGTGCTACTGCTTTGTTCAGACCCTCTGACAGAAGATCTACAGTAGCTCTTCTGTATGAGGAGTTCACTTATAGAAGATGCAAACAAGGAAAATCAGTATATCCCCACGATAAAAAAAGACAATGGGGCAGATTCAGTCAAATTCACAAATCACCATAAACTACAAACATGAAAGATTAAGGAAGCATACAGTTCACAGCAGCCAGAGATGATGCTAAAGATGCAAGCCGTTTAGATCTAGCATGTCCCTGTGAAACAGAACAGAATCTATAAGAACAAGTACATGTTGTAGAATGGTGTCTTTCAACCAGTAAACTACTTAAAAAGGGAGGAAAGCGCATTGAAGACCCCAAAATACAAAACTTGCAACGAGAAATGCATTACCCTTAACAAATTATCTAACTTGTCAAGAAGGTTAACAATCTTTTGAACCTCCTCCATAGCATTGAGACCAGGATCCTTTAAAGCAGCAGCTTCAAATCCAGTAAGGGCCCTTTCATAGTTTTCTAGATATTTGTTTACCTAAAATTAGAAACTCAATGTTATATTTGTTTTGAATAGAGGAACTTGCGAGTAATCGCAGACATAAATCAGAAGGAAAAATAAACTTACAGTGGCAGAGTTAAAATATAGGTCTGGATTGGACTTCATTCTTTCATCCTTTTCCTGATATGTAATATTAAAAATCAGAACATCTTCCATGCTTATAGAAAGAAAAGGCCTAAATTGCAGCATATGGATAAATGAATAATTCCCCTAATCATGATTAGTGAGACACCCATAAGCGCAGATGACCCATTAACAGGAAACAGATCTCTAAGGAAGTTCTTACTTTACACACTTACAGCATTTTGGTATGCCTTCAAAGACTTCAGAAGTTTGACGTGGTCCCAAGCTCCAGTTACAAAGAAACTTGTAAGACATGCATTTCCAAGATTATCTGTCAATAGGGTTAGACAATGTTAGGTAGAAAGAAAAAACACTAATCTCAAACAATAAGCGGAGAAGCCTAATTTAATCACTTCAAAATATTTTTATTATGCATGTACAAGATGCTGATGTACATCAATATGCAACCCAAAGAGAAATGATATCATCTACCAGTCCAACTAAGCGAACCAAAAGGAGACTAGCAAGCATCCAAGGTAAGTGGCAAAGCAAACTAAGCGTAATGTGCCATACGACATATCCAGTATAAATCTTACTCAAAGTTGAAGAATATAGAACTTTTTGAGATGGTCGAATATGAGATCTTACACCAAGAATTCCCATCCTTGACATCCAAAGTTATGGCTTCCTTGGCATGTTGAATGCTTTCATCAACAAGTTCTGCCTGATTATCAGTACCTAGAGACAGGGATGAGATTTAGATAAGCACAATGACACACACGCCATGAAAGACAACAGGAAAATGAGTTGAGAAACAAAAGGTTGCCTTGAGCCATTTTCCTTTCGAGCATGGACAGTTGACAAAGTATCTGTTTGTTTGGACCCTGTACAAGACCGAAAATAAGTGGCTATCATAAAACTTACAGTAAAATGAATTGAGAGGTCACTGTGATGAAAACACAGAAATCAAATCAATGATAACCTTGCTTAGTGCAAGAGTAAAGCAGTTCTTGGCTGAAGATAGATCTCCCTTCTTCCAAATGCAGTTACCTAAACATAGCCAAGCATCTGCAAGAGATGGATTCAACTTAACCTGCAGCGTTGATTAATCTATTTCAGGAAGTGAACTTCGGCTTGAGCATTACAAACATGCTGAAATACTGGAAAATACAACGCATTGTTGCTTACAGCTTTTGAGAGATGATCCTCTGCTTCTTTTCTATAGTCCGGTAAGACATCCAATATCTTTCCTCTCAGATATTCGTATTTTGCACGCTGTGCTGGAAGTTTCCTTTGCTCTGGTAAAGGACATAATGTTTGACAATTAAACTGAATGACATGCAAACATTACAAATATAAACAAATAACAAAGAAATTAGCGGTGCAACAATTTAAACAACCAAAGAACCAAATAAGACCAACCATAAACTAGTTTTGTGAGTATCCCAGATTTATAGGCATTATCATTGAAACGAAAAACACTTCTATTTCAACCAATGTAGCCCAAATTTGGTCCTCCAAAGTTCAAACAGGCATATCAAGGAAAAACCCATCAAAGATAAAGGCACAAATAAGCTTGAAAACACAAAAAAGACAGCTTTTCAAATGGTTTTCACAAAAGGTGAAATGAAATGGGCACGTGGAAATATTACCAGGAGGAATGGAATCGAGGAGGCTGAGAGCGAGATCGGATTCGGCATTCAATTTGGCGATTTTGTCATCTGGGTTGGGCGGAAAGTAGGTGTCTCGAACTAGGTAAAGCGCTTCGGTAGCTCTGGTGGCTTTGACCAAAGCGTCGTCTTCCACTGCTTGACTGCTCATCGGTCAGGCACGCACAACAGAGCCAACTGTGAGAACGCAAGAAGACGGGGCCTTCCCGAAAGATTGTAGCTTAAGATAAAATGGTGACCCGAGGAAGTGAGTGTGGAGCCTATTGTTGACTACTGTTCTCGTGGATGTGGGACAGAGAGCGCAGGTCGATGATGACCCTGAATCTGTTGCCTGCTGGATATTACAAACGACGTGCAATATTTACCGGTTAAACGCATGTCGTTTCCTTTTGGGCCTCCTTTGTCAAACGTGCGTATCGAGAGAGACTGTGTTGCGGATAAAATGGCCGGCGAAGGCCATAGGCCTGTCTGTGAAGTTGGGCTGCACTATTAGCTTAAGTGGGCTACCCTCTAATTTAATTGAAGTTTAAGAAAATAAAGATGACTGATGAAATAAGAAAATGAGACAACAAATAGAAGTTACATCAAGAATTTAGATTTTTTTAAATATAAATGATAATGTAAATTACTCTAAATTAATCTAATTTATGCGGAGGGAACTATAACTTGAGTACAATGGGATGGACTCATTGCCTTAGCGAACTCGGATATCCCACGTTTCCAAAGTTGAGTATTTTTAAATTTAAAAAGAATCTTCATGCTAAGTTAATGTTGAAAATAGAGCGGATTTTCTCTTTCCTTGTTTGTTTGTTTCTAAAATCTCAACCATTTAAACAGAAGTAAATGCAACATTTTATTTGTTTTGCTAAAACAATATTGCTTTGAAAGCGGAAGGACGAAAGAAGTCCCATCTACAAAAGAATAGAAACTACAAAACCCAATCCAGAGAGAGAGGCACACAGTAAAGGTACTGAATAGAATTATATGAATGGAGCAACTAATGTTGTATGATGAACAAAATAAATTGATAATTAACGAATTATAAATCAATGAGAAACGAATGTCTAACAAAAACAGCTTTGTTTTGTGGCGGCTAGCTACCTACCTACTGATAAAGGTACTGAATAATACCGATGAAAAATGATGAAAAATGAGGCTCTTGATGCACACCACACCATGCTCGTGCATTCTGTTTCATAATTTGTCTCCACTTCTTCACATTTCTTTCTTTCTTTGTCGCCTTTTTCATGGCCTGCATAGCTTTCCCTTTCCCTTCTGTAATTCATATGTACTTAGTATATATATATAGCACTTGGAGAAAATGCAAGTGGTCTTGATCATGATGGTTGGACTAGTTTTCTTTCTTGCACCTATTTTCTTATCTGTTTCCTCGGCAAAGCATTCTCCGTCCAGTGTTAACGTTGTGTCTGGGATCTTCATCTTCGGAGACTCAATCTTCGACGCCGGAAACAACCACTTCAACAAGAACAGCACCGCTCAAGCAGATTTTCCCCCCTACGGCTCAACCTTCTTCCACTACCCCACTGGCAGGTTCACTAATGGCAGAACTGTTGCTGACTTCATTTGTGAGGCCTACCTTACCTATAATTAAGTTATATTATTACTAATTTTTATCATCAAATATATTAATCAAGTTATTTTCTTAAATTATTTGAAAATGGTTTTATATTATTGTATGTATATATGCGCATGCAGCACAATTCATGGGCATTGATCTTCAAAAACCATATCTTGAGGCACAGATTGAAGTTCTCAATGGAAGCCTCAAAGATTATCCCTCCAATGGCATTAACTTTGCCAGTGCTGGCAGTGGTGTTTTGCAGGCAACAAATCGCGATTTGGTAATAAAAATCATACTCTTTCCATGGAATTTGGAGTAATGCTATCCATGAATATCTAATAAAGTGTTTTAATTCACAATTTTGACAACATAAACATCTTATGTAATCACGCCTATATATATGTGGATGCCAGGGCGTGACCTCACTCCAGGAACAATTCCGACAATTCCGAACACTGGTGGAGCAAAACCAGATTAACAAAACCCTAGTCCAAAACTCCATCTTCTTGTTCGAGTCTGGTTCCAACGACATCTTCAGCTACTTTATCCCAATTGACCCTCCAAAACTTGACCCCGACGCCTATGTGCAAGCGATGCTAACCCAAGTCTCAACATTCTTGGACCAAATCTACAAACTCGGCGCTCGCCGAGTCTCCGTATTTTCACTGGGACCTGTTGGGTGTGTCCCAGCCAGGGCCCTCTTGCCAGGCACACCCATTGATCGATGTTACGGGAAGATGAATGCTATGGTCAACAAATTCAACAAGGGTCTAGAAAGCTTGGTCAACGATACGCCTTCTAAGCACCGCGGTGTGCTCAGTGTTTATGGTGCAGTCTATGACATCGTTCAACACTTTCGAGCCACTCCTACACGTTACCGTATGGAATGTTCTTTAAATCAATTAATCACTCTCTATACTAAACTAAGACGACATTGATTAATTAACATGCTAATTATGATTATATATGTAGGGTTTTCGGACGTATCGAGTGCATGTTGCGGAGAAGGTACTCTAGGGGGAATGATACAGTGCGGCAAGGAGGGCTACAGGCTTTGTCCAAATCCCAATGAGTTTTTGTTCTGGGATTATTTCCATCCATCGGAGCGTGCGTACAAGCTCATATCCAAGGCCTTGTGGGCTGGCAAGAAATCTCGAATTAGACCCCTTAATTTGAAGGCACTAGTCAACATTAGCCTCCCTTATGTTTGACCAAAACATTTGATGAGTATAATGACATGTTATTGTTGGGAGTTTTTTTTATAGTTGGACTCATTTTACACCTCTAAATATATCCAATTAAGATTGGAACGAAATAAGAGAATAATCCCACGTCTTATCAAAGAAAATAACAAGAGCAATATCCTTTTTTTTTTTATATTTATTACTTTTGTTTTTGTAAATATATTCTTATATTATTTTGGCCTAGCCCATAGCAACATTACAACAATCCAATTTAAAGATAAATTTGATGTGGACATGCTACCAGTATATGCAACCAATTTAAAGTATGTACGAGCTAGCTAGGGCACCACATGTTTTGTTGGTTAAATATCGTTAACTCATTGAATATAAATATATTCAAATTAAACTCCAACATAAATGAGTAAATTGAGGGAAAAAAACCTCTGTCTGAGTGGGCGCGGCTTAATTATTGTTTGGGATAGGATTAGGATAGGCTGTCCGGTGTCGACAAAGAAATGACAACTTGCATTCTTTGTTTCGTTAACTTATATGTGGTCTTCATCTGCAGTCCTATATCCGTATCCCCCATATACTGTGCGATCCCATCCAATATAGATATATCATTCATCACAAAGGCACATTCTCAACTGCTAGGCATGGCTTGTGTGAAAGCCCACCGACAAACAATACGAAATGGCAGACATTCCAACCTAATTTGTTCGTGTATAAACTACTATGTATTTGAAGTTTTAAGTTAACGTTTCACTTTCTATAATCAAACCCAAGAGATTATGGTGGAGTGAAAACTAGTCTACTAAACTTCAAACTCTTGAATTATCTAAACTGTTAAGCTGTCGATTTTAAAACGGTCAGTGCCACAAAATCCCGAAGATTATGGTGGAGTGAAAACTAGTCTACCAAACTCCAAACTCTTGAATCATCTAAATTGTTAAACTGTCCAATTTAAAACGGTCAGTGCTATAAAATTCTGAAGATTATGGAACAATAACACTTAATTAGAACCAAAAGACACCAATTTAAAAATATAAAATAAAATAAAAATTCATCCATGGTTGAAAATCATCAGCAAGAAGTAATCTTGAACAGTGGGATGAAGAAATTAAAGCGCAAGTTCTTCAATCAGGAAAAATAAACTGCGAAGGACAAGGGTAGACAAAATGGAAGAGCCATGAAACTCTCTTGTTTCCTATGATTAAGGTGTACTTTAGGTGCGTGTTGACACCTCCAGTTGGATTTGGGCCCAAAGTAAACCCATGAAAAGACATTATTAAATAATTAATTAAATGAATTGCTAGAAAATTTCCAAGCTTCTAGTAAACAATTGGGGGCAGTGAGTCACCACCAGCAGCTGGAAACTCTCAAAGTGTGGAAGGTAATTTATGGGGCCCACACGCATTCACAGCGAAAATTCGCATGACAAGGAGGAAGAGGCACGAGGCATCAAAGTTTGAAACACATGCTCCTTCGCCTACTTTTCCCAGACGCGCATCTTTCTGTCCTCTTTTTTATTTTCAATTTTAAACTTTTTTGGTAAAATACCAAACAAGTTACACCCACACACAAACTTCCACAACTCCTATTTTTAAAAGCACATGATTTTATTATTTTTATTAATTTTATAATATGAAATATTCCGACTTTGATTGACTCCCTCTTTCCCTATATATACCCCCTCCCAACGTTTTTCCTCCCAAACCAACCAAACCAACCTTCTAACCCATTTTAATTCGTCACAAGTCTAGAATGGGAAACTACATCTCATGCACTTTGGCCACGCCTCTGATCAAGAGCTCCAAATCAGCAAGAGTGATCTTCCCAAACAGCGCCGTTCGACAGTTCCGGGAACGGATCAGAGCGGCGGAGCTCATGCTCGAATGTCCGGGCACCTTCTTAGCAAACTCACAGTCTCTCCACATAGGCCGCAGATTCTCCGCCCTCGGCGCCGACGAGGAGTTGGAGTTTGGCAATGTTTACATCATGTTTCCGATGAGGAGGCTCAGCTCTATAGTCACGGCGGCAGACATGGCAGTGTTCTTCATGGCGGCCAACTCCGCGGCCAAGCGCATATCCGGCGGCAAGGTCAGGATCTTGCCCGAAACCGGCCGCGAAGGAGGAGAAATGGTAGGAGAGGAGAGCGGGAAAGAAAGTCATGATGATCAAGATCAAGATGGTAAAGGTGATCGAGGTCCACTGAGATTGAGTTTGGATGGAGTTGAGGGGTTGCAGGTGGCAGAGTTTCAGTATAGGTTAGCCGCCTGTAGGTCAAGGAAGCCTGTATTGGAAACCATCAAAGAAGAGCCGATTTCTTCAAGATAAATATGATTTTTCTTCTTCTTCTTCTTCTTTTTTTTTTTAAATAAAAAAAAAAAAAAAAAAGATAAGGGAATTAATATCTTATTAATTTGGCTTGTAACTGTAATGGTGGTGGTCGCTCTGAGGTTATTTTTTTCAAAGAGAAGGGTAAACGGGAGAGATAGATTTGATTTGGTGTAATTTGGGGGAAATGGAATATATGTGACTTTGGTTGGTGGATAATTAATAATTACTATTGTAAAGATTTACACGTGTTTGGTGGAGAAAATAAAAGTCAGATCGTAGTTGGATTGCTTTCATTTCACACTATAGTTTTTACTTTAGTCAACAAAATATCAAATCCAGATCGTGATCAAAGTAGCAGATTAACAAGATAACTATGCCAGTTTATTATAAAAAATGAGGTAAAGAAGACTGGTGCTATTCCACTCGTCTCTCATCCACCACCTATCCCTTTTAAAAAAAATTTACTTGCAACTAAAGCTTGTCAATGTTGTGATTATGAGTTTTGTTAACATATATTTTGTCGTTATGTTTGATCCAAAATGGTGCGTTGTTCCATGAGATCATCATAGTAGCAGCCCCGTTACAAAAAATGAAGTGTTCTTGCCATCCAAAAACAGGAGTTGCTTGCAAACCCAATCTACGCTGCTTAAGCAGCTCATTGACATGCAGGAGATTAAAACAAATACAATTAAAGAAAGAAACAACCACAAAATCTGCCAACTTAGGTTACCTGTTTCTTTTCGACTAAAATGAGTAATAAAAAAGTTATTTTCGAGAGTAATTCTCTATAGATCCTTTTAGCTTTTTCAGAGTTGGAAAAGTTGTACCCATATATGTCATATTGTTATGTGCATGTGTCCTTTGTACTCTTTATTCTTAATAATCTAATAATTTATTTTTTTTTTTCATTTTACCACCCAAAAAAAAAAAAAAAAAAAAAAAAAAAAAAAAAATACCTGTTTCTTTTAGAGAGCCGCTCAACTTAAAAATAGCAGTTAGTGTCTGACTAAAGCATTTAAGCGAACATAATTATATTACAGATAAACCGGTTTACAGAAGGAATATCTTGTACATGAGTTGTCCGATATGGCATTGTACACACAAGCCTGACATTCAATTTATTGAATTTGACACAGATTTACATATAGCATTAGTCTTACGCACATACGATACAAGTTAGAACAACATCCATGTTGGCGAGAAACAGCTAAACCTAATTCTCACGCCTCCGAGTATGGGCCCTAAAGCTTTTACATAACTACATAAAGGTTGTCAAGTATCTTTGACATATTAACCAACGGACCAGCAGCAGATTGCGCTCAAATGTCCATGCCATCAAAAATTTCTCCATCTTCCTCATAGAACAGCCCATCAGCCACCAAGTTACTGCCAAAAACAGCGAGTAAAACATAAAACCCCTTAGCCAATTGGTAATTTTTGGGAACATTGTTAAATTTTAATATGACTGTGACCCACCTTTCACAGCTGAGACGGAAACTCACAACACGTTTAAGTTTTCTATTATAGAAAAAGAAGTTGAATGACCATCTGAAGGAAACAAACGAAGCACGATGTCAACGTAAGTGGTTAGAGTGATGATGATACATCAACATCATGATCTGTGCAGCATGTGTAAATTTCTCAAGCAACCAACAGGATAACTCACACAGCTCCTCTCTCAAGAAACGGATCAGCATCAGAGTCGGGAATGTAACTGTAAACTTCACATTCTGCTAATCTAACGACCTGCAGTACAATGCATCAGACAATTGCCCCCTGGAACAGTTTGCATTCCAACTTCTTTTGAAAATATGCTTACCTCATCCAAAGCCTTGTACAAAGCTTCCAGCAAGGAACTGCCCTCATTGGTCTCTGTCCATTCCTGAATTCAATGGTCCCAAGAAACCAGAGAAAATGATCAACAAAGTCTTCGGCATAATAAAGCCTTCAGTATTCTATAAAAACTAAATGTCATGACAAATGACAATGCACAAGACTCAGCATCTAGTCACCAATAGAACCGAAAGCGAGAGAAATTAGAAACCAACTCTTCAGCTAATGCAACAAACAATGAAATACCGTGCATTCATGAAATGTCCGAAACAAGTCAAGGTATCAAAGAGTATCAACACAAGTTATTATCAAGTAGGAACCAATCGACACATCAGTCAGACAAAGTTACCTTTGTGCAAAACGAGAAAATGCAAGTAGGTGACATGGTATTCTATCGTTCATTACTAACACAACAAAGCAAGCACAATTGGTAGCATAGCAATACCTTTGATGCTTCAAACATATAGGTATCGAACATTTGCTTAAAACTGTCCCAGCTTTCCTCTGTGAAGAACTGGTGGGCATTTACTGCACTGGAAAACCTCAAAGATGTAGGCAATACCACAATACAAAGATACTATTTTTTAAAATCCACGTAAAAGCATCAGAGTTCAATACAATCCATAGTGATGAGGAGCAGAATCAAAAACAGAATCCACCACATAAATGTTCAACATTTGAGACTTGGGAAATGGAGAGACTTGAACTCTCAGCTCCATGTAGAGCGACAGTTCAAACTGTCTGTCAAACCTCTTGACAACACTCCCAATGCAAACAGAAGAGGATTATAAAGTGGGTTGCCATATCGCCCAATAAGCTGACAGTGGCATTACCCATAATCCTCTTGTTTAGGCCTCCATGAAACACAAGATGTTTAATACAGTACAAGATACAGGGATACCTGAAGTCATAGTCCGGATACAAGTGATAGAGTGTCAAAACCAGGTAAATCAATGTCTTCCGGCTGGAATGAACATAAAGTATTAAAAATTAAACACCCATGAGAAACAGCCTGCAACTTTCCAGATCTATCTAGTTAACATTGGTCACCTGGATCTGGTCAGCAGGAATTCAGCAGGTGAGGAAGAGTCAGTGTCCGAAGATTTCCCAAGATAATCAAGAATCTGATATTTAAACATAAAAATAATAAAGATCAAGATGTCTTACAAGAAAACCTTCGGTTGTTGTTTAAAAACAGATATGCAGAAAACAAGGATTACTTAATGATATACACAAACATACAGATGATACATATACATATTATCCATGTCTGTGTATTTGGAGCAAAAACTGAGAGGAAAGGAAACACAAAATAACAAATGTACAGAGAATGATAATAATAATAATAAAGGAAAAATAAAACATATTAATTGTTATATGTAACCTGATCTTACCTCATTCTCCAAACTGAGAGACAATTTCTTATCCGATCCCGTGTGTTTACCTAGTAATTAAAATATAACAGAAACTAAATCCTTCTGCAACAATCTACAAACACATTTTCAGAAAAAGAAAAAGAGAAACCGAACAATTTTGTACTTACAAGAGTAAGCTTCAAGACAACCATTAATGGTTCGCCCTCCGAGATTCAAATGACTAAAGAAATCATTTAATCTGCAAACGTAAAGCCCAAAACGTTACTATATTCACAAAAAACGCATAGAATAAATGGGTCTAAATTAAGCGGGTGTTACAGTAAATCTACCGTTCCAACGGGGTGTATTCCAAAAACTTCATACTCAGTGGATGTCGAAGGCAACCCTATGATTACAGGAAATTGGAGATCCTGTAAAATAAACAAACAAACAAACACTTCAATCACATACGTAGAATTCACAGCACACACAAGCAGACATCCAAATACGAAAATGAAAACAAGAAGAAAATAAAAGCATACTTAAGCACAGAAACTACAAGCAAGCATTTACTGAGAATTGGATAAAACTATATATACCACGAATAAGCAAAAAAAGTAGATTAAGAGGAGCAAAATGACGAACCGGAAGCACCTTAGAGGAAATTACCAGAATTAGGGGAAGGTCCCAAATTGGCCGATTTAGGGTTGGGTCAGAACGGGATCCAGAGGTTTCAGACAGCCCCAAAATTCGAATATTCCCAAATTTGAAAGAGAGCTCTCAAAGTCAAGCCTACCACAATATCAACGTGTGGGTCAATTATTGGACAAGGGCCACGTGTTTATCTTTCGGATATTGACCACAAAAGAGGCCCGGCCCATTTGGCCATCTCGTCAACTAGGCCAGCGGCCTTGACCGTCCATGTTACACATTTTTTTGGGACCCAAAGGCCTATATGTTATAAATGAAACCTTTCCAAGCTACAAGGACTTTTTTGTTTGTTTTTGTTCTTATTGTTTTCTTTTTTGATAAGGATTGTTCTTATTGTTTTGATTGGAGCAAAAGCTTCCAAATAGTTTTTTATTTTTTATTTTTATAGGAACTTCCAAATAGGTTGGCTTCCGACGAACTAACACCATCACCAACTTTGTTAGAAAATGTAACAAGTAAAATATGATAATATAATATTGAAAAATAATTAGAATACAATTTTCATTAAGATTGATCTAGTATTCATTATTTCGGCCAATGCCATAGTTCGACTCTCATCCTCATTTGTATCAAATAAAGAAAGGCTTATTTATGTACATATATGCTGTGTTTTTAAAGTTGTTTTAGATTACCATATGTGCTTTGAAACGTCTCAAAATACCCCTTACATTTTTAAAAATTGTCTCACGTTACTCGTTCCGTCAATATTAAGAGACGTTCCGTTACATGGTGTGAGCCCTACTTCTTTTAAATCACTTAACAATGGTGAGTAAGGATTATTCAATTTCATAAAAGGGGAATTTGGGAGAGGAAAATTGGGAGAAAAGGGCTAGGGTTATTCAATTTATCGCTCATCCACTCTGAAAATCTTCAGAGCATGGCCGTAGCGACGATACCGTCGGAGCCGCTTGATGAAACCTTGGAGCTCGGGCTGCTTCACGTCTCCCCCTTCAACCCGCCATTAATGGAGCACTGGCATAATGGAATCCCTAAGGTTTCGAATATGCCAAACCCTAATGTGTAGAAGCTCAAATGGGAGTGATGAGGAGGAGGGCAGCACCTCAGTGGAGTAGAATAGTGCACCAAAAATCCTAGACAGATTTTCATAAGGCTGCTAGATAGATTTTTATAAACCCTACCATCTTCTCCCAATTTCCCCTTCTCACCCAATTTCCCCTTTTTTGAAAGAAATGGGGCCCACATCATATAATGGAACGTCTCTTAATACTTATGGAATATGTAACGTAAGACAGTTTTTAAAAGTGTATGGGATATTTTGAGATATTTCAAAATACATGTGGTAATTTGAAACAACTTTGAAAGCACAAAGGGCATGTACATAAATAAGCCATAAAGAAATGAAATGGTCGTAATGACTGAATAAAAAGACAAAATATGGTTAACCTCTTCGCTGATAAAGAAATTAAAAAAACGTATATTAATTTATGCCACCTTAAATTTCTTTTATAATATTTACCAAATAAATAATAAAAAATTATTTTAATAATAATAAAATCTTAAAAATCAACCTAACATGGAATGGAAGAAACAGGATGATCCAAAAACTTGAAAATTGAGTAAAACCCTCGCGAGCACTTTGCATTCGCTGAGCCCGGCAGCTGTGGTAGCTATAGAAAAGAATACGTAAAGCGCACCCATTTCCAGTGCCCACCACAGCACATGACAAAACCTTGAATCTCCTCCTCCTCCTCCTCCTCTGCTAATTTTCTTAACACAGACACAATCTCGCTCTCTCACTCGCAGATCTCTTCTAGAAAACTCAAAACTCTCGCAAAAGCCTTGCTCTTTTTTTCTCAACGGTTTTTATTTTGATTTCTTCATTTTTGGCTGCTAATAGTCGATCCAATTTCTCATGTCTCGTGCACTTTGGCTTCTGATTCTGAGCCTCTTTTCGTTGACCTTCACACTCTCCGCTTCTTCTTCCTCGTGGGGATCGCGCTCGATCCTCCGTGCCGTCAATACAGACAACGCTGATGTTCACGACTACGCCGTCGAATTGAATGCCACGAATTTCGATGAAGTCCTCAGAGACACCCCTGCCTCCTTTGCCGTAGTCGAATTCTTCGCTCACTGGTCAGCTATTCTGAATTTTCAATAAACCATTCGTTTCCACGCTCGATTTTCTCTTTGGTTTGAAGTGTTCATTTTTTCACTGTTACTGGAGATTAGATCTATTAGAGACTAGACACTAATTCTTTTCACTAAATTTTTATTTTTTACTCGCTTATTATAGCTGTTGTTATGAGAAGTTTAATCCTTTTGTTGTTATTTGACCTCACAGGTGTCCGGCTTGCAGAAACTATAAGGTGTGCTATAAAATACCCCACCTTCGTGTTTAACAATTTCTGATGGATGTTGTTTGTCTTATTGTTTATACTTCAATTTGCAGCCCCATTATGAAAAGGTTGCGAGGCTTTTCAATGGGCCTGATGCTGTGCATCCAGGGATCATATTGATGACAAGGGTGGACTGTGCCTCAAAGGTTTATATCTCATGTGTTGTGTCTCTTAAGTTTTCTTTTCCAACGTTCTTCTTCCCATGTGGTGTGGTTACTTGATTTCTTAAAGTTACTTTCTTTTGCTGTAAAAGATGGCCTATTTTCTGAGCAGTGTTTAGTGAAGGCTGGGGTTGCCTTTCTGTAGGGCGGTTGGGGCGGATAGGATTGCAATTATATGCTCATAGAATGATCTGTAAGAATTCCAGGTTGAAGTAAAGAAATAAATAGATTCTTTAGAGAGCATCTAGTAATGTGAATACACCATTAAAAGAGATAGCTCATCTTCCATAGCATGACCTAAAGCTTCATTCATATTTAACTTTCTAGTCTCCGTTTGTGTAATTATTCTGATGTTTGAGACTGGTATTTTGCCATCTTGTTTGAATTCGCATATTACTTCTTTTCTGTTTGGTTATTAAATTATCAAGATACATTGCTTGGTCCTTAGACCCTACCTTTTTAACTTGTTTGGCAGTACAGATAAATACCAAACTCTGTGATAACTTTTCTGTGGGTCATTATCCTATGCTCTTTTGGGGACCTCCGTCTAAATTTGCATCTGCCCGTTGGGAACCTACACAAACCAAAAGTGATATACGTGTCATTGATGATGGCCGCACAGCTGATCGATTGCTTAGTTGGATCAACAAGCAAACAGGCAGGTATGATGTATTTACATCCATTGTCAATTTGACCGAAATTCTTGTTTAGTAATGCATATTTTATCCAAAGAAATCGTCCTCAATGTTTAGCACTTCATTAGAATCAGTGCGACTTCATTGAATTTGCCATGCATTTCAATTCATTAGATGTAGTGTCCATTTGAGCTTCACGTTCCTAACACTCCTTAAGGTTTCAGCTCATTCGCCTTGGATGATCAGAAATTTGAAAATGAGCATCTTTCATCAAATGTGTCAGACCCTGGGCAGGTTAGCATTGCTATAAAGTTGTCTTACTTCTAAGTTCTAACAATTACAGTAGATTTCTTTAATTCAAAATATTAACTTTTGCAATGCATGACTTGTGAAAGATTGCTCGGGCTGTCTATGACGTTGAGGAAGCAACGTCAACTGCTTTTGAAATCATCTTAGGACACAAGGTATACCTTTTTTTCCCCTCTTTCCACCCATCTGGTGAGGATTTGTTGTTTATTTTTTCGGTCATTTGTCCACTTTATTATTTACAGATTTCACTATTCTTGTGTATGCATGTTCTTCCAGATGATCAAATCAAATACACGGGCTTCATTAGTGAAATTTCTTCAACTTTTGGTGGCTCATCATCCTTCTAGGAGGTAAAAAAGTCCAATTATTTTGTCATTCCTCTTTACCTTTGTAATATTTTTTGTTTCATTATTTCACTATAGATAATTGTATTAGGTGCCGAAAGGGAAGTGCAGAGGTACTAGTGAATTTTGATGACTTGTGCCCACTAGATATGTGGTCAGCTGACAGACAGGAAGACCAAGATGTACAGGCTGCTCTGGGGAATTTTCAGATTTGTGGTAGAGATGTTCCTCGAGGATATTGGGTAGGTACATAAAAACGCTGTATTTGACAGGAAAAGATCAATTAATAATAATACACTGTCTTCTCCATAGTTTCCTTTTCTCTTTTTCTTTTTCTTTTTTCATAATTCTGTTCTTATTTTTATGGATATGGAATGGATTACTTATTGTCTTTGCTTTCTTTGGGTATTCTTCACAGATGTTTTGCCGTGGCAGCAAAAATGATACCAGGGGCTTTAGGTAATGGTTCATTACCAATTTTACCAAAAAGCTGTTAAGTGGTTATATCTAGGTTGTTCTTTTGTACGCCTCTAAATATATTAGAATTTTTTAATTTTTTATGGTCAGTTTGTGCATCTGACTATTAGGTTGTGAGACCGTGAATATGATCCAGGAAACGTACATGACCTTTTAAAGTTAATTCATTAAATATTTGTTAAACTAATGTCGTTCCAATAACATGTATATTACAACAGCATCATTTCAGAATTCTTTTGGTGGCATGCATTTGAGTTGTTTTTCTTTTTCCCTCCTTTATTTTTTGGGTGCAGCTGCGGATTATGGGTTCTTCTACATTCACTTTCAGTTAGAGTTGAGGATGGAGAGAGCAATTTTGCGTTCACCACAATATGTGATTTTGTGCATAACTTCTTCATCTGTGAGGAATGTCGCCGACATTTTTACGATATGTGTTCAAGGTAAAGTCAACTGGAAATAATGCATTTTGAAAATTTAAAATTTCTTTTATCTAACTCAATAACTTAAATTTCAGTGTTTCTACTCCTTTCAACACGTCCCGCGACTTTGCCCTTTGGCTGTGGAGTGCTCACAATAAAGTCAATGAGAGATTGATTAAAGAGGAAGCCTCTTTAGGAACTGCTGATCCCAAATTCCCAAAAATGATTTGGCCTCTTAGGCAGTTCTGCCCATCTTGTTACCTCTCTCGTAGCCAGAAAAATGATGGAATTGAATGGGACCAGGATGAGGTGTTCAAATTTCTGAAAGAATATTATGGGAAAACGCTTGTTTCTCTTTACAAAGACAAGGGTATTAATGGGAATGACGGGACAAACAGGGTTCTTGAAGATTTGGTGCCCTCAACAAATGCGATTGTGGTGCCTCTGGGGGCTGCATTGGCTGTTGCTGTTGCTAGTTGTGCATTCGGAGCGCTTGCTTGCTACTGGCGTTCGCAGCAAAAGAGTCGGAAGTATTTCCACCACCTTCGCTCTTTAAAGAACATTTGATAAACTCTTTCAAAAAGGGATAAAAGAACCAGAACTCAGTGGGAGAAAGGGTAAAAAAAAAATCAAAGAAAAAGGGAGAGTGAGAGATTGTCTGGAGGTTTTTCTATTTTCTTATTTGTTTTTCTTCCACCAAATTTCAGGCCAAGGAGAAGCTGGAGCTAGTTTTGTTGCAAGGGCAAACCTGCGCACAGACAATAAGGTGCGCAGCAGAGGGAAGTCAGGCTCCTAGTAGGAAAGCAGATACCGACTTGTACGAGATGGCCTGCCGAGGTCCTCATCTGTACTCTATTTGATAGCTTTTCTTCTTTCTACATATAATGAGGACTGTACAGATTTATACAATCTTAAAATTTTGGAAGAGATCGTTCTAGATCCTATGCGGCTTTGTTTTTATCTGTTTTCTGCATGGATCTAGTCAAAAGATTGGGGAAACCATTGTCTTGATAGACTATACATTATTGCTCTTCAATTCCTTTTATATCCAATGTACTCGAATTTCTAAATGATGAAGATGAATTGTACGCATTTGAATATGAGTGTTACTTCGTGCCAATGATTTGTTACAAAAGCTCTTTGTGAATGTGAGCACCAAACGTGTACTAAATTGTATCGTAGTGATACTCTCTCCATTCAAACGGAAGTGTTACAAACAAGATTAAAAGTACGCGAAATTATGAGCAGAAATTCCATGAATGCATAAAACATAAGATGGATTTCTCTTTTCATCAGTCAATTTATGCTGAAAGAATAGAAACGTATACAGAAGTTTAATTTTCTCTTTTCTGGATGTGAGAAATGGATTCATTTGAAAATAATGGACGTAAAGTAAGTTTACGTGGGTTAGACCAGTTGGCCAAGGCAATGTGCCCACCCTTTACTCTCGAATTCAAACCCATGCCCCCATTAGAGTAGTTTAAAATTACAATGGATGTAAGCAACTCACATCGTAGCCGGTTTAGGCATACCGACTCATTAAATGATGCAATTATCAACCTTTTATATACTGAATGCTCGTAGTCTGGGACTTAATTGAGGATTGAGTAGTATTATCTACATTTTGGCATACATTTGTGTCAGCTCTGGTTGCTTGACTGGGTATTTTTCTCAGTATAATTTCTCTATGTATGTATATATACTGTAGGATACTTCCCTAACTGTACATATGATGACGAGACACGCCCACAATATGGAAACTCACAATTTTACAACAGTTTCCACTATACCGACAAAGAGCTGATGAGACCAAACTTCCATTGTTGAATTTAGTGAACACGAATGACATGGGGTTGGGGCTCAAGCTCAGGCTGAAGGATTGAAGGTTCTGTTTCTTCATCAGAGGAAGTGGAAAGATCCTATTTAACATATGCAGAGAGTGAGAGAGATGAATTAGCTCAGCATTATACTTAAAAGATCAGATGAGAATTAATATGATCATTAAACACGTACTTATTTAGGAAGGGATTAAGGAAGCATGCATACTTACTTGATGGCCTCGGCGGCGCTGAATAGCAGTTACTGCCCTCAAAATTACATATATTGGCAGCACAATCCCAAGAGTTCGTAAAAGCAACAACTACACACAAACACACAAGATTCAGATGTTGCAGCTTCACCGTACTGATAAGGTCCTGATGAGAAGAATTATAGAGTAGAAACTAAGCCATGAAAGGTTTACCATAACGAATGGGAAAGAGTATTCTTTGTTTCCATTGATTATGAGAGGAAGCGTATGCCGTAGAATCAGCAGGATCATGAACTGCACACAAGAAACGAACAACCTTAATAAATTTGTTCAGATATGATCACCAAGACAAGAACATGTAGAATTTCCGAGGGAGAGTGAGAGAGAGAGAGAGCGATTACGATGAAAGCGAGTGAACGACAGCATAACACATTTCTTGCAGTAGAAGCTGAATACTCATCGTAGTCAGGATTAGTATTCAGGAAAGCACGGTCGGTTGAAACCATTGCTATAATGCGCGGGCTGTCCCTTTGCGAAATCTCCCAGTTTCCCCTGTCATTATAGATTTTTGAAACAAGGTTTGGTAAAACCAGAAATTTAATCAGAAAGAAAGCTGCTTATGAGCCCTACTGCACAGAGATTATTATATAATTTATTTACCTGAAGTTCATAGGTATACGCCCGAATTGAAACAGTGGAGGAGGAGCTGTATAACCAGGTTTGAATTGCTGAAAGTTAAACGGACGTAATGTCAGTGAAGGCTAGTAAGTCTGATGCAAGGTTATTTTCCCCATGATCAAATAACATTACTAATTTGGAAGGAAAATGGAATTAGAAAAACCAGATTAATGAACCCACCTGGTGGCATATCTCACACACTGTGTCACCTTTCTCATTGCACCACCTCTGTACACATCTGCGGTGCGCATACTGCAACATCAAGAACCAAATTTTCATTTTTAGGCCATGGAACACACCAAAGTATTTTATTTTTTTATTTTTTCTAATTTCTAAAAGTCATCAAGCCTAGAACCAAAATTAGATGCACAAACGGGCATAAACATTTGAAAACTAACCTTTAAGCTGCCACAGCAAGAGCAGGGTGTCTCCATGTTTGAATCTTGATCCTCGTCCTGGCATATTCTGCATTCTACTAGCTTCCCAGTTAAGGATGATATATCCTGAACATCTATTATTTTCTGGCAACAGCCATCAATTTTAGCTTTGTCGATTGCTGAGGATGTGGCTTGCATCGACCGGTTCCTGCTCTCAATTGCAGCTTCTAACGTGGATTCGGTGATTAATCGATCCACCAACAATACAAAGTGTTCCCCCATCCTCAAAATCTCTACAACCAAAGGAGTTCACAGTGTTTGATGGAAACCCCCTGGAAAACAATAGCCTGTTGTAGTTAATACATGACAAATTGTTGAGCTACATGAATATAGGAAATATAATTCAACAACTCTCACCACTCAATTGTTGAAAACATGAAAAACTAGAGACCTGAAAAATAAATGGGTGATTTCGGAAAGTGGATTACCCTTTGATAGAGGAAGGGAAACTGAGAAGAAAAGGCATGGAATGGAAATCAACACAGGCACACAAGGTTGCACGGAAATATTAAAAACTCAACCAAAATGGATCATTTAGGAAAGTGGAGGTTCCTTTATGAAACAACAAATTAAAGAGGCTTTAAAGGAACTGCCAACACATAACTACAGAAATCTCAATCATCACACAGCAACAGAAAAAAAAACCTCATAAAGAAACATGCCATGACATAGAAAAGCAAGAAGAAGTAAGTACCCAGAAAAGGAAATAGAGAGGGAAAGATGAAAAGAGATTGTTCTCTCTGAAGCCAAAAAAAAGATACCTTTTTTCAAACCAAGGCCTAAAAGGGATTGAAAGCAAAAGCATGCATCAAGAAAAGAAGGAAGAATATGAGAAACGGAAATGGAGAAGAGACTTACAAGAAGAGGTTATTATATTCCTGAAGCTGAGAAGAAAGCTCTGTTTCTCTCTCTGAGAAATCTCTCTGTTTCGGAATTAAGCAAAGGGATTGAGTGACTTGTTTGTAGGAACTCAATTCACAAGCCACAATTACATCTAAATACAATTAATTAACATGTATGTTCTAAGTTTGTGGCATAAAATAAACACATCTCTCTCTCTCTCTCTCTCTCTCTGCAATATGTTTATGTTGGTCTCTTCTATTTATATGTATTAATTGTAAGCTTAGAGAGAGAGAGATTCTAACGGGAAGCTCAAGCCTCTGCGACTTCCACGATTCCTTTTACTTTACCGTTATTTTCGTTTAGACTGCCTCAACTTAACTTCCACGGGAATTTCATTTTCTCGTCTCTCAGGCAGCACACCATCATTATTTTTTGCTGCTCATGACATGAGGTCACTAACCCACAATACGAGTTTAATGAAATTAACCCATCTCAACCCTTAATTAAGTAAGTCTTAACCGTGATTAAGATTGCATTAAACCCAAATCATGCGAAAACATGGAACAAATATGAAGTCATATTAATTTTGTGTGACCGATTTAAGATATATTTTCACAATAAAATGAGTGGGGAAGAGATCATGTAGGCAAAGAAAGTCAAAGATTATTTCTAGCTACCTTCCTGGCTTTTGACGTTGATCTCCGAATTTGAAGACATTTGACTTATTGAGCAAACGTTGGCTCTTTGAGAAGCTCTATTTGTTTGCCACGTGTTTGGTTGACCCTCTTGGGAGGAGCTCTAGTAAGTTCCCCTAGTTGTCGTGTTTGGTTGACAATGATCAAATTAATTTCATAATCTCTTTGATTGATCAAATTAAGTATGAAATGATCCCATTTTTTAAAATAACTAATATGGTTCTCATTATCTTTCCCTTTTCCATGCATGATGCATGGAGGTAAGAGGTAGGAGGTAGGAGAAACTCTAAACATGCAACCTCAAAAGTGATTAGTTAAATATATATATATATATATATAAAAGTTTGGGAGTGATTTTAGAGAGGTCAATAATCACTTTTGGGGAGAATTATTTCTCCAAATAATCACTTTAAGTTATTTGTGTTTCTCTCCAAAATCACCTAAAATTACTAAAAATGATTATATAAAGAACTGCAAAAAAAATACTTCTTCTCATAAACGATTCTGGTATATCAAAAATTACTACCAAACGAGCCCATGTTCATGCATACTAGCCAGATGCTTTATCCCAACTTTGTGTTGATTATTGATCGCTAATTTAACATATGGGTTTTGTCCATAAGTTGGATGTGGGGCACCCACATGTTAGTCCTGAACTGTTGCGCCACCAAATCAAATCTTTTTTTCTCTTTTTCGTGACCTGAACCAAAATTAATACAAACTTAAGACTAATGCTCTAATATTACGTCATACTTTTATTTTTTTCTAGGTATAGTTTAAGCAGGTAAGGTGTGGTTGATCAACAAACATGTTTAGGATTTGCAGGACCTACGACTACGAAGAGCATGCTTATAAAATTAGCATGATTATGTGGATTGATTTTGACTAGTGGAAGTAATTAGTTCTTAATTTATGTTTGTAGAAAATTGACGTACGTCTAATATACAATTGGTGCATGTTCTTCTATAATGGAGTTGAGTAGGTGAGCTGATTTTTCACTTTCTTATATTTTAATTGGTGATCATGGAAGCCATGTAAGCCATGTAAGCTTTTCAATTTAATTACTTGGATTTTATCTTGGGATGGATGTTAAGGGCCCGTTCGGTAATGTTTTTAGAGCCTGTTTTCTGTTTTTGTTTCCTGTTTTTCACAAAAACACGTTCGGTGCATCGTTTTCGTTTTCCCTCACAAAACGTTTTCTGAAAACAAATCTGACTTTGTGAACAAAAGTTGAAAATGAAAAAAAGTTGTTTTCAGTGATTTCATTTTCAGTGTTTTCCGAAGACACAAGAATGCATCCCATCAACAACTCTAGCTCTCTCTTTTGACAACCGATAAACCCACCAACAGGAACAACACCCATCTTCTCTGACCCAAAATAAACAGATCTGCAAATTAAGAAAAAAAATACAGAGGAAGAAGAAGAAAAAAAAACAGAGACAAGAAGAAGAACCACCACATACCCAACTCAACCACCATCATCACCCAATCAAACCATCACAACCATTAATTAGTGGATCAAGAGAGAGAGAGAGAGAGAGAGAGAGAGAGAGAGAGATGGGTGGGTGTATGGGATTCATGCCATGGAAGGAAGGAGGAGTGGGTGTAGCCTGGGAAGGAAAGGAAGAAGAAAAGAGGAAGAAAATGAGAAAAAAGAAACGGCCTGGGGAAGGAAAGGAAGAAGAAAAGGGGAAGAAAGTAGGAAAGAGGAAGAAAAAGAGAAAAAAGAAGCAGCCATGTGAAGGAAAAGAAGAAGAAAAGAGGAGGAAAGAGAGAAAAGGAGAAAAAGAAGAAAAAGGAAAAAAAGAAAAAAAGGAGATAAGATAGTTTTTTAGCTTAAATTTTTTTCATTGTTTACAATAATTTTAGCCTCTAAAAATATCAGAATTAAAAAAAATTAGAACTGAAATTAGCAAAAATACACCTGAAAAACAATTGTTCTACCAGACACGTTTTCATTGTTTTTGTTTTCTAAAGATGTTTTCTAATTAATCTACCAGACGCATTTTCATTTCCTGAAAATGCAAATTTGTTTTCTTGTTTTCATTCTCTGAAAATATTCTCAGAAAACATTCTCCGAAAACGTTACCAGACGGGCCCTAAATTATCTTCCAGAATTAACCAGATGAAAACGAGTGTGTAAAACTGTAATTCTATTTCTACAAACGACGGTCCTTCTCGTCGTTTCAAATCCAACCGCCTAACCGACTCGTTGTAACGAACACCTGAACATCAACAAACCACGTACCGCCACCTGTCTACTATTTCCCGCTAAAACGAAAACCAGCCCTCTCTAAATTTACATCCAGTGCCACTTTCAATCTCTCACTCGCACTCTGCAACCAACAGAATCACTCACTCACTCAAAGAAAAGACCTCCTTTGATTCTGAAGCTCTCCATACCATCTATCAATGGCCGCACTGCTGCTCGTCTCCCTCATCCTCCTCTCACTCCTCTCTCTCTCCTCTTCCCTCCCCAACCAAGCCGTCCTCGACGCCGCCGAAATCCTCTCGGATTCAGGCTTCGTCTCTATGGCTCTGACTCTCGAGCTCGTCTCGCAGTCCCTCGTCCCACAATCCCCTTCTCTCACCATCTTCGCTCCGCCAGACACCGCCTTCACCCGATCGGGTCAGCCCTCCCTCTCTCTGCTCCAAATCCACTTCTGCCCTCTCCCTCTGCCCCTCCAGACCCTCAAAGCCCTCCCCGCCGGCACCAAGATCCCAACTTTGCTATCTGGGCACTCTCTCATCGTCACCACACCCTCCTCCGGCGCCCCAATTTCACTCAACAACGTCAAGATTACATCCGCAGCGCCCCTTTACGATGATGGGTTTTTGATCATTTTCGGAGTTGATAAATTTTTCGACGCCAATTTTCAGGTTCCCATCCCAATTCGGAGCCCCGTTCCAGATCCGGTATGTGGGTCTTCGACATCGTCATCGTCAGCGAACGTTACAACCACAATTGGGTTTCCGGGTGCTTCTTGGTTTGAAGGATCGAGTGCGGTTCTGAGGTCAAATGGGTACAATGTCATGGCCTCGTTTCTTGATTTACAGCTTGTGGGGTTCAAGAACCCGAATTCGATGACTGTCTTTGCTCCTCTTGACCAAGCAATTGAGAACCCTCTGCAATACCCTTCCATCTTTCTCCGACATGTCGTTCCCTGCCGGCTTTTGTGGAGCGATTTGGTGAGTTTCAACGACGGGACTGTTTTGCCGACGTATATGGAGGGGTTTACTATCACCATCTCCAGGTCTGGTGACGTGTTGTTGCTTAATGGAGTTCCGGTTTTCTTTGCGAACATGTACTACAGCGACTCCTTGGTTGTTCATGGTCTCCGTGAGAGTCTTGTAATGCCAGAGACGCCAGAAGTTGCAGATGAGTCTTCACCTGAGAGTGGAACCAACGATGAAGTGCCTTTTGATAATACTGAGTTTTAAGAGACTTTGAAAATTGCTCTGGTGAAGATGAAGATCTTCAGGAAGTGTTGTTTCTTACAAACAAGTGTCTGTTTTCTGAAGAATATTCTTTTGTCAATAGCTTTTCTTGTAATAAGATGGAAAGGTGGTTCTTTTTTAAGTTTGATTTTGTGGATAGGCCGTCTCTTTTCCTGTATATCTGATTGTGATTCAGAAATGTAGAGATAGGCATTCAGTGAAGATTAAAGCCTTCAAAATTTTACAAAGAAGAAGGCTACTTGTTCTGTAGTGTGCTTGTTCTGGATTTAAAAATTAAAGCTTTGTGTAATTTGAATCTTGGACGCATTAGTTGTCTGCTCTGCTCACGCCACTGGATAAGCCCTAAGTTGCTTGGATCAGACGGGTCTTTGTTGTATCTTTTACTAAATGGAATGACTTTCTGTAATCTGGAAGCCAAGTGAAGTCCTAAAGCATCATTTTGCGTCATTTCTTTTGGGCCAAAAAGTCATCTTTGTGATGCAAGATGTCTCATGATTTCAACTGTTTATGGACCCAAAAGTACTTCAGACAGTATTTCTTTCTCAGAACTTCATTAATTTTGCAAAACATCTTGACAGATGAGTTTCAGGCATTAACCAAACACCGCAAACATAAACTTCTAATCCAGACATTGCCTCCTCCAAGCAGGCACCATTTCAGCATAAGTGATGCGTGAAGGGATCAATTTTAGCCATAATTAAAGCATAATGATCGTCTTCTTTGATCACTGCATAATAATCAAGGGATGTGAGCAGCATTGGTTTCAAGCACTAAACTGGATCAAAATACTTCCTCAAAATACTTCTCAGAACCAAAGGCATTACAAACATCAACAATATTTAGATTCCTTTAACTATAAATAAGAAACTCGATACAGTACAAGAACGGGGTATTAGCCCCCAACTCGGAATGGAGCTTCGCCCCATTCGATTTTTCTTTTTTAATATTCACTCTAAAAGATGACAATAGTAAATCCTAGTTGTATAACTGTTTTCTACACTTAAGACCTAGACTTCATTTGATGACGATACATCAATGCTGCTGCTATTGTTGGTATTATTGTTGGAACTGCTCTTTTTTCTCCTGCCTATCGGTAAGGATAGTTTCACAAACACTAGCTCCCTTCTTCCGGGGCGGTTTGCATAGAGTACCCAGAGAACAAGACAGAGCAAGACTCCAACTGATATCAGGGCCAACCCTGCATTCACAATTTTCAGATAATGATCCAATGGAGGGCAATAACTTGACGTGATTGTTCGAAATGTGTCTCGAACAAAATTACAATCCTGGAGGCTCAATAAGGGTGGAGTATAGTGCTGAAGTGCATAGCTCTCATTAACTGCTGCAACCAGCTGAGTGTAGATGTCTGGGCTTATCCTTCCAACTGTGGTGCACATCCCAGATACCGAGACTTCACATGTATAGTTCTGCCAAACCTGAAGAATTCCAACGAACCAAATATTTGTTTAAGCAAGCAATCATACATACTGCCTTATCTCGTAATTTCAGGATGTTGTATTTTCATCCCCTCAATGCAATGTTACGCAAATCAAGCAGCTTCCAGCAACATATATAAAGACACCAAATTATCCAAATTACTAAAATAGTCAAAGTCAATGATTCTTACCAAAGACGCATTTGAAATAGACACGTCTTGATCCCCACACTGACTATCTCTCAACTGAGAATCATATGGGTAACAGAGAGGTGGCATCAGAGGCCCGGACTGATTGTAATAATAAGGATCGGCACGGGATGGATACGTATTGGCATATGTATAGATGAACTGGTTGACAACATTTACAATGTCGTTGATAACTTGTTTACTCTGGCTAAGTGTCTTATTTGTGGTTCTCTGGTCAACACATGGAAGGATGTTGCTAAGTGCTGTTTCAGCATGAGGATGTTCTACCCACTCTTCCATGGCCACACAGGTGTCAGACACAGTACTGAAACACAAAAGATAAAAACGAAATATATTTCAGGTGAGGGCATTAGCATAATCCCTGCTGGATCAGGAGGCATAATACAATCACAATCATCATAGTACTTTTTTGAGTTTCTGATTCACCAGACAATCAAGTAAAAAGAACATAAATATAAGTATTTCAATCGAAGACAACATATTCTTACTTGTTAAGGATCACAAAGACTCCAGAAAGAATGAATGTAATTGCTACAAGTAACCATCCACTAACAATAAATCTGAAAAATATGACGGCTTTGTCAGACGGAGATATGGAACCATTCCAGAATGTGAAGAGTAGAAGAGTTAATACAAATTTAAAAAAATTGACAAATACAAGGACAACTTACATGTGGATCGCATGTTGGTGCCCAAGGATGGACAGAACTGCAACAAGATGCATTAATGAGTTACAAGGAGACAAAAAGTGCAAATACAAGAAGACCAAATAATAGATTTCATTCATCAAGTTGTTTAGGGTGATACATACAAAGACCAATCACAGCTAGGAGAAGCATCACTGCTGCCACGGTGATTAAAGCTGAACGCCTGCAACATTTAACTCGTTAGTACATTAAAAACACGGGGTTTCAGTATAACCCCTTGATTAGATAGTACTACGGAAGTTTAAGAAGACATACACAGCACTGAAGACTCTTTTTACTTTAACAGAATTTTCACTTGTCTTCTCTGTCAGTGTATTTGCTGCAGTGTTCAGATCTAGATTCAGCTTGTCAATACCATCCATGACATCAGAAGGTAAGAAAATCTGGGCCACACTAATAGCCTTTGCAAGGGACAGATACTCTGTGACATTTCTCAGAGTCTGTACAGTGTAGTCGGACTGGTTTACAACATAATTTAGAGTACGCATTGCTTCATCATGAAATTCATCTTGCCCAACAGAAAGAAGAATACATCCAATCCTGTGTGATTGAGAAGATACAGCATATCATGTTAGAAAAGGGACACCTGAGAGATGCATAAGGTAACAAAACTGCCTTCCTAGCACAACAGATGGCCAATACCATCACGTGTGGACCTTACTAAGTATATGTTGAAAATTTCCCCACACCAAAAGGAAAGAAAAAAGAACGTTACTATATACAATCTTAAGCCAAAAAGATGAATTTCCCGAACGATTATTTTTTTGGTGTGCAACTCCAAATATGAACCAAAATAATTGTATGCGAAGAAGAAGGGCAGGAAAATGGGCAAAAGAAACATAAATTCAACACCAAAGCTAATAATATTAGTTAGTTTAGAACAATATCTATATATATTCATATGAAGTTCAGAACATTACGCAGCAGCACATGTGAAGACTAGTAGCAGAATCAGGCATATCCTCTGTGAGCGGTGTGATTCTTCCTCTTTAATGTTTATTCTCCATCCACAGCAATGATGAACCACAAGAACCATGCCAAAAGCAACAAACCATAGGACAGAAATAATGAAACCAGCGGCACCTGTAAATCCAACCGACTGCAGAAAAGAGATCATATTACTAAGGAATACATGAGAAACTTAAATGTACAAGTAATAATATGAGCATCACAATTCCTATTATTATTATTACTAAATATTTATCTAACAGCAGTTCAAAGAGGCAGAACAGAACGAGTAGGTACAGAGAAAAAATTAAGCTTTATTGGAAATTTTGATGTATCATCACCTAACAAAATTGCATTCTAGTGGTCTGCCTCCTGTTAGATATTAATTAAAAAAAATTATGTTTCTCACCATAAAAAATAATAATAATAATAATTTCAGCCAATGAAAGTTAGATCTCACTATTTCTTGATCATTTAAAATCTTCACACTTTTCATCAAAAACAAACAAGCATCATATTTTTATATGATATCATATCCAATAAGTTAACAAATGGGCCACGAATTATGCTATAACAATCAAATTCTACAGCCTAAACCAATACTCGAGCTAGATTGACTGCAAGTATGCACACATTTCATAAATCGCAATCAACGAATGAAATGACAAGAAGGAACCAAGACTTACCGCCCAGTAGTGCCGATTAGCAATGTCCCAGCCTCCGCGATAACGCTTAAACCGGCTCAGAATATCTGGCCTGTTGGTCCTTTTAGCCGCCAAAACAAGCGTGCCTTGAGGTGCATCGCTTGCAGACCCTGGGGATTGTGCAGTATCTTCTGAGATTCCATTTCTCCACGACCCTAGATTTTCATCCACTAAAAAAACAACAAGAAGCAATGTTATAAGGTTAGAAAGCTGCAAAATTTCAGCTGCTGAGCCATTCAGACTTGAAAACTCTCAAAGTAATTTTGAAAGTAAAAGAAATGTTATTGGTTTGGAACATAAGCATTTGGCTTGTTTGTTTGCTGAGTAATAGTGGAAAAAAGATTCGATCTTTCATCAAAATAAGAATAAAGATGAAATGAAAAACTGGCAATGAATTGTGATAAAGGTTATGTATTGTTACGTTGTCTTGAAACCGAAAAACAACAATGACTCCAAAAATCTCATTTTCCATTTCTTCTCCTCCTCAGCAACCAAAGAAGCACACAAGATAAAACCCATTTAAACAATAGACTTAAGAAAAACGTACCTAGACTAAATTTGAGAGTATCTCTGGTGGGTCGGAGTCCATTTCGAGTTAGAGCTGAAACGCAGCTCCCAGAACCCAAAACCAGAAAGAAGAAGAAGAAGCAAAGAGAGGTGGCAACCAGCAAGCGCGTCATTTGCAGAGTCTTTCCACTCTCTGTTCACGAAAATCTCAGGACAGAAGCCAGATACGAATCAAGCCCATTTCCAAGATTTGGTCTAGGTACAAAACCCAAATCTTGAAAAGGAAGTATAATTAAAATGGTGAAATGAGTGAGTTGTGTGTCAGTGTTCTAATCTGGTCACATTCTTGGGGGTAAGGGATTTATAAGAAGGCAAAAATGGAGTCTCCAAAGTCACATGGGGGTGGGGAGGTGGGGTAATAAAAAGGCGGGTGTGAAATGAATGAAGGATTGCTTAGCGCCTCAAAGCCAAAGCCAAAGCCTCAGCTCCCTCACTCTGTTTCTCACTCTCTCTCTCTCTCCTAGTTGAAATATGAGTGCACTAAGCAAACCAACACAGTTCCATAAAACCCACAACTGTTTGTTTGCTCCCCCTACTTAATAATTTATACCACTTTTCTTTATTTGTCCTTTCTGCTTTTCTTCTTCTTTTTCTTTATTTTATTCGGTTTACCTTTAACGCTTTTTGTTTTTTATTTTGTAGGGGCTGCTCACATTTTCCATTTTCATTTAGTGTCCCATTGGACCTCTGGTCCTCACCAAGTTGCCATTGTCAATGATATAAATGCTTTACATTCTCTGCCTTCTTTCTGGGTACTCATATAAAAGTAATAATATACACTTCAATTATAAACTTAATTGGAAAGTACTTTCAATATGAAGGCACTGAATGGAATCTGTTTCGGATTTATAGTGAATGAGAACAAAACGGAAGTATCTTTGGAAGGACGGAATGGATTGGAACGGAACGGCATGTTGACAACTGACGTTTGCTTTTTATACTTGTATGAATTATATGAAAAATTCTTCAATAAGTATTTTATATTAAGAATTAATTATATATTTTTAATCTTGAATCATTATATTATTCTTCTGTTAACGGATTTCGTTATTTTGATTTGAGCTAGTGCGTTTGGTTTAGGTGCACCACAAACGTCATATTTTTGTATGAATATTATTTCTGAATCGAGATCAGTGAAAGATTGCGACTCAACAAAAGCTTTTCAACCTGTTTTTCCATCTAATCTACGAGATCCATGGCATATAAAACGCATCCACACTTCCTCATGCAAAAAAATCCATAATATAAAAATGTTTACATTTATATAATATTCAGAAAAAGAAAGGCGGGCACCAAAAGTAAACCAAAATTGATCCAATGAAGAAATTAAGTAAAAAGATTAAGAAAAAATAAAACCCAATTGATTCACAAAATCGTGGTGCTCAACAGGTGATTTGGGGGCGGCAAGATGCTAATTGGGTGGGCTGTTCGAGATAATTTAGGGGCGTAGACCGTGATTGGGGAAGGACACGTGGGACCAGCCGACACTAACACGGAATTTGGCAGCGACCAACAACGTCAAAAGCAGCGCGCTCATTGCGTGTGTCCTGAACTCATCTCTCTACAGTATATTTGCTCTTCTGTTTTTTTGGTAAAATATATTACGCGCATAAGGTTTTTTATTCTTTTATTATTATTATTCATACAAACAAAAATGAAAAATGAATATATTTACCGCTTTTAAAATGGCTAAAAGGCCAAAAAATCATTAATGTAGTGGTTTGGAACCGTTCGAGTCTTAACATCCGTATAATGTATGTGTATGAATGTATTATCATCCCTTTTAATATGAAAAGTTAAAATAATTTAAAATAAAAATAAAAGTTAAAAGCAGATTTTGACAACTAAAAATCATCATGCATTTCTTACCAAAAGAAATGAAGAGCTGTTTGCTTTCTTGATTGATTGATGCTAATAATGTGGCGTCAAATGAATGACATACCAACTTTCTTTACCTATACGTAAATTAATTAATGTATTTTGACAAAAATAAATAATGTCCATTAATGTCATTCCAATTCCGGGATAATAGATGTTCGTAATTTCCATACAAAAACGACAGTAATTAAGACTAACTAGACGACTATTCAAATGACAGACTTCTCTTTAGTCCTTTTCCTATGTTTAGGAAAATTCAAGTTTTTGTTAAGAGTCTTGCGAATCACTGCCAAAGGTTTTCCAGGATAATAGTAACAATTCTTTTGTCAAATTTAAAAAATAAATCACAGAAATATAATTGAATTAAAAAACTCACACGCATATAAATAAATATTTTTAAATTTGGTACCGCTTCTTATCGGTATTAATCAAATTGAGGCACATGATCCAATATAGAAGTCCTTGACATGATTATTTAGTTTTATAAATAATAAGAAATGTTTAATATTATATTAACGTGTTAAACAATACAAAAGTCCTTGACGTTCTAGATTCGATTTCTTCCTCCAAAATATCGCTTGTATAACAAAAAAAATAAAAATAAAAACAAGAGATTCTAGCTCAAGTAGTTGAGAGTATTTGTTTATGCAACTGATAGCTTATGTCGGAATTCATCCTCCTCAATTAGCTTGTATCAAAAGACAAAACTGGTTATTCATGGATCCAAATCCTGTACTTAATTGAGTAAGCATTAGATGGAAAGTTAAATTAGGAACCTCCAACAAAACGCAGCGAATCCAAACCTTTTGTTAATGGCCGTGGTTGGTTGTGTAAAATATAGCTTAATTGGCTTAACCGTTTTAAATGGAGTGGTTTGAAGTCTACATCAAAAGTAGCTTGTCTAAACAAACATCCAAATTCATACACCATCTTAATATATTTGTGAAGGCCAATCGGATTATGACCAAAGCACAAGACAAAGCAAGTATGTATGCATGTCTCACATTCTATCTTCACTTCCGGAAAACAACTTCTTTGTTATATTTAGCAGAATAATCTTCACAGCTGCATGCATTTGCATTTGTGAACGCAGTCTGAGAATTAAAAGGTGATTGGATTGGGAAGGATGATGGGGTACCAGATCAGATCAGATCAGTCATCAGTGGTGGCTGAAAAGGTGTGCATGCATGTGATCAATCAATGGCGGGATGGGATCTATCTACTACACTACAGTCTAACCTCACTAAGCTTCTCCCTCCATCCCCAACAAACCTAGAAGAAGAAAAAAGATGAAAATTATGCATTTCTTGAATGTTACATAAAGGAAGCGAATTGAATTTGTCGGTACGTATGACTCATGGTGAAGGTGGAGGTGTTGGTTTTTAGATCTAAGTCTAACCAGAGTGACACCTAACATTTCTTACGCTACCAAAAAAAATATATAGATATGCAATAAGTGTTTATTTTTTATCGTATCTGCCGTCATAATTTTGGGTACTTTTTTTAAAAAAATTTAAAAAAATGGTATTATTGGTAGGGGCAATAATAGTCCGGAAAAAAACAGTTGGGTCCTCATGCTCTCTCATGCTCTCATGCTCATAAATAGCATAATACCAATCAGTTCAATCTCGATATCTTAATGCGCAAGTATGAAAAGGACATGCCGAAAATGCGGACCTTTATCATTTTGTCTTGTGTGCGGTGATAGGCCTGAGCTAGAAATTTAGTTAGTAGTGGAAAACGCTAGGCTGGTGGATTACATGAGAAACAAAGATAGAAAGATACTTTCCTCTCTCTCTCTCTCTCTCTCTCTCTCTCTCTCTCTCTCTCTCTCTCTTTCTCTCTTTCGTGCTTGAAATCATCAGCTTTCACTTTTTTGATGCCAAGGAAATGACAATAATTGGTGCATCCTGCCTACCAATTACCTATCCATCCATCTTTCTTTTGTCGATCTGCTTTTCACAGTTAAAAAGAAGAAGAAAAAACAGCTTCTGGCCCAATCACAATGTTTTCCCATCGTGACTGATGGACGTTGCAAAAATGGGCCTGCTCCTTTGCCATCTATGCCATTTGTGGATTGGAATTTGGACCCAATTCCGATTCTAAATTCTCATTTGAGTTCAGAATATGGGTTCGGCTCAGAATCTTCATTGTTATCAAAGCCCAAATACAAGGCCGAGCATAGACGACGATGCTGCATAATTCAGCAGCCCCAAAAATATGAGATAATGGGAAGTTGGGAGCAAGCAAACATCACTCACACAATAATAATATACACATTTTTACATCAAACAAACAATTGCAGAAGATAATGGCAATGATCTCCATGCATTCACAACATCAACTTGAACCGGTAAAACAGTCATACACGTATTTTGTTTATGCAGAAAATGGGGCAATCATTCAGGAGGCATGAACCTAGGCAGCTGACTAAGGTCAACTTCATCCAAAATAGGGGTCATGTTCAACTCCCCTTGTCATATATGTTCAGACAAAGACATTAAATGAGATTAACATCACATTACGTCTCTCTCTGCATTTTACAAACTTGCAATGGGAGCTGCAAATTATATTTGATTACTTGAAAGTATGGTAACAAATCGACTACAACCTTCTTGCAGGCACCCTCAACCAGCAAACTGAGGCGGGTATCTGCAATCAGGCATAGGTTAAGAATGACACAACACAAGTGAATTGACAATTGTCCATTTCCTAATCTCAAAACCATTTCCAGTTGTGTTCATTTTGTTTTTTGGCGAAAGCATTGCTTAACAGATGAAATTTTTTCTTAATCTGATGATAACCAAACCTCTAAAGAAGTACGCCCTATGAGACAAGAATGAACGCGAGCAAAGCTGTCTACAAACTAAGAATGAGCATATACCAGAGATCTTGTTTACTTTGCAGACAGGCTCCTCGAAAGAATCCCAAAGTCGAGTTGTGTTAAAAGTTAGAAAGCAATGAAGATGACATTAACTACCATGGAAAGAATCAAATGCTCCCTCCCCACCATTCCAAAGGAGAGGAACATTATGAGCATATCTTGGGTGAATTTGTCTGCATACCAGAATGCAGACATCAAGCGAAGTACAAAATGCGCCATAAAATGTCAATATGGCAGTGGTTAGGACAAGTGAAAACAAGTCAGATAGTACCTGGCCAATAACTTCCATAGCATCACGAGGTTGCCGCCGTCAATTCTCATCGTAAAAACCAGGATAAAGCTCGGGACTCTGTAGAATTTCCTTATTATAATTTCACTTGGAAGTATTGCCCATCAACACCCCGGACACCGTCGTGCAACTGATCAATGAATACTTTCATAGAGTCACTGCAAAACTGTTTCACTACAAACCCAAGAAAGAACAAGGAAACTGAAGAGTGAATTAAAAAAACCCTACCCTGCGTCTGCGCAACAAACAATCTCTTCAGATTTGCCAACCATAATCTTGAAAGAAATGTTTCTTTCCTCTTTCACCGTGTCCCCTGCCATTTGAGGTTCAATGCATGTCCCTTGATCAAGATTTTCATTCGTCTTATTCTTCTGGTCTATGCTATATCAGAGTATCAGTCAGAGGTGTGTTTGATACTAATGAGCACATAAGAAAATCCAAAAACATTTGGCGATAAACCAAACAAATGCTAAAGTTGTAACAAAAATATTTGGAACAAGTGAACACAACAATTACCTCATCAACTCCCACATTGATAGTCATCTCCTATAGTATTTGCATCCGTTCCGCAAAGCTGCATATCAATGAGAACATCTCCCTGTCCATGGGTTCTCCGCACTGATAAAGAACACCTTTGTAATGACCAAATCACTTATTTGGGGGCTAAGAATTACTGCACAATTTCAATGGAAAAAATTATAACACTAGGTACCCTTTCTGATCTTGAATTCATTTACAAGGTGAAAAATAGTCCTGATGAGAATACAAAGATTATGCAATTCAATGATAGTAACTACACAGTGTAACTGCAATTGAAAATCTGAACCATTCCATTCAAATTCATGGATGTCTATTTGTAAAAAGTGAGAACATTCCATTACTAATCCGGTCGAGTTTATATCAAAGCAACATGACAGCCATCATCAAACATAAACTGCCAGTCATTCAGCTACCCAAAAAATCCAAACTTTGTAATATTTCTTGCTCAATGGATCAAAGAAAATATCAAAATGTTAGGAGACCCTCCCAAAAAATAGTGTAAATTAATTCTAGGAGAAAAAACTTCCCTCGTTACAATAAAGACCCAGTCTTCGACAGTTCGATTGGAAACCAAGTCCAAATAAATTGCTCCTACATGTAATAAGTTAGATGCCCATCTCGAACTAGCTCCGAAATTACATGACCTACTACTTATTCTTCACCGTGATACCAAGCTCGCTTGCGACAATCACAGTGGTTGCCATGTCCAGGAACATTCCATGCTCAACAACTCCAGCAAGCTGCAAAATTGCGTCACTGGCTGCCTTCAAATCCCCAATATCTTTCTTGAAATACAAGTCCACAATGTAATTCCCATTGTCTGTCACAAAAGGCTCGCCATTTTCACCAAAAGTCCTGAGCTTTCCAACACAACCCGCGTCCTCAAACAAGTCTTGCAGCCTTTTGGCCGTGAATTTCCAGCAAAAGGGCACAATCTCAACCGGCATAGCGAGCCCACTGCCCCCCAAATGCTTAACAAGCTTGGACTCATCAACGATAACCACAAATTTCCTACAAGCACCTTCAACCATCTTCTCCCTCAATAGCGACCCACCTCGGCCTTTGACCAAATTGAGGTGGGGATCGACCTCATCGGCGCCGTCGATCGCGAGATCAAGAACAGGGTGCGAATCGAGGTCCGACAATGGAATTCCCACGGACAAAGCTTGTTCATGGGTCTTCTTAGAAGTGGGTATTCCGACGATGTTCTGGAGCTTTCCCTGGTGCAAAAGCTCGCCGATTCGGTCCACGGCGTGCTTAGCGGTGGAGCCGGTGCCAAGGCCGAGGACCATGCCGGACTCGACATACTCCACGGCTTTGTAGGCTGCGATTTTCTTCAACTCGTCTTGGGTTAGAATCACAGAGGGAATGGGAGTAGATAGAGGCGAGGAAGAGGTCGGGGAAGACACCAAAATCCCAGCTTCCATGGACCCAATAACAAAATGGGGGCAACAAGAAGGATGCTATTCAAAACCCAGAATTGGGTTAGCCTAAAAATGAAAAAGAATCAAAACCCAGAAAAAATGAATGAAAAGAAAAAGTGTCCTTTCGAGTTATTCAAGCATTGCAGACAAAAAAACAGCAGGGTTTTGAAGGAAGGAGGCCCAAACAAAAGAAAGAGTAGAGTAATTATCTATCAATCTATCTAGAAATGTGTGGCGGTCAGCATTGGGGGAAAAGAAAGAGAGGAGATAGGGTTTGTGAGGAGGCGAGTTGGGGGAAGGAGATGTATTTATAGGGGAGAAGGGTCACGACTCCTGAAGGTGGTGGGAACTGGGAAATAGGAGGGTTGGTTTAAAAAAGAAGGGAATTTCTGAGGTTGCATTGAAAATTGAAATTGGGGAAGATTTGGGCATATTTCGTGGTGGGGAAAATATTCAATATCATCACCTATGTCTCTATATGTCAAAGGCATAGAATTATAGAACCCTATCCTGTGGGGCTCTAATATACATAAAATAAAATTAAAAAATACTATTTATATATTGAAAATTGATTTTTTTAAGTTTATTTGAAATGTTAGTTTTTTCTTTTCTTTTCTTTTTTGGTGAAAACATAATTAAAACACATAAAAGGGAATTTTATTTATTTTGCAAATTCATCAACTATTACATATTCATTAACTGCAGTTCCTAGTCCGAAGAGGCTCTTCGGTGTTTTGTTGGATTTGTTTTGAAAAAATCAGAAATAACAATTTCACGACTTTTTCTAAGCTTTTTACAGCTAGAGTGGAACTGCTCTCAAGTAGAATATCATGGTAACTACCCACTAATTTTTATATTTATAATGTTCGAGGTTTTTAGTTTTTTTTTATAACCGTTTTGAGTATTTAGTTTCATTGAATATATATATATATATATTGAGTTTTTTTTATTTTTTGGGGTAGAAACAAGAGTATATAGTATGTCGTCAATGCAACATGAGATTTTAAAGTTCGAATAAAACTCACACACACTATACGGATGTTAATACTCGAACTCAAAATCATTTTTAAAAGAGCAATTGTTCCAAATTAGTATACCAGTAGGTCCTTTGCGTAAACCAAACCCTACTCGTTGAATGCTGAAATCAAAGTTTGAATAAAACCGTGTCGAGCCTTTACAAGAATAAGAAAGACGGTTAATATCGTCCATCCAGTATGCTATTGTGTATTTGTCGAGAACTTTTTAGGAATAGGACATCCATTATCAATGGTCTTCACTTGAGTGTAGCGTCTTGATATAGAATAATAGAAATATATCATATATGAATGGAATCAGTTTAACACTTTTTAACGTATTCTTTTTCATTTTAAAGAAGCATGGTGGCAAACAACGGATTTAATAAATAATTCTCATCACTCAGATTCCTTTCTTTTGGCACCCAATCACCGGATTTAATAAATAATTCTGTACGTAATTAATATACAAATTTGCAAGATTTTCAACTGAGTTTTGTTTATTCAAACCATTTTATTATTTATTATTTATTATTAAGCAGCGGTGATATGTTATTTTATTTTAGTTTATTTGGTTTGGTTTTCTTTTTTCGGAGCTTAGAAAGAAACTACAAAGGGTGCAGAAGAAAGCCTGTTTCTTGCAGTTTTTGATGATGACATTTTCACGTGTGATGTCCATGAAAAAGACACAAGGCATTGGCAAGGTATCTTCTTGGGAACTCAATTACTTGGTATTGGCTTCGACCTCTGACCTCGCGCATCAGTCTCTGGGCCATTAGGTTTTTTTCTTCTCTCTCTTTTTGGTTATTTATGTGGAAAAAGAAGAAACCGACAGGAGTATCAGTTTTTTTCCTCAATCTGTGTCTGTAATTGAATGGCCATGTTTCATTTCTTATGAATGCATTCCAAAACAAGATATATTCCACCGTTACTCGCGTAAGTCAAAATAAATTAGTTGCTTTAGAAACAAAAATCCCAAATCTGATCGGAGGCCATGGACAAACAAGGTGAAACTTAAAAATAAGCTAACCTAGTAGTAAGTTTTTGACAAAGTGATACGATAAAATATTCTAACGTATGTAGAGGGGATCGAACACGGCTGTAACAAATTTCGAATTGACCATTCAAAACATGTTCTTCATATGCAATTCAGCAATGGTCAAGGTTCAACCTAGACTTTAAATGAAGGCTTTTGCTTCAATGTTCCATTCTCAGTTAGAAAGTTGGGTCTAGTCAAAGTGCACCAAGATAGGAGTTACATTTGTTTTTGGCACGAAAGTTCTTCGCAAGTGAAGCCATCTAAATCCTACATAATCTTCACAAATATGGGTCAAACCTTTTGAGGGCGCCGTGGAGATGCTTCTTACCAATATACCATGTAAAGACGAACATATTACATATCTGAATAAAATAATAATGGGTTTCTATCATAAATGAAAAGTTCAAACAACTATGTTTAGAAACAAAACTTGCTACGAAAGACGTTCAAAGAAAGTTATGTCAAGTAGAATATATTCTTGTTGCTCCACCTCAAACGCTATTATGCTGTAGCATATAGACAATTATGGATGCATCTGCCTTTTGTGATGATCTTACACCGATAACACATAGTTCTGCAACTTATGGTGCTAATCTTCTTGTTCACAGCTCTGATTTTTGTTTAAAGAAGCTCCACTCATGTAATCTAGAAGAAACTTTTGACAATTAAGCATCACGACTTTTAAGAAAGTGAAAGAACAAAGCACAATACACTTCCATTGCCAGTTCCAGAGTAGTTTGTTTAAAAAACAAATCCCAGATTTAATCCAAATCTCAGACATATGTTACTAATTTAAAGTAGATAACAATATACAAAGAAAGGGAGAAGAGGGCAAACACGTGCTGCCAGAAGAGAAGTGCTGAGGCCTCGCTTACTGCATAACCCCTCAAGCTCGCAATTGCTCCCAATAAAATTGCGCTTGGTGTCGTGTACTGCATCAAAAGCACAAACCTGTACATTGCATCGCCATCAACCAGAAAATTGAGCTTATCAGCCAACGCCACAATACCAATTCCCAACAGAGGAAGCAATAAAAGCCTTGCCACAGTTATACCAACAGTAGTTCGGAGCCCTAGAGTAGAATCATTTGGCCCCTCTGCGAGCATACCCCCAAGAATAAGCATCACAGAAGGCACCATGGCACCAGCTAAAATCTCTAAGCTGTCTGTGAGGAAGGATAGTGGTGCATCATCTCCGAAGAAAAAAGCTTTTAACAGAGGCACTGTCCCAATAACGATAGCCAATAGAGAAGCAATTGTTGGGGGTTGCAGTATGTGCCGTATTGGAGTTTGTTCAGCAACAATTCTCATCCTCCTGACCACCCTGGGTTCAGCCAAACACCTAATCGACCTGGGACTGTTTCCACCACCTTCTCCTGAGAGATCAACATCTTGCAAAGTGCTCTGTGAAACACTTGAGATGCTTTTGAAAACTCTAGCAATAAAGGGTGTCTTGGAATGCTCGGTTTCTTTTTCTTCAATACCCGGCCATTCAGCTTCTACAAGTAGAGGCCTACTCAAATCGTTAGTTTGTGCTTCTTCAATCTCAACCCCTTCTTCAACAATCTCATAATACTCCAATGGGGGTTCCATCATGTGGTAAACAAGGGTATAAACAAGAATTACAGCAACCCATTGGGCGAAAGAGACATAAGCCACCCCTCTGGAGTGACAATGGGGTCCAAATGGGTTTTTCGGAGTATGACAGACAGATCCGACAACAGCAAGTGGAAGATTTCCAGTATTCCCAAATGCAGTCATGATAATGGTAAATCTGTTTAACTCTGCGGGCGGACGACATATGATCACCACTAAGTACCCAAGCAAACAACCAATAAGTGTACTCACTAGCACATTAACTGGGATAAACCACCACTGAACAAAGTTTTCGAGTGTAATGGATTCACCTAGTTCAGTAAAGATTAGACATGGCAAGAACAAGGCAAAAACAAGCTTGCTGAGAAGCTTAAAAGTAGCTCTTGGAATCATTTGAGATTTTGGGTGTGAAAGAACCAGTCCAATGACCGTGAGTGACAAAAGTTTCATCAAAGGTACTATTGCACTCATCACATCCCCACTATACTCCAAATTATCTTGATACAATTCCATAAGATACCGAGACATCTTTTCTTTAATTACTCAAAGATGAAGCTCTTTCTGCAATTAGTCAAACAAGAGTTCAAATGAATAATCAACCATTCAACATAAATAGTACCAGTAGAAAAATATCTAATTTGCGAGCGCACAAGATGGATTCAGCACAACTTCAAAGAAAACAATGAGATACAACGAGGGTTTAACATAATATCACAAACCCAACAAAAATACTATGAGGATTTAACATGGGTTTGCAGGATTTTCACAAACCTTAAATAACCCAAGAAGAAAAGTGGGCGATTCAGTAAAGAAATTAAACAAAAATATCAACAAAATTTCAGTGCTCGGAGAGAGTGAGACTTACAATTACAGAAAGAGGATTGAAGAAAGACAAAGAAAAGCTTCACGGGCCAGTAATTGGAATTATTGTTGAAGCTACCGGAAAAAGACTCGCCAGTACAATGCCTTAGCAAACAATTTTAGGCCAAATACTCGACAAAGACTAGGGTCCTTTTCAGAACAATAAAAGAAACAATGGTTTTATTTTGTGAAGTCAAGAGGAAGAGAAGTTGGTTTTTTTGTTTGTTTCTTTTTAGCCAGCTGGCATATGTGGTTCTGAGTCTTTTGGTTCCCTCCAACGGAAGAGTGGGCTGGGAATTGAGATTTTTTCTTGTGGGTGGGTTTACACAAATTGGGCATAGCCTCTGGGCTTATTGTTGTGGGCTGTGTCGTTCGTTTGGTCTAATGAAGCGCAAAAAAAAGAAACAGGTTCATTGCTGGCTATGGGGTTCGAACCCATGCGCACTTATGTGCAGAAGATCTTAAGTCTTCCCCCTTAACCTCTCGGGCAAACCAGCTGTTGATGTCTTTTTCAACTCGAGTAACAATAAGTACGTACGAAACAAACTTGTATTTTATATTTCAGCTCCCAAACCAAATCTTACAATTCTAGCTCCACCCTGAGAGATAGTATTATAATAAGACTATGATAAACATGTCCTAATTTTTGGGGTCAAGTCTATGATAAAGAAGTGAGGTGGATGGAAAAGAATAGGGCTGAATAAAAGTAAGAAAAGGAAGAGGTGAAAAGACAAGACGTAGTACAATGGTACGTTACATGTGATATATATATATGAAATGAGATTCCCTGATTCTTAGTTTTGTTGTATAATAATTTGATAAAGAAGAGCACAGTAAGAGAGCGTGAGGGAGACTGAGAGAATGGTACTATATAGTACTGACAGACGCTACAAGTCATCAAAAACATCAATAACTCCACAGACCAAAGCTTCGCCAATCTGCCAAAGGGTACACCCTCATTTTGGGAAAGCTCCATCTTGCGTAACAGTTGCTGTTTCCCAATATTCTCTGTTTTAGACCCAAAACCAAACCCCTTTGTGTAACCAAACTCTGTTCATGTGGGGGAGGAACCCTAGGGAATGAGATGGTTGGAAAGGAACTAGATTGGTTGGGATTGGAGAGAGAACCAGCTATTCCTTTTCATTTTCAGTTACGAGAGAACCAGCGTTTTTTAGCAGACCCTCTCTTTTAACGGTTGTAATTATGCCAGCCAGTAGGGAATTCACATTGAGACCACAAGGAAATCAATCATATTCATCTACAGTACATGCACGTACGAAAAGGCGTATATACTGTTACCACCTTGGCACGTTCATCATCAGCTTTGAGTCTTTTTCAAAATAGTTAATCGTTTTATTAATCATTAAACTTAGACTCGATTTGCATTTGAGTTACTCAATTTTCAAAATCATTTCTGTGGTCAAGTTAATATAAAAAAAAATATCATTTTATCCCTGCATTTAACAGAAAATTTAACAAAATTGACGACATGACCATTTATCCTAATAAAACAAAAGATGAAGGATCACGAGAAAGATTTTGGAAATTGAGAGACTCAAATGCAAATCTGGTCTAAGTTCAATGACTAATAAAACGATTAACCATTTTCAAAATTAAACATGCATAATTAAGAATTCATCATAAGAAGGTTTTGAATTAATGGTACAATATCCTTTTAAGATTTCAAAGGTACGACGACATGCGTTTTACTACCATCATGATATTGTTCCAAACTTATTAGTCACTAATTACATATAGTCCGACAATTGTAAAAGGTTATACGTACACATTATATTAACGTGTGAAATAATTCATTATAGTTTGTATATTTTATTTTGTCAAGTTTCGAATGAATGTCGTACTTCATGTTATTCCACACATATATGTGGGTGGTGTTGTGTAGGATGAATCTGAGTTGTACATGTGTGTATATGGGGTGGCAGCATTAGAGCCATTAGATATGTGAGAGTTGGTCAGACAATAAGTTGTGGTGAGTGATCCAGCTGTCTGATAAGATATATCCTATGGCAGCATAGATGGTACGAAATTAGGAGAGATGTCAGTTGGAGTTGAAAGGGCCTTGAAAATTTTCAAACAGGATATGAATGTGATGCCTGCCCTAAATCTTTATCCCAGCCTGCATTTAGATCTGCATGTTGGCGTTTTCACCTAAATATTTCTATATATACCCCTCAACCTCCTCTTCCTTCCTCGTACCTCCCCTTTTCTTGGCTATGCCCTCTATTTCTCTCTTTGTTTCTTTTCCATTCATGGTGCTGCCCATTCATTATTAAACTAGCTAGCATGCATGCAAAACTATGTTTGCATTTCAGTGAAGGGCCAGCTAGCTAGCTCAAGCTCAAGATATCTATTTATGTTTCTCTTATATATATAGAGACTATTGGAAGAGGGAGAAGAAAATAAAACAACAGCAAAGCAAAAAAAGGAGAGCTAGTTAACGATTATGGAATTAAGGAGCTCTTCTTCAGTCCAGTCCGAGGCAGTTTGGAGGCCGACACTCAGCTGCTGACTCGTTGGTTCAAGAACTCATCAACTGAGCCATACAGCTTAAGTGTGCTGAAAACAGTGGTGTGGTGTGTTTCTGATCCAACGAAGCAGGAGCCGATAGGTTGGTTATTGCTGTCACGTCTTGGACTGAAGGGAGCTCCTTAAACCCTTATTTCATGTTCTTTCTGTCAAATATTTGATTAATTATATATCTATGTAGCTTTAGCTTGCATGTAATATGTACTTATTTTCTCTTCATATTCATGGTAATGATTTGCTGACTCATTATTATTTATCTGTACTCTTTCCAGTAGCTCGATCTTCATGCAGAAAAGGCCATGTTTTTGAAAGATCATCAGGAGCTGCAACTGCCTGCTGCTTACAGATAACGGACTCACTAATTCCCAGCTGGAGCATTCATGGAAAGAAAATGATAATAATTTGTTACCAGTTAATTACTTCTTATTAAGTCAACCCCAAATTGTTTCTCATGTGCCTTCAATTGATAATTTGGTTAGTTATAATTATTGGAACTGCATCATCTGCTCTCTAAATTGATTCCTTAATTAACCAGACACTGGAACACATGCTAAGCAAACGAATACTCTGGCAATCATAGAATTGTTAGGTTTGTCTAGGAAGCATTTAGTTAATTCAGTTTTCTTTTATATGATTCTCTCTCTCTCTCTCTCTCTCTCTCTCTCAATAAAAGAAGTACTTTTCTTTTTAATTATGTCAATTAATATTATTATAAAGACTGGTGCAGTTTTGCGAAACACGGGGTACACCCTTTGGGAATTTCTTAAATATTTGAATATAAAATAAAAGATATAAATAAGTTAAGGTTGTGCCTTTTTTATAAATAAAAAATAAAAAACGAGTGGGCATCAGGAATAATGGACCAAGTCTGGTTGATAAAGATAACAAAGCTAATTCCAGCTAAGCCCAACTTAGAATGTCCAATATAGCTCAACTGTAACGGCCACTTTCCAAATGTTAAAACTTTATAATGGGCAACTCCAAAACTGAAGTGGGTTGTGTTGGAGCAAAACTCAACGCGTGAGATGAGAGTGATTCTTTGATATCCTAGCTTATTCGCATTTTAACGTGTCATACATTAGTTCGTTTTATAGAGGTAAACATCTTGTAAGGTAATTGATTCGAACTTGGATGTAAAAGGATGGACACACTATTTCGGTCAACTGATCAGAATATGTATATACAAACACATAGAAGGGCCATACATAATTAATTCTATGTATGGATCTAATTATGGAAGCTAGTTAAGAGTTAGGACCCCCTTTGTGAGATCAAGTAAATGGAAGAAAAGCAAAAGTGTTGAGGTGGGCAGGCTCAAGATGATCAAAGCTATGGTTGCCAAAGCGAAGCTCGGTCTGGTGTTCATCAACTGAGATTGCAAGAGACCCATGAGTTGGCATATAAAAGAATCGTAAGTGGTGTAATAGCGCTTCTCCCAGTCGAGCCAATCAGAGGGAGGCTCGTAGTTCCTCTCCACCATCTTCATCTCATGAACCCTCTTCCTCAGAACAATCATGTTCTCATCCACCAGCCTGCTCCTATAGAAGTTTTGCCGGTACTGCTCATGATCAGCATCTTTTCTACTTGACGCAAGCACCCTTGTAGCAGACCGTGCAGCTCGCTTTCGGTGTCGATCTATGCCTGAAAATGGGTTAAACGAAACAATGGAAGAAGAAGAAAGGAGTGAAGTTGATGCCATTGCTAATTTGTTATATTAGATTTGAAAATATTGAGTTTAATGTGGTATTTGGAGGTGCTAGGCGCTTCTATTTATAGGCTTAACAATAATAATTGAGAAAGTTTGTAGATTAGGAAAAATGAAAGGTGGTGGGGGCATGTGACATGTGTTGGAGAGGCATACAAGGCACTCTTGCCTTAATAGCTAAGAAGGAAACAAACTGGGAAAAGGGACTGTGGCCGCTAAAACCGTGTTTTTTTTAAAATTATTTTAAGAGGCACTTGCACTTTTTTGACGCGTAAATTACGTGGGAGATTCGGAGAAGGTTAGGGCCCCTGTCAGTGTCGTCACAAAACACAACACTCGGGGCAGTTTTTTGGTCCGTGCCAAGTTTGATCAAGCACTTGATTTGATTTGAGGGCTCTGATTCAATCGAGCCAGCCATCATAGTTTATCATGAATTAAAATGTTTAGACCGGAAGGGAACGAGTCGTTACGTTTGCATAACATGCAGCCAGTTTCACAGAAGCCTTCCTTCCTCAATATAAAACATGGAATGGGAATAAATGTAAATTATTAGGGGTGTTTCTTGGGAGCATAGTCTGAAATATCGATAATATCAATGAAAAATTGAGGATATTTCGGTTTTTTCAAATCACGGATATTTTGGAATATATACATGTACATATCGTATAAATATCAACAATATCAACAATAATATCGGAAAATATCGATGTAAAGGAAAAAAAAAAATTGAAGGGAAAAAAAAACACAAAGGGGATTTGAACCCCTCCCATTTTACTCCTTCAACACCTTAACCACCATATATCACTTATGTTTTAGTGATAATATGCTAAAATATTTATATTTATATGGGTAACATGTTAACAATTACATGCAAAACTATTTTGGGGATTTATCATTTGATGAATATTCTTCACAATATACTTACTCTATACATAGAGATGATGAAGATAGTGAAAAATTTGAACCTCATAAGAACTCTATGTGGTATTAAGTCACTCATGTATCTTACTATGCAATGTATAAAGTGTAAAATATTGTAGTAAATCATTATATATAAATGATTATGGTGTGTTTAATAGTTTTTTCATTAATTACTACATGTTTTATACACTCACAGTGTTGTGCCAGCTCGCTGTATAATCAACTTAAATCAGTTAAATTCATCATGTAATGCATTTCCTTCTAATTTTTTATTATTATAAACTAATAGATAATTGACTAAATAAACATTCTCCAAAGTTTCAATAAAAAATTTCAAGTTTTTCTTACAATTTCCATAGTTTTTATTCAATTTTTATCGATATCAATAATATCCCGATATTTCCATAGAAATTTTCATGTTTTTGGACTACCGATATTTCCGTTATTATCGATATTTTAGACCATGGTACTAAGTCACTCATGTATCTTACCATGCAATGTATAAAGTGTAAAATATTATAGTAAATTATTATATATAAATTATTGTGGTGTGTTTAATATTTTTTTCATTAATTACTACATGTGTTTGTCAGCTCGCTGTATAATCAACTTAAATCAGTTCAATCCAGCATGTAATGCATTTCCTTCTACTTTTTTTTTTTGATAAACTAATAGATAATTGACTAAATAAATATTCTCTAAAGTTTCAATAAAAAATTTCAAGTTGTTCTTACAATTTTCGTGGTTTTTATTCAATTTTTATCAATATCGATAATATCTCGAAATTGTCATCAAAATTTCTATATTTTTAGATTACCAATATTTTCGTTATCGTCGATATTTTAGACCATGCTTGGGAGGACTTCGGGAGGAGCAGCTAGCTGCGTCACTGCTTGTGCGTGATTGGATTGACTTGGACGGCGTTTATATAGTTTTATATTTGGCATTCCAAATAATAATATTAATTTTTTTAATCTTTAATAGGATGATTGCTTGCTCATGGACGGGATTAGAAAAAGAAAGGCGCAAAGGCCGGAGCAATAATACATAAAGAATTACGATTGATGGAATATTATTGCATGATTCATCTCCTCTCCTCATCCGAAAAAGGTTTGGATTATAAAGTAATTACACTCCTCTCCTGCTAATAATTTTGTTTTATACAAAGGAGATAGTTTTGTTTTGTTCTGAGTAGAGTCAGTTGATATGAAGGCAGATATAAGATTACACCGGAAGAACACTGTCTCTAGAGGAGGGTTCTTGCAGACGAGAAAGTAGAAATAAAAGAATATAAACAACCAGTACAGGAACAATGAGCAAACTCCAGCAACCCCTCACGATTCCACAACACCAAAGGAGTAGATCCCACCAAATCCATCAACTCCACCTCCATGGAAAAGATCTTAGAAAAGCTACCACCAAACCCTTAAATTCAATAGCACAGACAACAAAAGGGCAAATGTGGAGATCAAGCAAGATCAGCCCAAAGAGCTGGAAAACAGCCCCTAAAAAGCCTAGGGGGGAAGACAAAAGCTTGCCAAAAATCAAGGGAGCAAAATCCCAGCAAAAACTGGGGGGAAACTCTCCACAACATGACAGGGGGGAGAGAAGCCCGATTTATTAGCAGAAAGGAAATGAATCCATGGGAAACCCCTGGATTCAAAAGAGAATGCAGTAGCTTTAGGAAGCTTTTCGGGTTGAAGGAGAAGAAGAAGTTTCAGAAAGTGATAGTATTTTATTATGAGGGATGAAACAACTACAAAAATCAAACTATGTTCTAGAAGATTATGCGAGTTTCCTATAATTACACTCATGCTAATTATAAATCGTACATAATGTAGGCTATATAGCTAAGTTTAAAATTATAAAAGAATAAAAACGAAGGTCATCCGGTTGACCTTGTGAGTTAACTACCATACCTCCCAACCTCCTCCTCCCTTCACCGGTGATAGAGAAACAAGTCAATATTGCGAAATAAATTAAATGATTAATTAGAGAGAACCATTATATATAATATATAATTGAGAGAAAGCTTTCCATTCCATCACTTAATTTTAAGGAGTTAAGCCATGCTCTTTTATAAGGAAAAAGCTTGGCTCTTTGCAATTGAGGAGAAACTCCTCTTTAAAACCAATGTGATTTTTACACGTGTCAAATTATTTTAATATTATTTTTACTTTTTGTTGAAACTTTGTCATTATTGCTAGAATTTAACAAGTGGCAAAATCCCATTGATTTTAAGAAGGAGCTCCTCCTTAATCTTAAAGAGCCAAGCGATGCTCATTCTAGAATCTAATTATTTGTGTTTTGCTTTTATTTCCTCATAAAATGAAATTCATGATGTTATGGGATCAGTCACCTCACGGTAAAGTTGGAAAAACACGTTGAAGACAAAGTAAATTACCAAAGATCAAAATGTAACAAATAATAATTAAATTTTGGACCAAAATAAATAATTAAATTAAAATTTGTTTATATTGCGTGTGAATTGATAATATTTGTCACTAATGAGCTAATAAGATCCCCTTGAAAATGTCCAACAAAGCAGCCGTAGAAATTGGGACGCTGAGTGTAATGAGAGCAAGCATTCCCAGAAACACGCAAGGCCTTGTGTTCATCAAATGGGCTTGCAATAACCCCACGGCTTCAAAGATGTCCGAATTGTAATTATCATAATATCGCTTCTCCCATTGCATCCAATTTGCTGGGGGTTTATGATCACCATCTTGCATCTCTGCCGCCATCTTCATGTCGTGAATTCGCATTCGAAGAACAATCATGTCTTCGTCAACAAGCTTACCATCGTAGTTATCACGACCGCATGATGCGAAAATCTTCAGAGGATGCCTCCTCCTCCTCCTCCTCTGCATCTCAAATAACCCCGTCTTCAGGTGCGGTTGATGAATGCCGGAATTGGAACATGGCGGTGTTGGTGAGGGCAGAGCTGAGTGAAGAGAACAGATTAGCATTGTGCTAGACATAAATTATAAGCTTGCAAGCCTTCAAATGTGGGATTAAGGATGTGGTGTTGTTTTGTTTGCGAACAAGGTACGTACATGGCACATATATATATAGGGGTTGTGTTGTGTGTCCAATTGGAAGAGAGAGACCGCGTAGGAATGACATGTGGCATTTTGGCGCGTGACTTTTTTGAGTTAGATTCCTAGAACTAGAAAGGGTTTGGCACACAGTTGCCAGGAGAGTGAACCCGCAAAGAAGTTTCTTCCTTTTAAAGTTATCGGGGGCGGCAAATCTTATTGTTAATTAGATTTTGTAAATCTGGGGAAACAGTTGTTTTTCCGCGTGAGCAACAGCCGTTTGATTATTCAGGTATTGTTTCTCCTCTTTTCTTTGGACACATTCAGTTCAGGCATAGTTTGAATTTGGAGCAGCCCAACTCATTTTCATATTTATCGGTTATTATTATATCTTATGAGGGTATTTTGGTACCTCTAGAAAGACATCTTCTCAGCAAATCTTTATAAGCTACAGAGATGGATGCAAACGTGACACTATTACAAAATTGTCCTACGCGTTTTGGGTTGCGTTGATGTGCTCTTCTTCTACAATCGGAAAAAAGAACACAACAATAATATAACAAATTATAAAAACGGGTAACCATTTTTCGGGCCCCATTCCTTCATGTATTATATACTATATGATGTATTTACATCGAAGTCAATTCTGAATTTAAATGCGGACTTGTAACAATATGCTCACCCCTTTGTACCGAAGAGTTCAATCCTTCTCCCCGTATATTAGAATAGTTTACAATAAATTTTTGTAAAAAGATTTATGATTTCAAATTTTATTAGCAATGGATACTCAAAGTAGAACTGTAAATATGAACATATTAGTATTCAAAGTGTTTATATGAGAATAAACTTCGCGCAATCTTCGCAAACTGGACCGACCCGAGTACTATGACCAACCAACCATATAAGAAAATCATCTTCGCTCTGGTAGAGCATAACATCCATTAAACGTACATTCTACATGAGACTTTTAAGTCATGTCGCATAGAAATGGCTCATTTGGTCAGAAAAAGGCACGAGGCTTCTTTATTGCTTAACATATCTCCTTTACTTAGCACCTGTATGAAACAAATCAATAAATAGTGGCACATGTGATAACAACACTACTAATGCCCAAGTAATTACAAACCTTCTAGGACAAACTCTGGGGCTTGGTCAATTGGGGGAGATGATTCAAGTGGCTGGTTTAATTCAACTTGATTGAGTGTTACAGGTGGTTCCTTTGGCTGGTTTTGTTCATCTTGTTCAGTATTTAAAGGCTCGAGCTGCATTGCTGGTTGGATTTCGTCAAGAGGTCCGGCCTCCAGCTGCTGGTATTTCGGTTTGTTTTTCTGAAGGAGAAGGTAAGTGGTGCAATACAAAAACAACAGTATTCTACTTTGAGCAATCATTGTATCCCTAATGTGACTTCCTCCAAAGGAGATGCGTTCAAGTGCCTGCAGAAAAACAAAGAAACAGAGTAGAAGGTATTAGATATAAAACTTCCTCGAGGACAAAATTGTCCACCTCATGAGTCAAATGCACGTATCTTGTTTGGCCATTTCATAGGTTCTTCCAGAATTGGTTCTTGTAATTAGTTTCTTTTAAGTAGAAGGTTTAGAAATGAATAAATTAAGAAACAATCTCTTCGGAGGGACAAAAGGAATGGTAAATTGAAAATCATATACAAAATTGATTGGATCGTTTCTACCTCTATTTTAGGAACACAAAATGACTAGTATAACAACATTCATACGAGATATGACACTGATCACCAAATACCAACATCTAGAGCTAGAAATGGTTAGAGGAAGTATTTATTTTGATTCCGTTTCTTGAAAGTTTCCCTGTACCTACCTGTTCTCCATTTTGAATATCGTAAGAATGCTGATGATCAAATTGAAGACCCCTAAACTCATTGATGCAAAGACCTTGAAAAGCCCTGAAAGTGTACAAGGCAATATACATTCGTAAGGTAACGAAAACAATTCTTAATTGTACAGTATCAACAAAATGTTTGTTTCTTACTGGCAAGCAACCTTTGATCTTACCATCTAATTAGAGAAATATGAGGAATCCAACGAAAGATAATTGGTGTATTCTCTGCATTGACATAATAGCCTCCAAATACAATAAAAACTGTCATAAGTGAGGGTCCGACTGCCATAGCTGCTTCAGTGGTTGGAACCATAGCACCAACAGTAAGACCCATAGCAGATGCAGCAAAAGATTCCACTGTCACAATACCACAAAACTTCCCGAATCTGAAACACCAAAAAAATTGCAAGTAAACCTTGTGATCTGAACCAGCCCACTTTGTGAAGAGTTAAAAATGATAAGGTTTGCAAAATGATATAATGAAGAAATGAACCAGCTATACAAGCATAAACAGACAATAGTCAATTCCATCTTCACCTTTCCCACTCCCCATATACTGATCTTTACTAAAAGGAAGAGTGCTAGAGACAAATGATTCTTTTTAAAGGTTTTTGTATCTTCCCTGCATCCCTCATATATGAGTTTTGCAAAGAAAAACCACTCCGCTTATTCAGTGTCCAGTCTAAAATCCGATATATAGACATATATCAGTTTGCACAGGTCTATTGAGGAAATTATTGCCTCTTTTATAGGGAGTTATGCAGCTCCCATATATATTGCGCTGACAAGTGTGATTATGTGGTTACCAGATCTGTTAGTGCATCTCATACAGCTATTTACACAATTCACTTTCTCCAATTGCTTCAACAAAATTAGGAGGTTTCAGAATATCAACTCATGTTAAACATTCTTAACAATGACTTCAAAAACCTGGATAAAGCAGGATGAAGACGAGCCATGGGGTACAAAATGGCGCCAAACATTAATGGAAACGCTGCTCCAACAGGAATCTCAGCCAACAACTTAGAAAGAAGATAGGGTCCTAATGTATAAGACCCCTTTGCATGCTCTCTATTTACTATTGCACGCTCCTTCGGGAACACACCCACTGTCTTTGTGAGAGCAGCCATTGCCGTGTTTATTGCAGCAACCTGAGAGGAAATATCCATAAATAGGACCAAGAAACTTAAAAACTTATATTAGAGACACTAGTATTCAATAATTATGTTTTGAATATTCAACTTATTGAAAAACTGTCTTTCTTTCGCACATAAAGGTCATATAATCAAATTTGTAGAAAGCGTCGTCATTGCATGAAATGAGGAGTATCTCTATGGGACTTGATCAGGAACTTAATAACCATACCAGAATGCTTATAGCTTGGTTTTCCAAATCACAAAATTGATAGAAAAGTATAATAAGCAAAGACCTCTAAAATCAAAGTCCTTTAAAAAGAAGTATTTTCACACCTGAAGCAATCCCATTCTGTCTTGTATCGATGTCTGAGATCTTCCCATTCTCCAAAAAACTGATCCAAATATTATAGCTGATGCAATTGACATTCTTGCCCGAACTTTATTTGTTGATCCGTCACGGGAAGCCTAGTCATTTGTTCAAAGATGTTGATCAGATAGAATTAACTGGAGTTAATCTTCATAAAACAATCCAATTCATCATCCAAACACACCTAAATATACACATATCACCCTCACTGTTGACTACTCAGATGTTACTTAAAAAGTTACGTTGATAGTTATATTGTTATAAAGCTTTGTATGACATGGGAAAAGGAAGAAGCTAAAGCAATCTTTCAATCAAAATGAATTAATATATTTTCACCATTGAAATTCATGTCTTGCACAATTTTTCAAGCTGAGTTAATCTTGTTTTCGTCAGATCAATATGCACATGAACATAAGGCATAAGTTATCCTTCATTCCATTTTAATGAGACTAAGTACGCAAGTAAAAGAACTTGAGACTAAGTACGCAAGTAAAAGAACTTGAAACTAAGTATGCAAGTAAAAGAACTTACCTGCATCCATGCACGCCTTAGGAGCAACCGGAATTGCATCCACCAACCACCCTTCTTCTGAACTCTACTTTTCTTGCTGAACTTTGTTCTGTTGTTAAAGACTTCCCTTCTTGTAATCGGAGTTGCATACAGAACTAGTGATGATTGTTGTGAAAATGACTCAACAAGAGCATCTACTCTTTTCTGAGAAGAGTAAACACTTTCAGCAGAACTGTAGTCGATAGAAATAAGATCGGCTAAAAACTCAGCAGGGTTCTCATGAGCTGGGCAATGGTACCTGTTGAATAAATCATTGATTAGTCAATAATTTCACAGCTTGACAGCTGCAGCTTGGCACAAGTAGAGACATTGGTACAAGTTATGGTCACAGACCCGAATTTAGAAAAGTATGCAAGTGGTTCATCATGTGCAGGACCAGCATAGACAAGCGCACCCTCTGTTAGCAACACGATGTCATCAAATTTACTATACACAGATCCTCTAGGCTGATGTATAGAGCAAATTACAGTATGTCCATCCTGTGCAAGCTGTCGAAGGGTTTCCATTACTTTCTCTGCCTGGAAAGCATCAAGCCCTAGAAGAATCACAAGTATATATTAGATAAACAAAAGGTGTTAGAAAAAAAACAAAGGCCTGCTACAATAGTCATCCACCAGTACATATTAGATGCAGGGGATTGCTTACCAGTAGTGGGTTCGTCAGCAAATATAACAGAGGGGCTTGCAATCAGCTCGCATGCCAGAGACAAACGTTTCTTTTCACCCCCACTAACTCCTCGGACTTTCGCATCACCAACATTCGTATCAGCACAACTGACCTTTTGCAGCAAATAAAACAAAGCGGCAACCCCAAAATTAAAAACGAACTAAATAAGCTCATAATCACAATCCTATCATTTTCCAAAAGTATGACTTCTTCACAAATTATCAATTACCAACTCAGTAGATGAAACAAAACGGAACTTCATCAATGCCAATAACCAATCTTACCAATCCCAATTTGAACAACAGACTGTTCACATACTCGAGTCTCGCTTCTGCGGAAGATATCTCCGGAAGCTGCAGCTCGGCAGCAAGAGACAACGTCTCTCGCACCGTCAGCTGCGAGAAAAACAGGTCCTCCTGTCTCACATAAGCAAACCTTAACCCCCCAAAAGAAAAAATTAAACAAATGAGAACCATAGAATAAGCAGAAATTCTAAATGAACCATAGAATAAGCTCTGAAACATAAACGAAAAGCTTACTTATAGGCTTTGTTAGGACTAGAATTTCCATTGACCTCCAATAGACCTGATAAATGTAACCGAGGTGACGCAGTTAGCTGACCCGCAAGTACATTTAGCAGCGTCGTCTTTCCTGACCCTGACGGCCCCATAATCGCTAACAGTCTCCCCGGTTTCGCTTCCCCGCTAACGTTCTTAAGCAGAAACCGTATCTAAGCATTCAAAATTAAGTTAATTATACATTTGATCCTGAAAATTTTCTCTGAAACCAAACGTACGTTACGAGAAATTTCGTTTGAAAATTGAACAAATGAAAACTTACTGATGTTGAGGACTTGTCAGAGAGAGAGCAGTTGATGTTGCGCCACCGGATTGTAACCGGAACCAATTTCCCGGAAATCGGAGTGTCGCCTTTCTCGTCTGTTGCATCATTATCATCGTCGCTGGCCTCGGTTTCCGGCGAGAGCGCTGGGCCTGGGCCGGATAAGAGCCGGAGCAAAAGCGCTGCGGCCACGGCAGCTAGAGCCTGGCCCAGGCCGCTGCCTCCGAAGCCCAACACCATCTGGCCAACTTTTTTCCCGCCTAATTGAACTATTTCAGCGATAACCACTTAACTTCTCCTTTTCTTTTGCCACAGTCGGAGAGCTTGAGGCCTGACTGCTGAGCTCCGAGCCTAGCCAGTTGCTTACTGTAAAGAGATAATTCGGAGTAAGTATGTAGCGACGCCGTTTTCAGAGAGTAAGTTCGCATGAGCGACACGTGTCCCTTTTGAGGATAAGAGGGATTTGCTCTCGTATAGGCGGCCCACCATAGCCCAACCGGTCAAATGGGCTTTTTTTATACTACTGGCCTATAAAAGGCTCGGGTTCGCTCTCTTAAATCCGATCCAAACCCATCCGAATCGGGTTGGTGCGAATCGAAACAGATATATGATATATCAGTCCTCTCAGTAAAGACATCCCGCTGTCGTTGAGACCATGTCGTCATCCGTCTTCTCCTTCGCCCGACCGCTTTGGTTCCTCTGAGCTAAAAGCTATATACGCTCAGATCATCTTGCCATGTTAGCAAGGCGTGGACCCCACCTGCGTCGTTCCGTCTTCGCTTGAGCCTCCTGAACATTCTCGAAACCATGGCGAATAACTCCAAGGAAGAGCCCAAGACCGGTCCTCAGCCCGATCTCTGGTACAACCTAACCCTTGGTCCTTCCTTCAAAGACGACTCATCCAACAAGTACTGCACTCTGCGATGTAAGTTTCATCCGTAACGTCCTGTTTGGTTGCATAAAAAATCTCCCTAATTTTCTTTTCGATTTTGAAATTGATCGCAGACGAATTTAAACCGGCGTCGATTGACAAGACGAAGCCGGGGACGCTCAAGAAAACGAAGGAAAATAGGGTTACGGTGGAATTTCAAAACAACCAATTGGGGAAACCGAATGTGACCTTCAAGGGAAGCAGCGAGGACTACAAGGACAACGACGCCGTATTGTTCTTCGACGGCCAGACGTTTCGGTTGGAGAGGCTTCACCGGGCCGTGAAGCAGCTCCGGCATGATCGGCAGCCCGGTGAATCGGCTGCTGGTGCCGCTCAATCGGGGTCCGCCGTGGAGCCGCAGCTGTCTCCGGTCAGCAAGGGCCCCAAGCCAATACATCATCCTGGTAGAACTGCATTCCCTGCTGTGCAGGTGAGTTTCTGTTAATAGAAATTATGATGATTCAATATTGGCCCTTGGGGAGTTTTAATTCAGTTCTGTAATGTAAAGCTATTAAACAACTTAAATCTATTTAAAGCAACTGAAATTTAAAACTCTGGTTTCTTTTCTCTTTCCTCATGACCTTGTGTGAATACAGGTTGAGGTGGAACGAATAGATGTTGGAATAGCTGGGAATCCAGGTTTGTTTATATGTTTCTTTGTTTTGTTGTTGTTTGTGAAGTAAGCATATCCATTGAATCTTTTGCTTCTCAAAGTTTCTGTTTTCTTGATCTCTTAAGAGGATTGGAGTCGAATTGGATTCATTAGTAGACATTGCTTGTTTTTTAGTTGCAATGCACTGCATGAAGCTCTATGTGCTAGTGAGAACAGTATGGTGTATCTTGGGGTAATTACATTCTCTGATGATACATTGATCAAGATTTGCTATTGTACTGAATTTGCTCCTACAAAACCGAATTCTAACATTTTTGTATAATGAAACTGACTTGGAAGATTTTAAATGCATAAGCTCTGAAACTATTTGAAAGTGTCAGTTTAACTGTGAAGTGGTTTAAAGTGCAAGTGTGTGATCCTTGGTCAAATTGAAACCACATTTTGAAGTTATTATTGAACTGTCTTTTTCTGCGACTGAATTAATTCTTTCCTAGCGGAGAAGGAGTCCATTTTGCCTGATTCTGGGCGTACCTTCCTGTCAAATATTTTCTTCGGAAATGATCTGTCGTTTGCATCTTATAGACCAGGGTGCCTGCTTCATCACCCAGTTGCAATACCTTACGCTACATGTTTGTGACAATTGAACCCAATTCAAATTCAATGGGACCCCAATGGTCTATCTTATCTGTTACTTAGTATGTGATTACTAAATTTGTACTATGGCAACCCCCATCTAAATGTTAAGAACTTGCAAGAGCTGTTCATGGGCCTAGTTATTTCTCAAAATCATGAATGACTTCAGAAGTATTAAGTAGGTAGTTTGTTGTGGACTCTAGGAAGCAGTTGAGTAGCGGGATTCATGTTCATGTAAGGACCAGTGGCCACTTGTCTACCTTGATACTTTGTTGTGCTAACTTGACCTTCCTCTCGACTTTTTGAAGTCTATTGGAAACATTTAAGGATAAGATTTCCATCTTGCAGATGGCTTTATTCCTCTTTGCACTGTCTTGCCCAAATACTAATGCTTTTTTCCTCTATGCTTGACCGGTTATCATATATCCTAATGCTTTATTTGTTATACAAACAGGTGCAAAAAGTGCCAATAAAGGTGTGGCTGATTACTCGTCTGATCAACTGAACGTCTCTGCTGCCTCGCCAGACCCTAAGAATGAGGAGGTCGAGGAACATCAAGATATAGATATTGAAGAACTTTTTGGTAGTGTATCGCCTGAAAACGGGAATGCCGCGGAAGATGGAGCTAATGCTGGGTTTGATATCAGTATGCGAAATCAAAATGAAAGTGATAATGAGATTGCTGATGTGGATGATAGTGGTGATGAAGTTGATAAGGGGCCAAATGCCGCAGAAGCCCTTCGAGCCCAGGTGAACGCAGAGGGGAGGGAAAAGCAGACTTCTACTTCTGGTAGTAGCAGTGGAAGTGGGAGCAGCAGCAGTGGAAGTGGCAGTGGTAGCAGCAGCAGCAGCAGCGATAATGAAGGCAGTGATGATGATTCAGTCAACTCTATCTGAGAAATCGAGCAACCTTGATCTTCCACGTAGGTTGTCCAAGACAGTCCAGCGGATGTTTACGGTGGTAAACCGAGGCTTGAAGAAGAAAAGAAGATAATATATACACCCTGTTATTTATACAACCTATTATTTTGTGCGATCGAGATTGATGCCACTTAAATTTGTTATAAGCTTGCCCTTTTTGCGTCACAACGTTTCACTTGAAAATTTTGACAATAAAAAGAAGGCCAAAAGTCACTTTTGGTCTATGTAGTTTGGCACTTCAATCACTTTTGACCCTATAGTCTCAATTCCGTCAATTTTGTCATTGTAGTTTGGTATTTGTAACAATTCAATGACATGTTAGTATTCTTGTCAATTTCTTTAACGATACAAAGGGCAATTTTGTCAATCCAAAACCCTTGAGCATAAAAGCTCGTTTGAATTTCTCCCCATTTCATATTAGGGCTTGAAATTCAACTACTAATCCCAATTTTTGAAGAACCCTAAACTCAAATGACCAATTTCAAGCCCTAATTAGGGGAGTTTCAGACGAGCTTTTATGCTCAAGGATTTTGGGTTAATGAAATTGCCCCTTGCACCATAAAAGAAATTGACAAATGTAGGGTTTTTTCGTTCCGGCAGCTATTGTGGGCTTGAGCTGCTGTGAAGAGCCAAATGTGTGAAAATTGCCCTTGGGTATGAGTTCAAGAATCAGACCCCAAGAATGCTTCGAAAGGGTAGCTGAGTCTTAGGAAGCACCTTGGTTACCTTCACCAGCAAAACTAACAGTCGCTTACAAATAAATACTTAGTTTGATATGAGAGGCTTGTGGCATAGAAGCAAAGTAGTCATGAGTTTAGCATTAAAGAAAGAAAGAGTTGTGAGTTCATATAAGAAACATGGGTTCTAATGAAAGGGGGAAGGGATTCTAAGAGAGAGAGAGAGAGAGAGGGTGTAGGGGTCTTTTTATTCCAGCAGCCTGACAAATGGGTTTGGACTGCCGAAAAGAGAAACAGGTGAAATTACCCTCTGTATTTGAGTTCAAAGATCAGATCCTAAGAATGTTTTGAAAGAATAGTGAAGCCTTAGGAAACACCCTGGTCACCTTCACCAACAAAAACAATGGCTGCTTACAGGTAGATTCTTAGCTTGACATTAGAAGCTTGTGGTATGGGAGAAAAACCATCATGAGTTTAGCATAACCAGAGAGAGCTGTGAGTTCTTATGAAAAACAGGGGTTCTAAGGAAATGGGGAATGGATTCTAAGATGATTTTTTTTCGTATCATCCCATCAAACATTCTGATTTGAACAGTGCCGATTCCTTTTACAGGACATGAAGAATCGTCCCCCATTAAAACTTCCCCACTGCTGACTTCTTTGTAAGTATCGAACCATTCTCTTACTGCACACATATGAAAAGTGCATCCGGTATCCAAAATCCAATTTGTGAAAGCCTTGGAGCCTGATGTTACTGAAAGAAGCTCCCCGTCACTCTCATGCTCGGTGACTGCACTAGCTGAACCTGAGCTTCCTTCCCTCTTGGCTTTCTTCTCTTTCCAAATCTTGCAGTTCCTCTTCCAATGATCGGCTAAACCACATTCGAAGCAACCTTCCTTCTTTTCCTTTTTCTTCTTGGATTTTGACCTACCTCTGTTGCCTGTTTTGTCTTCCTTCGTCTTTTCCCGCCCCTTCTCCTTGCCTTTGGCATAAAGGCCTTGAGAGCTTTCAGTTATATCATCTAGTTTAGCATATGACTGAAGAGCTTGAATCACGTCTTCAAGCTTCAGGGACTCTTTTCCAAACATTAGAGTTGTTCGAAAGTGCTTGAAAGACGAAGGTAGAGACCTCAGCAAGATGATAGCCATATCATCATCTTTGTAAGTTTCTTCGACCTTCTGAAGATTAGTTATGCAATTTTGAAACCTGCATACGTGATCTTCAATATCACCTCCTTCTTCCAGTCGAAGTCCGAATAGTTCATCCTTTAGAAAAAGTTTATTGGACACGGTTTTGCCCATATAAACATTCTCCAACTTTTCCCATGCTTCTTGGGCAGTCATCTTTTCGGTGATGTGTGACCGAACTGATCTTGTGAGATGGATCTCGATGGAACTCTTGGCCTTCTTGAGAACCTTGGTCCATGTTGCGTCTGTCATGCCTGTCGGCTTCTCACCGCTGAGTGCATCATCCAAATCTTGCTGTATCAGTACGTTCTTCATCATCCTTTGCCAATCCGTGAAGTCATCCTTGCCGTCAAAGGGCTTTAACGCAGGTCCTAGATCCGCATTCATCTTCCCTTTAGACATCGTAGAACCCTTAACCTAGGCTCTGATACCACTTGTTAAATAACCCGCCTTCTAGATCTTGTTCTTTGATGTAACCAACGACAATAGACTAAACTAGCAAATATTAAAACATTTAGAAACACACAAGAATTATACTGGTTCGGCAGAACTTTTGCCTACGTCCAGTTGTGATTTCTCTAGGTAGAGAAATCACCGCTCCTTTGATTAATAATAGAGATTACAGAACTTTTGCAACCCTAGAACTAATCTCAAAACTCTTGGCTGTCTCTGGTTGTTTTTCCTCTTCTTAAAATAAGCCTTGCCACACCCTATTTATAGATATAGAGTTGGCTTACATGTCCCAAGGCTGATTGGATTCCTATTCCTAAGTGGATTAGGAAATTACACTTATCCAAATCCTAATAGACTTCTAGAAATCCAAACCTGAATTGAATAAGGAAAACTGAAATTCTTTCCTAATCCCTCTAGGACAAGAATTGGTATACCTCTAATTTTCCTAAAACAATCCTAAACCAACTAGGACATATTTGACGAGCCAAAATCCTAACATTTTTGAAGAGGGAGAGAGATGTGGGTATAATGGGTGTGTTGAGTAGTTTCCGGCAACTTGACGAAAAATATGTCAAGCTCTGGAATGTTTTAACATAAGAGAATAATGGAGGAGATTGAGGAATAGGGCTCGAAATTGCAGAGGTTTCAGGGAGGAGAGATGTAGCTTGCTCTCTGAATGTGTGTGTTGGTTGTTGGGTAGGAGGTGCCTCATTTATAGTCATTGGAAGCTCCTCCTTTCCAAGAAACCCTAATGGTTTCTGTCCAATTTGGCTGAGTTTTTCCCTTCCTTTTTCTTCTCTTCCTTTGACTCATCATATTTGGTGAAATTCTCTCTGCCCAATTGCACAAAAACAAGATTTGGGGAGCTCTAGGCTTTTCCCACAGCTATTCCAGTGGGGAAATCCCATTTTCACCCATCTTTCTTCCTTCTTTTCTCCCATCTTCCATGGCTAGATTTGATGGGGGGAAAGAAATGGGTATGTACGCTGGTTTGAAGGGTGCCCCTCCTCCTAGCAACCTATGCGCGCTACTATCCTTTGGATCTTTGAATGTTGATAAGTCCATAAATATACTCATTTATGTACTCTTTTTACTTAGGTTTTGTAGGAGACTTAGATTTAAAAAGGGCTTATTACTTTACTTTTCTGATTTTTAGCTTTTCAGCGCTCTTAGAAGGTTTTTAAGTGAAAATCAACTTTTCGGATGAATTTTAGCTGAAGGCCAATTGGAGATGAAAGCTAACATCTTGAAGTTCAATCTATGATTTTTCTAGAATTTTCTACCAAGCCAATTGGTACAGTAGTACAAGTAAAGTTAGCCCAAGTGCAGACATGACAATTTCGTACATGTTACGTGAATGTGACGAAACGGAAGCCTTCCCGAATTTTTCAAGTTACGTGCTATATATGGTTGGAAAGATAAGACATTTATCTTTCTAAAATATATTTTTAATGATTTTTCTGAAAGGCCGAAGATCCCCAAATTGTGTGACAATTGGGTTGAGCTGTATTTCCCTATGGAGTTAGGAATTGTGATCTTTATTTCCCTATTTGGATTCCTTGTTTACCAAGACTTCTTGGAAGAATTTTCAATCAATTTTAGGGTTTAAAACTCTGATATAAGTGATATAAAAGGCCAGCCAAGGCCCCCATACAAGGGATTCACGTCCTAAGGAGATCAACTGCGCAAGAGGAGAAAGCTACCAACGAGTTCTTTCTTTTGGATTTTCAGTTCTTATGTATTTATTTTTGAGTTCATCCAAGAACATGAGTAACTAATTTCTTGTTAGTTAGGGCTTAATCTTGAAGCCCTAAACATGATTTCAATTCTATAAACAAGTTTGAATGGATTTTCAGTTTCTACAAGCGTGATGATTTCGGTTTCTCTATGTTATGTGAATTCTAATATTTTGTTTCTTTGAGTAGCTAACTTTGAAGCATGTATTGGAATTAAATTGTTATAGAACATAGGTCAATTGCCATATTGAATATGTTCTTGTTTACAACAAATAATTGGGTTAGGAACTAGTTATGAGAAATCGATTCTTGAATTCCTAATAACAAATGCAATGTTTTAGGGTTTTTGTGACACTCATATTCTCTTTGATCTTAATGGATTATTGATTGTTAATTTGAGTAAATGTCATACTAGATTTCAATTAAGAATACACGTATTGATGTAAATGTCATACACTTTACATACACTTAAGAGAGAATCATACAACTCGAGTCAAATGTCATGATCTTGTTGCGAGTGTCGTCATCATATGCTTGCTAGAAATTGATTATCTATTGTTGTTTATGGATTGATTGTTTGGAGGTGGATAGTAAGTCCTAGTTATTGTTCTTGATTGATTATAAACCAATTTATCTTAAACTCTAATTTAAATTCAGTTTTGTTTTATTCACAAAATCAAATCAAAACCTTCCTTGGTGTTGGCGTGTGTGTGGAAGTCATTGTGGTTTCAATCTTTATTTTGTTTTCGTGTTTAATTGTGTTTTAGTTTTCATTGTGTGACATTGATAAACATCTCTTTAGATCACACTCTCTGTGGGATCGACCCTTGCTTGCTTACTATACTGTTATTTGATTTGTGCACTTGCAAGGTTTTAATATTGTTGTTAAAAATCACCAACAAATGTTCTTCTTTGAAGTTTGCTATGCCCATGTGCTAGAGCCTCTCAGCAGCTTACAAACATAGACATTTTTGGCTTTTCATCGTGGTTCATGTTTCCAGCTAAGCGCTGAAGACTATAGATATTTTTCTTGGCTTGCTTATGCCTTGCTAAAGTGATGAGTTAGCCCATTAAGGACATGGGCTAATTTCCTTACGTGATGGGCTAATTTTCTAAGGTATTTGGGCTTTTCCCCTCTTTTATGCTTACCCACATATTTGGGTTTAAGAAATGGGCTTAAGTTTTGGGGCTCCCAAGCAGCCCAAAACTTTCATTTCTCGGCTCATCAATGGGCCTCATGAAAGCTCGTTACCATCCATACCACAACTCACTAAGCAAGCCCCGGGTATTTGCATGGCTTGGGTCCACTTAAACTTGTAGCGTGGCTAGGTGTGAAATAATGATTTCCTGCTTGGCATGTCATGTCGATTGGCGTGCTTGAATTTTATCGTCTTTAAAAAGAGACATAATGCTTGACAGAATAATTAGCATGAGCTTGTAGAGCAAGTGCCTTTTATAGGCTCATTTTAATTCTTAACGTGATGGATTGCATATTTTATTTGGCATGGCACGTGGTCATGGCTCGTACAAGCATGCATGACGAATTTCTCATGCTCCGAACTGGGTTTTTTCTTAATAAGGTGTTGCACTAGGTCAAGAATTTATTTGGGCCCAACCCTGGATTTTTTTGGGCCTCAACATAGGGGAATAATGGGTGTGTTGAGTAGTTTCCGGCAACTTGACGGTAGCTTTGTCAAGCTTTGGAATGGTTTACTAGAAGAGAAAATGGAAGATATGGAGGAATTGAGACTCGAAATTGCAGAGGTTTCTGGGATGAGAGATGAAGCTTGCTATCTGGATGTGTGTTATTGATGGGTAGGAGATGACCCTTTTTATAGCTGCTGGAATCTCCTCCTTTCCAAGAAACTCTAATGGTTTCTCTCCAATTTTGCAAAGTCTTTCTCTCCCTTTCTCTTCTCTTCCTTTGATTCATCCCTATTTTGTGAAATCTTACTTAGTCCAAGCACACAAGGACAAGATTTTTGGAGGCTCTAGAGCCTTCCCGTAACTGTTCCAATAATGAGCTCCCATTTTTGGCTACCTCCTCACCTTCTTTCATTCCCTCTTCCATGGCAAGAGCTAGTGGGAGAAAGAAATGGGTAAAGGCGCTGGTCTAAAGGGTGCTTCTACTCTGCGCACGCTAGTACCCCATGGTTCTTTGCGTGTTCTACCTTGATGTTTGTTTTTGCCCATGTGTTGAAGCCTCCAAGCAACTTACAGGCATTAACATTTTGGCTTTTCATCATGGTTCATGTTTCCAGCTAAGTGGACTATAGATATTTTTCTTGGCTTGCTTGAGCCTTGCTAAAGTGTGATGGGTTAGCCCATTAATGGAATGGGCTAATTTCCTTAAGTGATGGGCTAATTTTCTAGGGTATTTGGCTCCTTTTTTCTCTCTTTTATGCTTATCTACATATTTAGGCTCAAGAAATGGGTTTGAATTTTGGGGCTCCCAAGCAGCCCAAAACTTCCATTTCTCGGCTCATCAATGGGTCTTATGAAAGATCGTTACCATCCATGCCACAACCCACTCAACAAGCCCCAGACATTTGCGTAACTTGGGCCCACTTAAACTTGTAGGGTGACTAGGTGTAAAAATAATGATTTTTCGCTTGGCATTGCATGTTGCTTGGCGTGCTTGAATTTTATCGTCTTTGAAAAGGGATATAATGCTTGACGAGATAATTAGCATGAGCTTGTAGAGGAAGTACCTTTTATAGGCTCATTTCAATTCTTAGCGTGACGAATTGCATATTTATTTAGTATGACACGTGGTCGTGGCTCGTGCAAGTGTGAATGACGAACTTTTGCGTACTCCAAATCGAGTCTTTTCTTAATAAGGTATTGCGCTGTGCCAGGAATTTATTTGGGCCGAACCGTAGATTTTTTGGGCCTCAACAACAAGAATATTAACTTGTCATTGAATTGCTATAAATACGAAACTACAGGGTCAAAATTGACAGAATTGAAAAAGTAGTTGAAGTGTCAAACTACATGAATCAAAAATGACTTTTAGCCTAAAAAGAAACAAGTTTTGCTAGTTGCTACATTTGTGATGCTAAACAAATCAATAACCAAATGGTTTGCTGGGGTAGGCACATGATGTCGGCTGTCGGCATCTTAAACTTGAGATTCATATAATATACTAATAATAATACTTATGGTATGGAATATGGTCCATGACTCTTAATTGCTCGTGACATTCCTTAATTATATATCATATTAAGAGACTAGCAAGCAGTCATTTAATATATAAACAATAATTACGTGCACCTAATTATTGCTTATAAATACAGTTATCCCTTTGGTCATCGTAAGCCTACCAATCTTGAATCTACCAAGGCTTAAAAAAACCCAATGCCGATACATCATCACAGACGTCACAATTGACACCTGTATTAATGGGATGCAGATCTCCATTTCCACCCACAAAATTTGCTATTTGCAGCAGCTTTCGTGAGTGGAATTAGCAAATGCCATTAACGAAAAGGCAAACCCAAGCAAGTCCCAGATAGTGGTGGACGCAATTGCTTGTCGTATATTATTCTCTTAGCCCCCGAGAGCAAAAGAACGTAAGCGCCGCCCCGTAATCCAATCGCCCACAACACGGGCCAAATCAAATCCCCAGGAAGAAAAAGCAGAGAAGATGGAACGTGTGTTCACGCGTATTTACGAGCGTGGAGGTTTTCTTATTTATTTGAAGTTTTTAAAGACACCGAGAAAGTTAAATTAAATTAAAAGTGTGTGTGCGTGTGTGTGTAACTTACACTTTTATCATTATGAGATCAAAGAAATCAAACTCCCACAGGGAAAATCGATGAACTCCATTTTCTTCTTCATCACAACAATTCTTAACCTAAAAACCCTAACCCTGGCACTGTTACAGAGCCAGAGAAAGCATTTATTTTAGAGAGAGAGGGAGAGCCAAAATTTGACAGTTTTTGATCTAACATATAACGAAAACAGTTACTTCTGTAGCTCAATCTTTAAACACCCACATGCTCATTTGCTTGGCCATTCAAACAACAACCACCCTTTAGCTTCAAACCTACAAAGACCAAGATCCTCACTGACCCATTACCTAAACCGGTCTGAAAACCTAAACTTCACTATAACCACATCCCCAATTTCATTGATTTGACTCAGCAACGCATATGCCCCAACTCCACCAACAAGCAGCTGAAGAACCAACAAAACCGACCCATTATGGGAGCTGAGAAGAAATGGCTCCTAACGCTCTTCTCGGCCACATTCCTCTCTCTCCTCCTCCTCTTGCTCTCCTCCATCTCTGCCTTCAGCTCACCCAAACCCTTCCTTTCAATTGTCCAGCACGGCTCTCACTACCCGCCCGCTTTCGCTTACTACATATGGGGCGGCCGGGGCGATAGGGGTCGGATCCTCCGGCTATTGCTCGCCGTCTATCATCCGCGAAATCGCTACTTGTTGCATCTCTCGGCTGATGAATCTGAAGATGAGCGGCGCCGCCTTGCCTCGGCCATCAAGGAGGTGCCAGCAATTCGAGCATTTGGTAATGTGGATGTGGTGGGCAAGCCTGATCGAATCACCTACATGGGCTCTTCGAATATTGCCACCACGTTGCGCGCTGCGGCGATTTTGTTGAAGTTTGACAGTGGATGGGATTGGTTCGTCACTTTGAGTGCTATGGATTACCCACTTATCACTCAGGACGGTATGCCAATTTTTTCAATTTCTTTTTATTTTATTGGGATTTCGTTTTCCCTCCTTGCTTTGAGTTTTGATTTCGTTTATTTTATTGAATTTTGTCTGAATTGACTGAAAGAATCTGGCTCTTTGAGTTAGTGTAAGTGTGTATCTAAGGAAGCATTTATGTGCGTTTCCTTCCTTCATTTTTAGTTTAAAGTATTTATATACAAGAACCATTTATATACAAGAGCGAGGCTGGCATAGACCAGTTTGGAGCCACAGATCTCCCATAAAGAGAAGTCCTACCTCTAATTACCCTTCTCTAAATGTTCTCACCGATTCATGTATAGGAGCAAATGAAATTAATCTTTGTGTGCAATGGGGAACGTGTTGTGACATTTGTAGAAGAACTTGATGTATTGGTAGTTAAGTTTTGTGAAATGAGATTGGCCTAGGCTGCTGTTTCTCTGACCTGGTAACTCCAGTTCTAGTGAACTTAATGTTGTCATGTCAGCTCCTTATGCTGAACTTAATTACTTTAGTAATTTTGGTCTGGAGTTGACTTTTGAATCAAATTCTTTTAAGAGTTGGATGGTTCCCCTGAATCCTCCCTTGTTACATGTGGCAAGGGGCACAACCCTCGAGCGTGGGATAGCACATAACTCTTGTTGCTGGATTGGGTTCTGATAGTCCTAGCGTTCAATATAGGCTTTGGGATTCTAAGTGCTTGTCCTTATATGCAATTACCCAGGAACCAAATCCCTAAGAAAAAAATTGGCAGAAGCTTATCAGGATAGAGGAAGATATTTAGCTGCTGGGATTAGTATTTTCATTAAAATCTAGTCAATTTCACTTGGGATGTTTTATTTGTTTGTTATCCGTTCAAAAGCAGCTTTTGTACTTACCTGAATTTTAACTCTGATTCAGGCGACCAACTTGGTTCCCACTTTTATGCCTTCTTGGTGTATATATAAATTTTGAGTAGTGGAATATCCCCACTTACAGAAGTTTTTCATCGGTCCTAATGCAAGTGATGGGCCTATGGCAATTCTTTGAAGCTTATCTGTCCAAGGGAGACAATAATTCACGTATTTCATCCTTGGATGTGATGATCTATTTGCTGCTTTTTCTTTTCTTTTTTTCTTCATTTTGATCAATCAATTTGCCTTGTTTGGTGCAAGTTCTTCTATCCCAAGGCTTATTGAGGATCTCATGGCCCATTTTTTTGTTAGTAGTCATTGACTAAAATGTCTCAGGCGTTTGTTTCAATTCTTTTTGTGATTCTTCTAACATCATCTATGTAGTCTAATTACATTCTGCTGTTTTCCTCAATAAATTGTGCCAACTTATTTATTTCTGCTTCTGTTTTGTACTTTCAGACCTGTCTCATGTGTTCTCCTCTGTTAGAAGAGATCTCAATTTCATTGATCACACCAGTGACCTTGGATGGAAAGAGTAGGCAAACCCTTTTCGCTAATTTTAGCTGTAGTGTTCTGGCACGTATGTCTAATTGAACTTGAACCCATATATTTATTTTTATTTTTATTTTTATTTTTATTTTTATGTAGGTTGCATAGGGTCCGGCCAATTGTAGTTGATCCAGGGTTATACCTAGCCCGGAGGAGCCAAATTTTCCATGCTACAGAGAAGCGGAAAACTCCTGATGCTTTTAAAATATTCACAGGCAAATTTTTACACACTTCTTATGTAAGGATTACCCTTATGGGTATGCTTCCCACGTGGAACTGCTAATTAGAAACAATTCTCTCTTGATTTGCAGGTTCCCCATGGGTCATCCTGAGCAGATCCTTTCTGGAATTTTGCATTCTTGGTTGGGATAACCTTCCCCGGACCATGCTCATGTACTTTACGAATGTGATGTTGTCCCAGGAAGGATATTTTCATTCTGTTATATGCAATTCACCAGAGTTTAAGAACACTACTGTGAACAGTGATTTAAGATACATGATCTGGGACACTCCCCCCAAAATGGAACCCCACTTCCTCAATATGTCGGATTATGATCAAATGGTTCAAGGTGGAGCTGCTTTTGCCCGACAATTCCAGAAAGATGACCCTGTGCTGGACATGGTTGATGAAAGGATCCTCAAGCGTGGGCGAAATCGAGCTGCCCCAGGGGCATGGTGCTCAGGCTGGAAAAGCTGGTGGATGGATCCATGCTCTCAATGGGGTGATGCCAATATCTTGAAGCCGGGGCCCCAAGCGAAGAAATTTGAAGAGTCGATTACTAACCTTCTTGATGACTGGACTGCGCAATCAAATCAATGCCAATGAAGATGTGTGAATTGAAAAAAAAGAAGAAAGATCTTCAGTTCAGATACTATGATCTAAACTTGATGATTAGTTTGGAAGACTGCCAACAGCAGGGATACATTCTTTTGGCCCCCTGAAGCGCACTTTTTTTGGGGTTCCTCCAGTCTCATGCTTGACTATTGTTTATAACGGGGGCAGAGTAGAAGGGAGAAACGTAGTGAGTTCGCTTGAGGTATATTGGGCTGTACTGTGGCATAGTAAGAGGGTCTCCCTCTTTTGTGCTGCCACTGCATGCTGTTGTATGTTCTACGTCCGATTAAATTAGGAACTGTTTGAATGTTGGATCCAAAATTCATTCTTTAAATTCTAACGTCTTGTATCTTTTTCACAGTGAATGTCTCTCTCTCGTTTTTTAGATCTGATTTCGTTGCCAATTTTACCAATAAAGAGAAGCCATGGAAAACAATTAAACTCACTCCTTTTTACCTTTTTTGATATAAGCGATATTGGTGCGAAAATGTTCTTAACCATTTGAAATCGCCTACAAACTTACCTATTTTTCAGTCCAAAGAAAATAAAAATAAAAACAAACTATCCAACATCCCGCCAAAGTTAAACCCCCAAATGCGAATACCCTTAACCAAAGCTTTATCAGTTTTCAGAATTCGCACCTTCGGTTGAACCCAATCTCCTTGCCTCTCAAATGGGTCTCTCTCGATTTTTCAATCTTGTATCAAAACCATCCAAAGAGCCCATCAATTCCTTCCTTCCGTTCCCCAATCTTCGTTCAACGCCAACCAGTCAAACTGGTTCTCACAGATCACTTACGACTTCACTACAAAGCATCAAATTCACAAACTTCACCCGTAATCGAACACTACATACTGAAAATCCATCTGGGTTCCTCAGCAATCGCACTGGTGGTTTTTATAGAGCAATTCACGATGGCCTAGGAAAAACCCAAGTGCCTGATGAGGCCAGTGACAAAATCCCAGGTGCAAATAACCGCGAAATCACCGAAGATGCTGAAAGAATCTGTAGAATACTGTCCACCAGCAACTCTAAATCCCCCATCTATAGCTTTCTCGATGGTGCTTCAGTTGAGGTGTCGCCGGCACTTGTAGTCGAGGTGTTGAAAAAGCTCAGCAATGCCGGCGTTCTTGCGCTCTCGTTTTTCCAGTGGGCAGAGAAGCAAAAAGGGTTTAAGCATACTATGGAGAGCTACAATGCTTTGATTGAAGCTCTGGGTAAGATCAAACAGTTCAAGATGATATGGGAATTGGTGAATGACATGAAGAGTAAAGGGCTGTTGAGTAAGGAGACTTTTGCTTTGATTTCGCGAAGATATTCGAGGGCCAAAAAGGTTAAGGAAGCGATAGAGACGTTCGAAAAGATGGAGAAGTTTGGAATGAAGGTAGAAGGGTCGGATTTCAATAGACTGATTGATACTTTAAGCAAGTCGAGGCAGGTTGAGAAAGCACAGGAGGTGTTTGATAAAATGAAGCACACAAGGTTTAAACCCGATATTAAGTCGTACACTATTTTGTTAGAAGGATGGGGTCAAGAACAGAACTTTTTGAGGTTGAATGAAGTTTATAGAGAAATGAAGGACGAGGGGTTCGACCCGGATGTTGTGACTTGTGGTATTCTGATCAATGCGCATTGTAAAGCTAAGAAGTATGATGAAGCCATTGATTTGTTTCGTGAGATGGAAGCAAAGAATGTCAAGGCTACACCTCATATTTTCTGTATTTTGATTAATGGGTTGGGTTCTGAAAGGAGGTTGAGTGAAGCCCTTGAGTTTTTTGAACTAAACAAAGCAAGTGGTTTCGAGCCGGAGGCACCCACATATAATGCTCTTGTTGGGGCTTACTGCTGGTCAATGCGGATGCATGATGCGTTTAGGGTGGTGGAGGAGATGAGGAAAGGTGGGATTGGTCCCAATCCTCGAACTTATGATATAATCTTACATCACTTGGTAAAGGCTCGAAGAACAGAACAAGCTTACTCCGTTTTCCAGCAAATCAGTAGGGAGCCTGGCTGTGAGCCAACAGTAAGTACGTATGAAATCCTAGTGAGGATGTTTTGTAACGAGGATCAAGTGGATATGGCATTACGGGTTTGGGATCAGATGAAGACTAAAGGCGTCCTGCCAGGAATGCACATGTTCTCCACATTGATTAACAGCTTGTGCCATGAGAATAAGTTAGATGACGCTTGCAAGTACTTTCAAGAGATGTTGGACGTGGGCATTCGACCTCCAGCGCAGATGTTTAGTAATTTGAAACAAGCCCTTCTCAATGAGGGGAGAAAGGATGATGTAATAAGTCTTGGTCTGAAGATTGACAGACTGAGAAAAACACCATTAGTTGGTTTGCGCTAAAGAGATACGTCCAAGGATTTTTGGAAGCCTTTTATGCACAGCTCAGCAGGCCTTGGGGAGCTCGGCTATGCTGATGTATTACTATAATTACAAGTTGTTTTAACTATTGCCACCCGAGGATTTTAGAGCTTATTTTTGCTAAAGTCAATGTTCAAATTGTTTATACGTTGCACAAAATGTAGGGAAAAGCCTCTGCTGGTGATAAGGCCCTTGCGCAGTACTTGAAGAATAAAATGAAAAATAAAAGAGCAAAAATCGAAGAGTCTAAAACATGAACTAGAATGAAGTTCATTGAATTCACAAATATACACGAATTCCAAGCAATCTGAATACAGCCCTCTTATATCTCCTGTAATTCTGACTAGTTTAATGTACCAAATTTAAGGATCATGGCAACAAGTTTTCTACAATAACTCCTCATAGATGCAGAACTTGTGTCTTCAGAGAGATGCGTAACAAAATTGACAATTCTTGCATGCTACTGAATACTGATATAACCAGAGAGCAAAGGGCTACCAAGATTGCTATGTTATGTAGGCCTTACAACAAAAAAGTGGCTGTGACTAATGGTACTCTCTTCCTCAGGGTAGCTGTTACCAAATTCAGACGGAGCCACAGTCACTTGCTCTGTTTGCTCTGCTTGCTCTGTTCTATGTGGCACCTCAAGAACCTCACTGATTCCGTGAACCGAAAGCCAGCCATTGTGATACACTTGCGGAAAAATGACCGATACACCATTGACCATCAACACGTCTTGGGATCGAGTGATATTGATTGTAAACCCCATCAGATTAGTCCTCAACACCGTCCCATCATTGAAACTCACCAAATCGCTCCACAAAAGCCTGCAGGGCACCACATGGCGATGAAAGATGGAGGATTGCTCACTCAAGTTCCCAACTCGGTTCATCAAGACTTGGTCAAATGGAGCAAACACAGTCATCATGGTCTGGTACTTGAAGAAAAACCCATGAAATTGCATTTCAAGAAACGAAGCCATAACAGAGCACCCTTTCGACCTCAGCGCATTAGAAGCTTCACTAAACGGATAATAAGCATCCCTTACCTCCATCGCCTCGTTCGGGTTCTTCGGGGCCAAGCATCCAAGATTCTTGGGGGTGTAGCTCCGAAGAGGACCCAAAATCCGGAAATGCGGGTCCAAGAACCTGTCAATTCCGAAAATTATCAACGACCCATCATCGAAAATTGGGGAAACAGTGATGGGGACGTTGTTGAGTGAGACTCTGGGGTCGTAGGCCAAAGTGGTGACGGAGACAGAGTAGTCAGAGAGGAAAGTTGAGATCTTGGCGCCGAAAGGCAGGGACTTGAGGGATCGGAGAGAGAAATAAAGGGGGATGATGTGGAATTGCAGGAGGTTCAGCGGTGGCTGACCGGAGTGAGAGAAGGCGGCGTCGGTGGGGGCGAAGATGGTGAGAGAAGGAGACTGGGAGAGGAGGAGGGTTTGAGAGGCGAGGTCGAGGGTCAGAGCCATGGAGGTGTAGCCGAAATCTGAGAGGATTTCGGCGGCGTTGACGAGGGTTTGGGTGGGGAGGGCGGAGGAGAGAGAGAGAACTGAGAGGACAACGAGGGAGAGAAGGAGTTGCGCTGCCGCCATTGTTGGAGGTTGTTCTTCGTTTCTTGGAGTTTGGAGAGGGGTTTGGTTTTGCAAATGAGTCTGGGTGTAGTTGCAGATTCAGAGAGTATCTGAACTTGTAAGGGGAAGGTTGTTTTTGGCGGGTTAAGATTTGACACGTGGACGCGTGGGATTTGCTCTGGTGGGAGGGAATTGAAAAGTTAGTTAAGGGAGTTAAGGAGTTAGTTTGTTTAATTCAGATCGCCAAGGCCCACGATGGCCCATGATGGCACTAAGTAATAAGAAGAAGAAAAAAGAGATGAGCTGGGCTCATAAGAAAAAAAGGCCAAGGCCCATGATGATTTTAATTCAGATCGGCCTTAGATAGCCTTTCCGGCCTATCCAAACGAAGATGAGCTGGGCTCATAAGCCTTGAACACAAACGAAGATGCGACAAAGAAGCTTAGTCAATCCAACAGGCTAGCCCAGTAGAAAATAGGTTTGACTTGCAGACTAAAGGTCTTAAATTTGAATCCCCACGACATCTTAGTTATGTGTGTGTGAAACCTCCTCCTCTCTAGTTTAGACTATCGCTTGTCTTATTAAAAAAAAAAAATCTAGTCAAATAAGAGCAATTGAAGGAAAATGTTGTCTTCATGGAATTATGCAAATTGCTTTGAGGCCACTCGAAAGAGAATGGTAAATTGGCCAACGTTATTAGTGTTTATATATTGTAGTTAATGAGCTGTTTTAGAAGGTCGCACAAGCAACAAATTATAGTATTGCAGTCCTATGCTTTGCTTTGCTTTGACTTCCCCACGTAGGGTTTCTTGTAGCGATATTTTATACTAAATTATATAAATTAATTCACGCAATTTTTTTTTCTCAATTGATTATGAGAATTGCAGTGCATCTCACGGTTAGTAATCCACGTCATGCATGTACTGTATCTTTTTTTATTTTTTTATTTTTATGGATTGAAATGTAGTGTATATGTTACAACTTAAATGCATGTCTGGCCAAAAAAAAAAATGTGTTACATGCATGTACTTATTTGGTGACTAATTCAACGCAATATTAAATTATGTGATTTCAATTTTCAACGTTTCAAATGGGGCTTTTGAAACTACATTAATTGTATATGCAAATATGTGTATGGTTTTTTGAGTAAGCCTAGTATCATATCAGATGGAGCTTGTGATGATCTCATCGAATCAGATGAAAACGAGTGGTGATCAAGGTAAAGTTTCTTACACGAATTAAAGATTGAAAACCCAATTTTATTTTTAACGCATTACTTGTAAGAATATATTTTTAGTGACAGTAACATGGATGCGCCCACAACGACGTTTACCAAAACCCCAACAAACTCGCCTACACACATTTCGTCACTTCCGATTTGCATGACCTTCCAGTAAATTTCCAAAATTATGTGGCCTTCTATACTTCACTTCGATTTTGCTCTTGACCAGTCAAACTGTTGTTTATTAAAACCAGCACTCAACTACGTGTCTATTTCATCAATACAAGTAAACACACAAACCAGCACGCAAATATATATATATATATATGTATGTATAATATATAATTGAATGTATAGAATCATAGGCTGATCAATCAAGAATCTGAAAACAGACGGCTGGAATGAAATGATTGGATGGTTTTTATTTTTTTATTTTTTAGGAAGATGCCAAGTTGTTGAAAGATTCATGAAAGCCAACTCATTAGTAGTACGTACTTGGTTTTGTTGCTGTCACGATGATGATGACCGGCGCTTCAAATCAAACAGCGGGGAAATTTGCTCAAATTAATATCTTTTTTCAGGGTGTAGACAATCTGTAAAGTTGGTGCAGCTTGTGGTTAGACTTTCTCGTCGTTTACACATATGGTGACTTTTAGTTGTCCTTCATTTGAGGGTTTGAGGAGCCCTACATGCAAAGTTACGATCCTAAGAAGTCTCGGGTGGGGGAGGTCCGACCACATCATGATCACTCTCACAATGATGAAGGACCCTGTATATTTGGGGTGGGACCAATGCAGGGCCGAGAAAGCTCTTATTACAGTGATGCACACAAATGATGTGGTTGAACCGTCTCACTTAAGACCCCATGATCATATGAAAAATATCACAATTTTTAGACTAAGTCTAGCTAGCATCTAGCCTCCTACATAATAATTGAACACCTTTTTTACCTGCCGATCCAAAGTTACTTGTTCTCATGCTTGTATCTATTAAATTTATATTCTTTGTTGTTCCTAAATTGTTGTTCTAATTCAAAAGAGGAGTAAAAGACAAACTGATGAATGAAATATTCCCGGAATAGTACACTTCTTTTTGGAAATTTGATGAAGCCCATGCCTGGTGGGGTGCCAATAATTATCAATGCATGTTGACTCATGCCACTCATGAACTACATAACATAATTGTAGAAAATGACATGCAAATCACAGATGAATTATGGAGCTAGAGCTAGCTAGGTGTCAAGGCATGCAAACCATGAAAATTTCCCGAGTAGATGCTATATAGCTAGCTAAAGGAGAGGTAGACCAGAACTCGATATAGGCTCAGACCGAAAAAGTAGCTTTCTTCTAGCGATGTTTCACCTAATCTCTTGAATAATTGGACCCATAACATAAATTCCATCGTTTTCTGCTCAACCTCAAGAACCATACAAACTTCAGATTTTTGCATGACATATTTATTGTGCCCTGTTTTCTCATTCCCTATTGACTTGCAATGGGTTTGTGATTCACGAGTCATTATAGAATATTACAATAATATAATCAGATGGTACATTTTGTACATGTGTTATAACAATATAAGTAGATATTATTGATACTATTTTTTAAAAGGGAAAAAACACTCAGTTCTCCACTCATACATTATAACACGTGCATAAAATATACACTACATAACTGTATTACTGTAGTATTCCATAATTTTTCGTGATTCATGCATGAAATGATAATATCCGTGTGAAATTATGACATTTTCAACTCATGATTCAGTTCAGACAATGCGGTACCGCGTATGATTGGGAAAAACGTGGGCTGAGCAGCACTTTCATTTCATCCTAGCAAATGGTGCAAGACAGATGGGCTCAGTATCATTCAATTGTTTATTCCTTCAAAACATGTGTCAGTGAGAACCATCACCGTCATACGGCAAATAATTGAAACAAGTTCCTCACCGGAAGCTGCTTTAAAAAAAAAATAAATTATATATATATATATATATTCATCACTAAAGGGAAAAATAAAAATAAAATGAAAAAAGCACCAAGAAAGAAGAATATATATATGTGTGACTAGGGGTGGGCATCTCATTCAACTTATTCGCATATCGACGATTTGGTTTGATTTGGTTAAATAATTATTTTTAAATTTTAATTATTTTGATCTGATCTGTATCAAGATGTTTGGTTTGGTTAACGGAAACAATATTCTTAACCCGATGAAAACCCGTACCGATCCAATGTTTATACTTATTCTATTATTTAAATACAAAACAAGAAACCAAAGATAAATATAATCAACATTTTCTATCACTCCTTTATCACTGCTGTATTACTTCTTTATCACCATTGTGTCACTGCTTTATCAACATTCTATCACTTCTTTATCACCCTAAACTTTCCAACTGTTGATCCAAATTTTATGTTCTTTATATGGTTGAATTCAACATGAAAAAATAAAAAACCCTACACAGAACAAATTCAAAATCATTTACATAAATGTAAAGAATTCAGTAAAAATAATACTCAAATGTTCAAACAACAAACAAAAGTGACTCCCAGTACATCTTGAGTATATATTGAATGATATAGTGACTAAGTTATTTGATTTTGTACTTGGATGAATTAGACTATTGGATTTTTATATTTGACAAGGATGATTTGGTGTATTTATTTAAGAACTTATGTTATGTGAAAGTATTATAAATTGTATTTTTATTAGTATGTTTTTATTACGGTACTACCGGCGTACCGAATCAATCCGAACCGAATATTAGGATAACCGATCCAAAGTCTACCGAAGTCTTTGGTTTAATTAACGGAAGAGAAATAGTTTACTGAAGTCTTTAGTTTGGTTAACGAAAGAGCTTTCTACCGTTCCAAACGAATTGATTTGTGCCCAGGCCTATACGTGACCTTGATTTCAAGAAAATTAACTAAACAAATATTACTTGTTTTTTATTAATGATTTGGTTGCGCGTAAACCAAGGTGCATGTTGGGCATACACATAACTGAAAAAATGATTGCTACAGTTATTTATTTATTTCTTTTTTTGTGTGGCAATATTTGTGCATGATTTGTTTCTTACTTTCTTTGAGGTGGCAAAAATTGATAGTAGGCCATTGGATTGAACAGAACAGTTCCCTTTTCTTTGGGCTCAAGAAAGCAGCAAGATGACAGCTTCCCACTAAGCTGTCAAATGCACATAACCAATGAGGCCAGAGCAGCTTCTGGAAACTCCCTTTTGATTTATATATATATACATATTTTTTCCATTTAACAGGGAAAAATTCCTATCACTGGGTTTAATTTTTGGGCCCTAAGCAGAAGCCAACAAAATAATGCCAAGTTGTTGGGCATGATATCTTGGAGATTAGCATGAATTGGGGACACACGTCATTATCTGGTGCATACAAGGTTAAATTTTAAACACGAATTTGCACCCAAAGTTAATTTCTCTTAATTAATACCCACCGTATACGATTAACATCTCATAAATAGTAGGCATAGGACCAGGCCACACCACACCACACTTATATTATATATATCTCTGTTGTCACCCCAAAATACTGTCTTGGTCTTGCAGCAAACACTCTCTTTCCTTCTCTCTCTCTCTCTCTCTCTCTCTCTCTCTCTCTCTCTAAAACACAAAAACACAAAGAAACTTCACTGCTGCTTTGCCTTTGCTGATCAAGTATGGGTGCTCTGGACGCTCTTTCAGACTATTTCACAATCTCCAAACCAAAAAAGAAACGAAAGCCAATGCAGGTATATCATCAAAAGATTCAAAACCAAAACCAAGTCTATATGTTTGGTTCTTGCTGTTCTGCTTTAGTTGCTTTGTCTTCCTTTAGACTAAAGGCTTTAGTTATTTCTGTCTGTCTTCAGTGGCGATAAATACGTAGCTCACTTCTCTTTCTGTTCTTGTTCAATTTGTTCAGACAGTTGAAATCAAGGTGAAAATGGACTGTGATGGCTGTGAAAGGAGAGTTAAAAATGCTGTCTCTAACATGAAAGGTTCAAAGCTTAAGCTCTCTCTCTCTCTCTCTCTCTCTCTCTCTCTCTCTCTCTCTCTATATATATATGTCATTTGCTCATAATCAAACATAACTTCTCTAAGATTAGGTCCCCAAGTCAGTCTGCTAAAATGATATTAGGAAGCCGATTATCCATCATTTTTGTAGAAAAAAAGAAAAGAAAATTGAAGCAGAAATGCATGTTATGGTTATCAGAGCCCATCAGCCTGGACAGGACAACTCATTAATAAGTTTTACCAAGACTTTTTACTTTTGGTCTCCTCCTCCTCCTCCACTAGAAAAGCAGGGGATATCTAGAGAGACAGAGAGCAAACAAAACAACACTGATACAAAGTTTCTGAGCTTCCTCGTAAAGGGAAACTACAAAGTCTCTGGAACCGACATATATTACTTTGACTCTCTTCTCTTTCTTCCCAGTACTCAATAGTAGTGGTACAAATAAACATCTGGCATCGTTAGCTTTTTCTGTTTGAAACCATACATCTTTAGATCCTCATACAGTATATGCTGTGACTCAATAATAATTGCAATGCAAAAATCTGAAAATCCAAATAGACCCTTACCAATATATAATTATATATCATGTAATAGCGTTCATGTTGAAGGTCACAGTTACCAGCATTATTTCTGTTCACTTAATTATTCACAAAGGGTAGCGTAATTTCAGATTTTGATGTAATCACACAACATTTTCTAATACCAGAAACAAAAGTAGTGTCCTTTTTTATCATGGTATAATATAAGTTCATAACTATTACATAGGGGACAAGGGACCCCTGTTAATTAACTATTAGCGAGACTAATTCTTGTCAACTTAATTAATTCAGGTGCTAAACAAGTTGAGGTTAACAGAAAGCAGAGCCGGGTGACGGTGACGGGGTATGTGGAACCAAACAAGGTGTTAAAGAAAGTGAAGAGCACAGGAAAGAAAGCTGAACTTTGGCCCTATGTCCCTTACAACTTGGTGGCTTATCCTTATGCGACCGGAGCTTATGACAAGAAGGCTCCCTCTGGTTATGTGAGGAACGTGGCTCAGGCACTTCCTAGCCCAGGTGCACCAGACGACAAGTACACCACTATGTTTAGCGATGAAAATCCAAATGCTTGTTCCATCATGTGATATGATGTAATTAATTAAGCTTGTATTTGTTAGTAATGAAATTATGAACTTAATTAAAAGGGATGGAGTTGACTAGCTAGCTAGATTATCCTCGGATTAAGATAGATCTACTGCCACTTTGTTGCTTTGAGTTTGTGTTTAGGTTGTTCTCTTTCTTTCCTCCTTAATGTTAATTAGGTTTGTAATTAATGAAATGATCTTCTGTTGTTGTAATTAGCTTGTCTGCTTGCTACAACTTTAGGATCTGTTTTTGTCTTTCCTTTATTGGATTTTAGATTAGATATGTTTTGGGAAGATTAAAAGGGCAAGGAAGCACAGTACTGATATCAAATTAAAATAATACACAACTATATATAAATATAAATTAAAATAAAATCAATCGAGCACTACCATGTATTTTTGTGACTAAAAACAATTACACAATCAAATCATTGTCGCTTAGATATGGGCGGTGTGATCTTAGCTATGTGGGAGAATAATTTGTTGGGTTTCTGAAGAGAAGTTTCTTCCAAAAGCACAAGCCTTTTTTGAATTATTTTATAAGGGGCCTTTGACACTTGTTTATTATTTATTTGACTATTTTATACATTGATTTTGTATTTGTACCCTACCAACACAGCACCAATCAACCATGAATTTTAAATTATAACCCTGCACTTCTATTACTCCCATTAGCATGAATGGAAAGATACGTCCAAAATGAGAGGAAAGGAAACGACCATCGTCTTCTTCGTTGGGAACTTGAGAGATAACGTACGAATTGAGAGACTGCCAACACGTCCGTCCATAAGCAAAAACAAACTTCTGTTTCATTTTGGTTATAATTAGACAAAAATATATATATTAATGCTGAATTATTGAGTGGCTTAGCAGTACATGTTGAATGGATCATCTGGGTAGTTGCCACGTGCAACAAGGCCAAAAGTGGACATGAAAATTCAAAGCCCCCTCAATTTTCCACAATTATTGAAGTGTTTTGTGGTTCAACTTTTGGTCTGAAGAGTTGCCACTTGCTAACATATTAGCATTAATTCAAAAGATAAGCCCCGTGTAACTTTCACCATCCCACCTGCCATGACCATTTATATATAACTCACAGATAGTATATTATTTTAGAAGATAGGCCTCCTGTAACTTTCATTCAACCCCCTGCTATGTTAACTTTAGCTGAATCTCAAACACATAACGATGAGGAACAGTAGGCCATTTTTGGATCATATATCCATATTTTTGGAACATTATTTTATTACCAGATTCAGGACATATCAATACTATATATAATTAATTACAAGAGGTGGATGATGTATTAGCTTACGCTTAAGCTAATAAGACTGTTTAGCGAATGAATTGACACCACTTAGATTCTATCTCCAGTTCATCAAACCCAAAATGAAACTATTGGAAGATGATGAGTTTTCCAAAATAATACGAAAACATAATAGCCAAGTCCAACATGATAAAGATCAACTTCTTCTGGTGCAAAAGATATTACCATTTTTTAAGAAACGGAAAAACTGACGAAAGTCTCCGTCTTTCGTACGTTGCTTAATGAGTTTACTTTCCTCACCTGTCTTTTGTGACTGTACAAAAAAGTGTACCATTATCATTCTTAGATATCAAACTTTCTAATAGAAGTGGAGCAACGAGTTAAGGAATAATGCTTCTTAGAAACACATTGGTCGGTTAATGAGCAAAGTCTTGCGAAGAAAGGAGGGGGACATATACATACTGATTGATCATCAACGAGTCCCTTTGAAAAGTTTAAACTATGTTTTCCAACCAAAAAAGAAAAGAAAAAAGAAAAGAGTTTCTTGAAACTATGTTTATGGTGGGTACGTGATGAAGATGCATGTTCTTTGGCATGTTATTTTCGGTGGAAAAAGGATGTAACAGAATATATTTTGCGTTGGTCGGTTTTGTCTTTGGATTTTGGAAGTCTGAATTCGAATATGGGGCAAGCAAGATGCTCATTTCATTTGGGTTGTTGGAAAAAAGTAGACGTTGTTATATTCTTTAAATAATGCAGGCCCAGAATCTAAAGTTACTGCTCGTGGAAAAGGCCCAATGCTGTTTGGTCAAAAAAATCTGAATTGCTTATCAGACAGTGTCATCTTCTTTCTTAACCCATAATTTTAAATTGGACTTTTTGCTATTTTTCTACAGCAATCAATCACACACACTCACTGTCACTCGTCCCAGAAGGCCCAAAACGGGATTTTGATGGACAAATATGCTAATTTGGAGGACGTGTGTTTTTAAATGCATGAAAAAATGGATAGCAACAAGCACAGCTAGCTAGCAGTGTCACCTAACATTCACCCCCAGAGGCGGATCTAGTAAAGCGCAAGGAGGTGCAGCTGCACCTCTCCTAACCTGAAAAACCATTGTAAGTGCTTCAAATTGCCCATTTGCTAAACTGTTGTACAGATTACCTTATTTTCATCTTCAACATTTAAGTAAATGTCTTTGTCCTTTTACTTTTATTTATTTTTATATTACTCTATTTACTTAAGTTTACAATGTAAATAAGGAAGCACCCCCTATTACCCCATATTTGGATTCAAATAAAAATACTAAAAAATCAAATTCCCACCAAATCAAAATATGAAAATTCGGTTTTAGTGCAAAATATGATTTAGGCTAAAAATGATGGTTCATTAAGTCAATATATACTTCATACTAAAATCCCATAAAATCAAGTTTTCTTATTTGATGTGTAAGAAATAAAAGCCGCCAAAAATTATCATGAGAAAATTATTATTTCGAAAAACCATTTTTCATACTTAGTCAATATTGCACCTCTGCTAAAAAATTTCTGGGTCCGCCAGTGCCCCCACAAACACAAACGTGCTTTCAATTTGCTCACCACTGGCACTCACCATTTGTTTTGTTTTTCGCTTCCATTCCACATGTGGATATGGATGGATATGTGGTTTTGACAAAAGCTTCATCAACATCCAATACAAATTGATTGCCAGAGTCTCCAACAACTCCTAAAATTGTATAAAGAATAAGTAAAAGGGAAAACAAAGTAGGGTTGATTATACAAATAGTTGTCAACTAGTCATTGAAATCTAAGACGAAGAAGACCACCTCTTACTCAACCAATCAACTGGTTCACTTGGAGGCCTGGTTTGAAAGAACCAATGGGGTCAAAATCCTGGTCCAGTTAAGAAATCTCTCTTTCTACAGAGGCAGAATCTAAAGCAGATTAACTGCGGGTTCCAATGACATTTTGATTAGATGGATCATAGCTCTTACAGCATGGGATCCCAAATTTGTGGGCCCTTTTTTTCTGCTGACCTGTACCTTAAACCATCCCAGATCCTCATGATCCCAAACCGCCCACTCATCACCCTTCAATTTACTCAGATGTGCTGGTCTCAGAGAATATCAACCCCACCTCAACAAGAAATTTTAAAACTCCAGGCTCTTATAGCTAAACAAACAAGCCAGATACAGTTAAGGCTGAATTATTGCACTGGAAAAATCATACAGAATCGTGAACAAGAAGCAAAGCAATAAAAGAAGGAGCGGTATTTTGGGTTGGGAGCTTTGGGAAGGACAAGAATATATAGCATGCAGGTGTAATGATGGCCCCTCTCCTTCTCTCCTAGGCTAGGCCTGACCTGAGCGCCTCTCACTTTTACCTTTGTGTGATTGCGTGCTGCCTCTTGGCCTCATAAGCCCTTTGGCAGAATAAAAAATTGCTACAAATGGTTGAAATAAGAGCAAGCGTGTTTGGAAATTGTGAACCATAAAAGGTCATAAAAAAAATGAAGTTTCTCTTTGTCTTTTTAGTTTTTCCCATTTCAATTCAATCCCCAGATACAAAGCTCAACTATGTTAAAGTTCTTCAGAAGATAATAAACCAACCATCTGCTTTTATTTCTTATCTTAAATTTTCTGCTATACAAAGTCTTTGGGCGAATTACATTTTGAACCACTTGGGAAACAGTTGTTTTCTTCATATTAAAACGTTACTTAATTACTTGATAATGAGAATAACCAAACCAGCAACCACTACTTCAATGGACAGTAAAGTATCCAACTAACCCTAGGATGGTAGCCACAGCTACTTTTTGTTTTTAAGGATCTTTCTTATTAAACTCAAACGCACTATACAGATACTATAACTTAGACTCGTGATCTTTCCGGATAACCACAAGCTAATATTTTATATTGCATTTTATTGCATTTGCATCGGTAACTATTAACCACTCTCTTACATGCGTGTGTTGCAATTTATTTTTCTGTTTCTTGGAAAGCTATTTTGGTCATTGTAGCAATAAATTAGTCAGACTAGAATGTCAATTGGAGGCAGGTCCATGTGACACTTTAGGCTGCGGCAGAAAACTGGTACACCTTTAAGCAAAAATGTCGAGATGGTCTTCTGTTGTTGGAAAAGCGTTTTTCTTTTTGCCACCTGCATATCTTATCTCACTCTGTTCACCATTTGGACTATGATTTGACTATGCCTTCCATCCAAAGTACGCTACTTCTCAGCATTTGGCAACCTAAAAACATAAAGTACAATGATTAAAAACTTGAACACAAATTTTAAACACATAGGATTTGAATATTAAGAGTATTAGGGTGTATAGAGAAATGTATGTTAAATATACACCTTTTATCGCGAAAATCGTCTACACTGTGGATGCTCTAAGCATGCTGAGAAAACAAGATAATAAATTAGAGAAGCCAGCGAATTGTGTTGTATCGTTTTCTGTGTGTAAACCACAAAAGCTCATTCGTTTATTTCATTTGTTTTTTCCTTCGGACTTGCACTATTTCACTTCGTTTTGTTTGCTTGTTTCACGGAATCAAATTGTACTTTTGGTTGTGGCACAACGCATGAACACAACACTACCAGTCAAACCATATTGATTTACTTCATTTATATTTTAATGTGTATAGGCAATCCCCGTATAAAATTACATGGCCTGTATGTATGGGGTTAAAGCACAAAATTACAAAATGAGAGGGAAACTTTTGGAAATAATGGTAAACGTAGGAGGGGTAAAGTGAAAACCCACTGTCCTCGTAACTGCAGCCCTTTTTGTCTTGCACCCCACGGTTCAGCAACTCTGACCCCACCACTCACGGGGATATGTGACCAACGGTTCATTTTAATTATTGGTCCCATATTATTTTTTAATTATTTTTCACGTTTTTTATTTATTTAAAGTTTCTTCAGTCAGATACTGAAAATGGGCCGGCAGGCCCAAAATTTTTTTTTGTTTTTTTTTTTTTTTTTGTTTTTTTTTGTTTTTTTATTAAATAAAATTTGAATGTGTGTTTTTCTCTTAAAGAAGCCCGTTGGGCTACGTCTTTAACCAACAATTAAAATAGAATACAGCTGTAGTGTTGTTGTAGGATGTAGATATTCACAACGGTCATTCTCTGAATAAAAATAAGGGAGTTTCACTAAAACACCCAAAATGAGGGTTGAAATTATAAAAAAACCCAACACCCAAAACACTTTATAAACACACCCAAAACTCATCATTACACACACTCAAAACCCATTTATAAACACACCAAAAAAATATACAATTGTTGATTTTGGGGTTGATTTTGGGTGTGTTTCTATATTTAAATAGTGTTTGAGTTTTTTTATAAATACATGTCTAGGATTGGGTTTATTTATAAATTTGTATAAAAATAATAACATCACTAGAATGGACAAAGGGGAGGGGAATGGGGGACTGCCAAGTTGCTGTTCTTCTTTATTGTTCTTACTCTCCAGTATTTAACGTTAAATCACATCATTTCAGAATTCAGAATACCCTCAGGACCCATATCTCTTTCTCTCTCTCTCTCTCTCTCTCATAAATTAACTCCTCTGACTTTCATTTCACCTTTTCTCTCTGTCATTTGTAATTTGTATCTTCCTGCTTTTCACTTTGGTTTGTACTCTCATTGTCTTTTTTTACTTAAATCAAATAGAATAATACATATTGAAGCACAAGCCTCAAGTGACAAGACCCATGTGCTTTTCTTTTGTTTGCTTTTGAGGAGGAGAAACTGAAGAGGGAGAGAGAAAATTATAAACAAAGAAATTAAGAAGCATCTATCTACTTCTACAAGTAGTCTACAAGAAGTAAAACTCGCATACTCAGTACACCCCAAAAAATAGTTAAGTATACAACACTTTCATTACAACTCAACTCTCCCCCTCTCCTCCCAACTGCTAAACTGGGCATTATCCTTTCACTTCTTTTATAGCTGCAGAGAAAGAGAGAGAACTTTCACTCCAAGCTGCTTTGAAGAGATGACTAAAGAAGAAGACTTTAAGCTCCTCAAGATCCAGGTCTTTTTCTCTTCTATTTTATTTGTTTACATTGTTTTTATGCAGACAGCAAAGTTGGATGTTGGTCTTTTCCTGAAGAATCTTTGTTGTTTTTGTTTTTGTTGTTGTTGTTTCCTTTCCATTTTCATCTACAGACTTGTGTTCTCAAAGTGAACATACATTGTGATGGGTGTAAGCAGAAAGTGAAGAAACTCCTTCAGAGAATTGAAGGTGCCCACTTTCTTCTCATCTTTCTACTTGTTTATGTTCTTGTCTTCTAATTGGTGAATAACTTTACTACCACTCTGCTCTCCTCCCTTTTTCTCTGTATAACCATTATTTTAAGAATTTGATTAAATAGGCTACATGTAAAAACATACCATTTTTTTTAGCATTAACACCGAGTTTCTCAAATTTCGGTCATTTTTTTAGAATCCTTTTGAATATCAGACTTTTTATTTTGTTATCTATCTCAATTTAGATACAATATGGGAAATTAGTCATTGCTGCAACAATAATTTTACACAAGTTTGGAGTTCCATATGAGGACAGTATTTTCACTCTTGAGGCATGTAACTGCAAGTTTTGCAGAAATTTCTCACCCATGGCGCATAAAAGTTAACCCTTTTACTACGTTCACCCATTTTCTGCAGGTGTTTACCAAGTAAATATCGATGCTGATCAGCAGAAAGTTACGGTTTCTGGAAATGTCGATTCTGCCACTTTGATCAAGAAACTGACCAGAGCTGGCAAACATGCTGAGCTTTGGTCCCAGAAATCCAATCAAAGCCAGAAGCAAAAGAACAACTGCATCAAAGATGACAAGAGCAACAAGGGTCAAAGACAGGGCATTATCAAGAACCTTGAAGCTTTCAAAAACCAGCACAAGTTTCCTTCCTTCAGTTCTGAAGGAGATGATGAATACTGTGATGATGACGAAGAAGAAGAGGACGAGTTTCGGCTTCTTAGGGAGAAAGTTAATCAGTTGGGTATGCTCAGGCAACAAGCAATTGATGCAAACAATGGAAAGAAAGTTGCTGGAGTCATTAATGCTGCGGCTGCCAACAATGTTGGAAATGTAAATGCTGGAAAGCAAGGGCACCCAAATCAGAACATGGGTATGAAGCCAAATCCAGGTGGGATTGATCCAAAAACAATGGCTGCTCTGAAGATGAGCAATGCCCATTTAGGTGGTGGAAACATCAATGCAGGGGAAGGCAAAAGGGGGAACATAAATGACCTGAGTACCATGATGAATTTGGCTGGTTTCCATGGAAATGGTGCTAATGTTGCTCCTAATGCTACTGCTGCCTTGGGGCCCAACCCCAATGGTCTGGGAGGGTTTCAAGCTCCAGCAAACAGTGGGTACAGCCATCATCAGGCAAATGCAGAGTTTCCAAATGGTGCTGGTTATTCTACAGGGCAATATCCAGCATCTATGCTGATGAACTCAAATGGTTTCAGCCATCCATCCCAGATGATGAACATGAACATGAACATGCAGGCCAGGCAAGCTATGCAGCAACAGCAGCCCCAGATGATGTATCACAGGTCCCCATTTGTTCCTCCTAGTACTGGCTATTGCTATAATTACAGCCCTAGCCCTGCCCCATACCCTTACAGTGCTGAACCTAATTACAGTGGTAACAACACTGCAGCCCATATGTTCAGTGACGAGAACACAAGCAGCTGCTCAATTATGTAATGCTGTTCTCAATTATGTTTGTAGAGATGTAGAAGAGAATGTTGTTTCAGATGAAATTCTCTGTTAGTGGGGTTTGTTAACAGTGTGTTCTGTAGTGTGGTCAGGAGGAGGGAAATATGGATTAGGATTAAGTGTTTGTTCAAGTGAATCTTATCACTTAACTGTGTATCTGTGTAGTAGTTGAAGATAATATTCCCCTTCTTATTTTAGTTATTTCTTTGTTTCACGACAAACTATGCTATGCTAGTAAATAAGTAAATCTTAGAATGGTTGATTTTCTTTTTCTTTTTTACATCATGGGAGTCTGGTTCCTTTGGTGCTATGTCAATTTTGGAATTGCATTAATTTATACCACCATGGCAGACAGCGTGGTACTGGATACCGCATCATGCTCTGGGGACATTATAGGATGATATTTGTTCTGAGTTAGGAACAGAACAGTTAGGTTGACAATTTATTTCTAGTGCTGCAAATGTTAATATAGTATTTGTACATTAGGCAGATTTGCACGTTTATGTCGCGTGCGTCTTTGCTTTTTATGTACGTACAAAGTTGTCAACCGACAGGACCACACACAGAGGCTTAGCGTTGTAGGTGTAGCTGGTGGTGCCAACTTGCAGCCTGTGAATTTGTTTAATCATATGTATTGTGTGGTGCTGTGGTTGGGATGTATGCAAAATAATACAACTTTTTGGCAACATGGAAGTGAAGGGAAAGTTTATAGGGTATTTTTAAGCGAAGTTTTGGAAAAGTAGTCAACAGTCGTCAATGAGGAAAAGTGAGAACGAGGCTGCAAAATGGGAAGACCTAAGACTCTGAATAGTGGAAGTGATGCTAAAGTGGATGCATGTGCAGACTGACTTAGGCACTCTATCTGCCCTCAAAGGCTTCATTTCCACAACCCAAGGATTAAAATTGACACTACTTTCGGACCATTTGCTTAAAAAGTATCTCTGCAGATTCAATTTGCCCATATCAACGGGCTCTGCAACTATCTATTATAGCTATCGGTTCCAAGAATGAAAAAAGAACGGAAAGCAATTACATTAATTGTATGTTTACTATTTTGTAATTGGATTATGAGGAATTGGATTAAGGAGTTGGATTGAAGAGAGTTAGATTCCGGATTCCTATTGAAGTTGTTTACTAAATCATATAAAATTGGAGTATGAGTGATTCTAAATGTCCTCGTTGTTGGGTTAAAATAGATGATAAATTTGAAATTTTAAAAATTATGTGAGGATATAATGGGTAAAAAATAAGAATTCCTAATGGGTTAGTTCTCCGGAAATTAGAATACCACCTCCCACAAAGGAATTGAATTCCTTAAAAATCAGGAATTCAATTCCTAATTTTGTGTGGACCCCATTTACTTTTCAATTTCTTGATGTAAAGTAAAAGCAAGAATTCTCTGGAATTCAAGTTATGATGAGAATTTCAATTACCGATCAGTAGACACACCGTAAGATGAATTAACAACAAATCCATGAAGTGCTTTTGTTTTTTGGAGAGTCGGTTAGAAGCAGGGATGCAATCAAAGGTACACCCCTCCCGCACCCCAAACCAGCCAAGAGCAAATAGGCAAAAGGTCCTTGATAAGCCTGAAACCTAGTTAGCCTATTGGCCTCTTTTTTTCTACATAAAGCCCAGACCAAAGGCCCAGTGCAGCTGTAGTTCTTTGTTTTTATTTTCTTCTGAGAAATTGAAAACAGATTGATAAATTCTGTAATGTAGTGCTTGTTTTCATTGTCTTCCCCTGTTAATCATAAAGCTGTTAATCATTTATTAATTAGCTTACATCTTGGTTGATATTTGATAATGCTTCGCCTCATCATGGCCCATGACAGAAGTGCTTTACACTCTGGAGATCCATTAGGGTCGTCGCTTATTAATCTTGTATTCAATTCAAGCACTCATATCCTTCCTTCCCCACAAAAACAGATATTAATTTGTGATATAAATAGAAGATAATGATGAGCTGCATTTATGATTCTTAAGAATGCTCTGTTTGCAAGTAAAAAAATGAATGAAAACAGCAGAAGATACAGAAAAAACAACCGCTGCTCATGGGATCAACTTGTCTCTGGACTGGACCACAACAAAGCCAGTCTTACTAAAAGCCTTCATGTCTACCTTTTCTGCACATTTGCATCACAGTCAGCAGTATTAATTCCCATGCTAATTAATTTCCTAAACCATGTACTTTATTGGGCTTTATGAGTTGCCTTGCCGCATGCATAAGCAGCCTATAGCCTGCCTCGATAGTTTCTTCGGCACTAACACTTGGAAAAAGTAGAAAGTCCAACTGTCTACATTAAGAAGAAGTGGGAAAGCTTTTTGTGGTGATGTGATGGTTTCTACCATCTAGCTTTTGGCTGGAACTGGAAGGATCGAAAGTTTGAGTTTTTCTGTGGACATAACATAAAGCTCGTTAAGTACACATATTATTACCCCGAAAGTGAAGCGGGCGAAACTGAACTATGTGGCCTCATATTGATCTCTCCCTCAATAAGTCAATATCATGCCAGAAAAATCAAACACCACTAGTACCAGAAAGAACCAAGAAAAATCTCTGAGCTTTCAAGGGGGCGTTTGGTATCTTATTCAAAAAAGAAACTCAAAAATTTTGATTTTTCTTAAAAGTAAGGAGTTCTTAAATCTATTTTTAAGATTTAAAAACTTGTTTGGTATGCAACTTGAAAACTATTTTCAAATCTTAAAATTTTGAGAATTTGTGGGTTGTTAGAAAAAAACTGAAAAAATAGATATTTTTTGTTTTTAATAATTAGGGTGTTTTTTTTAGTTGTTCTTGAGTTTGAGTTTTTAAAAATAAGGCTATCAAACAGGTTTTCTTTGTTTTGGACTCAAATTCTATTTTTGAGTTTAAAAAGTTGGATTCAAGTTGAATACCAAACAAGCCCTAATCTTCTGATGTGATCGATGTCAAACTTTCAGTTGGATATGAAAAATCCTAATTAATATCCTTAACAACATAAGGTGTGCAAAAACAGGTCAGCCTAATCCTTTCAGAAAAAAGAAAATTAGAAAAAAAAGGTCAGGCTAATCAAATGCATTGATTTGGGTCTATAAGAGCATGAGGGTGTATTTTTGGGTGTAAAACCAAGTGTAAATGTGTTTTTTGCTCTAATGGGAAATGAAATGTAAATCCAAAGATATGTATTTTATTGGATTTGTTTTGTGTTATATTGTTTTTTTTTTTTTTTTTTTTGTTTAACTTTTTAAATTTTTAAATTTTGTGTATGTTAGATTTATTTTATTTTTCCAAATAAACGGACCTAAAAAATTTTAAATTTGGAGAACATATAATTTTACCTACAAACTAACATAAAAATATCTACGTATAAATTTATAATTTATTTTCAACATTTTAAGTTATTTTTTTATAATATTTCAGACTATTGGAAGTGCAATGCAAATTGCATGAAATATAGGCATTCCATTTTGAATTCCAATCCATCTTAACCATTCATCATAGAGCTGTTGGAGATTGCAGCAGACCGTTTGGTGCGCTAACGTCAAGCAGGGCCTTCAACATAATTTTGTCTGGCGTCTGAAGAGTGATTCCAACCTTCCAACCTTCTCTCTCTCTCTCTCTCTCTCTCTCTCTCTCTCTCTCTCTCTCTCTCTCTCTCTCTCTCTCTCTTGTGGGTCTCGCTTATAAATGATATAAAAAAGAATGCATATGCGCATTTAATTTTGCATCTCCATGACTATGATGCATTTTTACAACTATTTATACCATCCCATTGAAGGTGATTTCAGCGACAAAATGTGTATATTTAGCATACACTTGGCTTTACACCCTCCCATTGAATATGCTCTAAACACCGTACTTAACAGTAAGCGATTAGTTATATCAGACCGTCTGTGTTGTTTCTTTGCTTTTTACATTTCCTATCATTTCTTAATTAGGTCAAAGGAGTGGCTAGTTTAGCTAAAGAGCAAAAGAAAGCAAAAGATGCCAAATGACTTTTTAATCAGTGGTTGCAAAGAGGTACCCGCCTGAGCATAAATAAATTCTTCTTTGTAGTTGTGTTTTTTTCTAGGTCTGCGAAGATAAATTATTCTTAATTAGAGCGTTCCTACTTTACAGGGGAGTTGCACTATGTTTGTTTTCCTTTATTGTTCGATAAAGTCAGGAAAGATGAGGGGTTTTTTCACACACATTATTAATGTGTCATAAGAATTCAACTTGAAACCAATAGTTTGCAAATCAATACTTTTTTTACAAATTTATAAATAAACCCAATCATACACATGTATTTATAAAAAAACCCAAGCACTATTTAAACATAGAAACACACCCAAAATCAACCCAAAAGTCAACTTTTTGGGTGTGTTTATAAATGAGTTTTGAGTGTGTGTAATGATGGGTTTTGGGTGTGTTTATAAAGTGTTTTGGGTGTTGGGTTTTTTTTTATAATTTCAACATCCATTTTGGGTGTTTTAGTGAAACTCGACTTTGTTTTCTTGTATTTGTTTTCAAATTAATCTTTATATTGTAGAAAACTAGCCCTCACATCATATCGTAACACAAGATTTTGAACATGAATTTTCTTCCTAAAATACCGTCATCAATTCAATGTAATAACGAAATTAACGCACCACATTAAAAAGGAAAAATCAGTTGAAAATGAGAAAGAAAGAACAAAAAATGATGTAATAAAAACGAGAAACGGTCATAAATAGTCATGCTTACGCCTGCCTCGTGCTAGCGCGTTGTAGTTGAATGCGAACATGTGTATGTCAGTAGTGCTCCTTTTCAATTTTTTGCCTGAAATACCGAGAAGGAAGGATCGCTTTATTCACACCAATGTTTCTCTTACGCTTTGTGCGTATAGAGTGTGTTTGCGGAGTGGAATGTAAGGAAATTGACACCCAAAACTATTTTAATTTCATTTCAATCACTTTTTAAATAAAGTTTCAGTCGAGATTCTCTCAAAAATCTCATTTTCATCTTCTTAATTACGTTATATTATTATTATTGTTATTATTATTGTTCTGATGTGAAAGATATTATTTGGATGATTCTATTTTAAGATAAATTATACAAACGTTCAAGTAAATATTATTTTCTTCTCTAAAGAATAGACAGTGAGAGAATTTTGAAGTCAAATAAAAATAGACGTTTATATGTCTTCTCTCCTGCGTTGATTTCATTTTCATAATTTGGACACAACACAAAATCCAGACAAGGGGAGGACCTACCAACAAGGAAAATATATGCTGTGTAGGCTGTATTCAGTGCTTCACTTTTTTTTTCCTTGTAAATATATCCAAACAATGCAAATTTTTCTCTCCATTATATTCCGTCGAATCCCACCCATCCAAACAAGAAAGAAAAGAACTTTCTCAACCTCTTCCCTTCCACAAAACACCGACTCAAAAGACCTCCCTGTCAAAACAGTCATCTCTTTCTCTCTCTTCGCTTCAAGTGCTTGTTTTTTCATGCACTCAAGCTAGAGACTTGAGAGAGAGAAAGATGGTGAGTGTGCAGAGAATTTTGGTGTGCAATTACTTGCTAATATCATTAGCTGTTGTTCTGGGTTTGCTCACAAATGGTTCATGTGCGGAAGATAAGCTTGTGAATCTGACGATGTTGAAGATGTTCGTGGATGAGCTTCCTGATATGCCCAAAATCAAGGCCTTCCATCTTGTCAATGGTGTCCCCAAACCCAAGTCACTCAAGATTGGCATGTACAAGATTAACTGGGTAATTAAAACATATATCATCAATTCGCCTTTATTCCCCGTTCTAACTATCTATTATTTTATTTTAATTCCTTATTAATTTGGCTTTTCCTAGTGTTTAAAGGTTAACTTCTAGGATGCTAATGTATGAATGCAATGTCTGCTTCATTAGACTTCATCTATTAAAAAAATATTAAAAAAAAAAAAAAAAAAAAAAAAATAGACTTCATCTTCCCCCAGAGGTTTTTTTCTTTGGTCGAATCTTCCCCCAGAGGTTAATTCAATTAGACTCAGTCACTTATGTTGCTTCATACATCTTAAAGTCTACTTCTCTGACATAATTCCGTATCCACAGTTGTAAAGCAACCCTGAATTAATTATTGTATTAATTAATCAGACCGCAACATTTATTCCAATGTCACACTTTGGTCTTCTTGACCTTATTTTATCTAATTTTTTAACCATCGTTGCCCAAGTTTTTTTAATTTTTGCTTTGTAATCAGAGGTTGTCATTTTCTCTCTCTCTCTCTCTCTCTCTCTCTCTCTTCGCAGAAATTCCACAGAGACCTTCCCCCAACGCCAGTGTTCGCCTACGGCACACGTTGGAGAACAGCAACAGTGCCTGGTCCAACAATTGAGGCCCTCCACGGAATTGATACCTACGTGACGTGGATGAATCGCCTCCCTTCAAAGCACATTCTGCCTTGGGATCCAACCATTCCAACGGCCCGAGCTGCCACTAACGAGGGCGTTCCTACTGTGGTGCACGTACACGGTGCCATCGATGAACCCGCGAGTGATGGAAACGCAAACGCATGGTTTACCGCTCGATTTGAAGCCCGTGGCCCACTTTGGTCCAACCGTAAATATCACTACCGCAATCAGCAACATCCTGGCAATCTATGGTACCATGATCATGCCATGGGGTTGACTCGAGTCAACCTCCTCGCTGGCTTGATTGGGGCCTACATTATTCGCCATCCTCAAGTTGAGGGCCCACTTGATCTGCCCCGTGATGAATTCGATCGTTCGTTGATCGTGTTCGATCGTAGCTTTCGCACCGATGGTTCCATATACATGAATTCCACGGGAAACAATCCCTCCATACACCCACAATGGCAGCCCGAATATTTTGGCGATGCAATTATTGTGAATGGAAAGGCATGGCCCCGGCTTACGGTACGCCGCCGTAAATACAGGTTTCGAATTATCAACGCTAGCAATGCGAGGTTCTTCAGGTTCTTCTTCACCAACGGTTTGAGATTTACCCACGTGGGGTCTGATTCAGCTTACCTTGGGGAACCGGTTGAGACCAATGACATTTTACTGGGGCCATCTGAGATCACAGACGTGGTGGTTGACTTTTCAAAGTCAAAGAACGATAATGCTATCCTAGCCAATGATGCACCGTATCCTTACCCGTCTGGTGACCCTGTCAACGACGCGAACAGTAAGGTCATGAAGTTTTTCGTCGTTGGCAATTCAGCTGTTGACACGTCGCGGATTCCAAAGAGGCTAATTTCCTACCCTGTCCCTGATTTATCCAGTGTGTCCCGCACCCGATATATCGCTATGTACGAGTACACGAGCGACATTGATGAGCCGACACATCTTTATTTGAACGGGAAACCGTATGAGGCGCCGGTGACTGAGATCGCAAAAGCAGGGACCAGCGAGGTGTGGAACGTGATCAATTTAACGGAGGACAATCATCCCTTACACATCCACTTGGGACTGTTTGTTGTATTGGAACAGAGGGAGTTGGTGGATGTGGAGAAGTTCAAAGACTGTATGAACAACACAAACGACGCCGTCAAGTGCAATATAAGCAAGTATGCACGTGGCAAAAACATAGACGTGCCAGCGTACGAGAAGGGGTGGAAGAACGTATTCAAGATGAGACCCGGGTCAGTGACCAAGATTCTTTTGAGATTTGCTTACCTACATACAAATACATCCTACGAATTTGATCCAACAGCGGAGCCTGGTTACGTGTACCACTGCCACGTAAGTATACCATCCCACTGCATAACTTACCAGCATAATTTGGTTACAATTATTTGTTCAAGTGTTTATATATGTATAAAATATTTTACATTTTTAGGAAAAAATAAGAAAGAAAATTGCATGATATGAGCCATATAACAATTTATATGACAAATTGGAATAAGGTTTTTGGGCTTGGATGGAGGGTCAGGGGATACCAAATACTAGAAATAGGTTAACAAGTCATTCTATCAGTCCCAATTTCTTGGACTACAGGGGTCCAATGGATTTGTGGTCACTCACCGTTAAATGTAAATTCAACGGTTCACTCACTCTTGCACTCATTTTAAGAAACATTTTTGAACTGTTAGATTAACATCCAACGGTGGGTGACCATAAATCTTTTGAACCTCTGTGGTCCAAGAGATCAGGTCTTGTCGTTCTATAGTGGGGGAATAATATATAGACCATAAATGTGTAGTTTTATATTAGCTATAAGATTTGATCTGAATACTAACTTCACTTAAGTTTAATGAAATGATCATGTGATTAATATGAAGGTTCATAAGAGAGATCCATATAAAACACACTCACCATAAAATTTCACTAGGTTAACAGATAGGCCAACAGTTTTGTTTGTTTACATTGTTGGGTAGCGTGCCTACTGTCTGAGTCTGAGCGGTCCAGTCCAAGAGATTCCAGACTCACAAATCATGTATTATGATGTATGGCTTGAGAAGGGGTCCCGTCCAAAGTGCTTGCTTCTATTTAATTTGTTGCAGCAATGTTATTAGCCGTCGTAATTGTATATGCTGAAATTATCGATCTTGGTATAGTTTGAGATGATGGAATTGAAACGTTGTTGTTTTATGTTGTGCAGATCTTGGATCATGAGGACAATGCGATGATGAGACCCTTAAAAGTCATCCGTTGAAAAAGAGAAAAACTTTCATATTCTCGTTTCATTGTCCCATTTTCTCTATCTTACTCCTTATGTTGTCTATTAAACAAGAGGAGATATAGAGAGAAAGATAATGAAATGGGAATATGAAAGTATTTCTCGTTGAGAAGGCCGGCCAAGATCCATTACATTGGGTACTTTTATCATGCAGGTAGTCTACCTAGTGCCTGAGATAAGGTCTGATCAACAAAGATGTAATCACAGTTTGCAAATTGATCAGAGGTTTAATACTTTGATTCGAAGGGAATTTTTATAATAATTATTGTTATTATTTTCACCACATCTAGCAACTTCACACGTTCTTTTCTTTCCCCCCTTTGTAAGGCTCTCTTCTCGCAATCATAAATCATGTGTGGGCGACTCACTACTATCATGCTTTTTTTGTGAACGTTGGGCTATTTGTATCGTCTAGTTTTCTCTTACTTTGGACAACATGCTCTATAAAAAATAAAAAAAATAAAAAAAATAAAAAAAAAGATTTTTGGTAAAAAATAAAAGAATTTTTTTGCAAAGTATTTACTAGTGTAGTGATTTGGAGCAATTGCTCATTCAGTTAAGGTCTTGAGTTCGAATCCTAACATTCGTATAGTGTGTATGAATGTATTGCACTGAACTGGTTAGGATAACTAGAGAGAGAGAGAGAGAGAGAGAGAGCGGGCAGAAGAGAGAAGGCATCAAACCAAACCAGAGCAAGTCGTGAATCAAAGGAGGCGTGCTTGCAAGACGACTCGACTGGCTTTGAAACCCATGTCTACCAATGGGTTCTGGAGCCCTTGCTATTATGGACTGGTGTCTAATAACCACATCCAGTCCATAATACATTATAAGCCCACCAAATAATGGATAAAACTCATGTCCATTTTAATTGAAAAAATCTCATCTAGTCCAGTTCACCAAATAAAGTCATAGTATATTATCGTCACTCTCAATAAAAAAATGTCCTTAAAAAAACAAAAAAAACGTATACAATATAGCACATTTTGTAAAATTCAAAAGTCTTAGAGCACTATATTGTTTTTTGCTTTAAAATAATTAAAAAAATAATATGACTGTTGTAAAGAAAGTGGTGAAGTCCACATAAAGAAAAGAAGGAAATAATATTCATAAAGCTTAATGATGATGTCAAGTAAGCCATCCAATAGGTTTCTCATTGCTTAGCAAGATACATCAACGGAGAAGAGAGCAAATATAGGAAAAGAAGAAAGGAAGAGTGAGAGGAAAGAAGAGAGAGTGTGAAATTTGAGTATTAATGTATTCTATCTGAGAGAAAATTTGGCTCCCAATATTTAATGGTACTTTTTATACTTTCATTATTTTATTTTTATAACAATGACATATATATTTGTTCGATATAAAAGAGTGAAGTGTTTTTAGTAGGGGTGGTTGCGGTTCGGTAACCGTGAATTTTTACTCAAACCGCAAACCAACCGACTATTTGCGGTTTGGTAATTTTTGAAACCGCAAACTGACCGCGTTTTGCGGTTTACCGCATTACGGTAAACCGCAAAATGCGGTCGGTTGCCGCGAATTAGCGATTTAAAACCGCAAGTTCTCAAGCATTCACAAAAAATATAAATTCACAACCTAAATAAATAAATACACAACCTCAATTTCTCAAACATATATAAATTCACAATCTCCTCAACTTCTCAAGCATTCAAAACCTAAGAAAATTAAAGTTACAATTCAAAGCATTCCAATTAAAGTTAAACTTCTCAAGCATTCTAATTCCAATCCTTTAAAGTTATAAATCAAAAGGAAAATGCAAATCAAAATGAATTAAAGTTACAACAAAAAAGAAAAATTCAATTCAAAGTTAATTAAAGTTACAAACTAAAAGGAAAATGCAATGCATCAATGTTACAAACTCAAGTGTTGGTGGTGAGTGGATTTGAAGAACCTCGTTGTGTTATTTGAGTACCAGTGTTATCTACAAATAAAACAACATAGTTTAATACATTTTATTATAAGAAGAAGCATAAATAACATTAGCATAAATAAACTAATTACTTACAAGTTGTCATATGTTCAATTTCCTTGTAGAATTCAATTTCATCATCCGTGCGGCTATACTTTGCGGTTTGCGGTAACCGCAAGTTTTGAAAATCAAATACCGCAACCGCAACCGCAAATGCGGTTCGGTTCTTAATACCGCAAATGCGGTTCGGTTTACCGCGATTGCGATTTCATTACGGTAAATTGTCGGTTAGTTTTTGTGGTTTTTCGATTTTTCGGTTTAAAATGCCACCCTTAGTTTTTAGTAAATTCTAAACGACTAGCAAAATCCAAGAAAACTAAAAAGACCAAGCACCACCAGGGTCAAAAAATTCTAGAGCCCGCAGATAAAATTGGAGCGCACAGCCAGTGAGGCACAGCGGTAATGGGATAATATGACGGTCATCCGAGTTCCGTTGACGGCAGGAGATGAGATGACAGTCATTCTGAACCGACCATTCCCCTCTTTGGCCGCCCAAAACCGACGCATCACCAAATCCAGACCGTCCACTCCACCAAGCATCTCATGCTTCAATCCCAAACACTCCTTCAAGGTCAGTTAGTAACCACCACTAAACACTCTTCGTTTTCGTCGGATTATGTTGTGAGAAAGCAAAGCACATCATAGGATTAATTAAGTGTTGCTCTTTTTGTTTGGATACGGTGTTAAAGAGAGACTACACGAGCGTAATGATAGTCCCAACCGGGATAGGAGCCGCCATTGGTGGCTACGCCGGCGACGCTTTGCCTGTGGCTCGCACTCTCTCCTCCGTCGTCGATTGCCTTATCACGCACCCCAACGTATGCCTAATTCAATGTTTTTGCTTTCTTTTTGGAGTCTCTGAGTTTGCTGCCACTGCGAGCTTGACTCTCACTTTGACTGTTGAGCAGGTGCTGAATGCGGCAATGCTCTACTGGCCCATGCCTAATGCTTTATACGTTGAAGGTTATGCTCTTGATCGCTTTGCAGAAGGCTCATGGGGCCTCATGCCTGTTCACCAAAACAGGGTGCGTTAAAAAATAATAATAATAAAATAACTTTTGGGGGGGGGGTGGTTGGGGTGGGTGTTGGTGGTTGTTATTTATTTATTTATTGTTGCTCAAATAGATATTATGAAGCAGGTGGGTTTGGTTCTTGATTCTGGAATAGAAGAAGAGCTTCGAGTTCGCCATTTACAAGTGGCCGATGCTGCAAGGGCTTCCCTTGGCTTGCCTGTGGTTGAATATGTTGTCACTGACACCCCTTTACAGGTCTCACTTTTAGCTGTTCAAAGTAGGAGTTGATTGTTTGTATTGCATTTATCGTGTTGTTAAGTGTGTGATTTTACACTTTCTATCGCAATGTGACAATGGGTCAAGCAACTCTAAACTGATCACCAGGCAGGCACATTGCCTTTCAATCTAATTTGAAGCTGGGGTTTGAAAAGCTTTCAATTCAAAAACTCGTTGAAAATTTGTAATTGAAACAAAATTTCTGTATTCAAAGTGTTTTTGACATTTAATATTGAAAAGAGCCTTAGTTGCCACCTTGTTTCACTTTTCTTTGCTGCTAAGCCTGTCCTTTTCATCTCAATCTTATGCTTCTGAATCCCCTTGGCCATGTAAAAGGGGATTCCAAACTTTCCTGCTAATGTGATTGCATGAGATTGGATGGAACAAATTTTACAGGTAGAGAAGTGGATTGATCCAAAAAGTGGGCAATCAACTGGTAGGATTAAGCACCCTGATTCACTATTGAGGGCTGTGCAGGCTTTACTTAAACGCTCTCAAGTAAATGCTATTGCAGTTGTTGGACGCTTCTCAGATGATGATGATGTTCAAGACACAGATGATTATCGAAAAGGGATGGTATGTTAAACTTTTAACATATGATTTTTTTAATGATAACTTTCATGAATTGTTCAACCTTAATTGCAACTTTACTATGCATCTAAGTAGTTTCAATTGCTAGTGTAACACTTGGCTTTAAAATGGATATTTAGTATGCACTTCTTAATGTGATATAAAAAACTACATATGAAAGTTTTGGTTTCTTTGATATTATACTCTTGGATTCAGACAGTACCATCAGCAGAAAGACTAAAGTTTATTCTTAGTTCTTGGTTCTGATCAGTTCTATGACACTTACATCTAATTCTACCTTGTACCTTCCAGGGAATTGATCTATTGGCAGGGGTTGAGGCAGTTATAAGCCATCTAGTGGTGAAGGAATTCCAAATTCCTTGTGCACATGCTCCTGCCTTATCACCTTTGCCCCTGAGCCCATCTCTATGCCCAAAATCAGCTGCTGAGGAGGTTGGTAAATTTTTACATAACACAGAACTTATTGCCTTTGAGAGTTAGGACACAATATTCTGATGGATCATTGGAAAAAGTAGAAAAGGTAAAATACAATGTCAGTGCTCTTTAGAAAATTAAGTGTGGCGTCTGTGGCACAAGGGTTTTTGGGAAAAAAGGTGTAGCTAACTGATAAAATATCAATATCCGTGGCGTTTCCTGATCAAATAGACTACAATGTCCAAATATCTGCTACTTTATGTTTTTATAGCTCTCTCTCTTTCTATGTGCAACAGTTGGGATACACATTCTTGCCATGTGTGCTTGCTGGGCTTAGTAATGCACCACAGTATTTGGTCAAGAACTCTGAGTCTGAGAATGGTTGCATACTGGCAAGTGATGTTGATAGCGTCATCCTTCCTGTAGATGCTTTTGGAGGAGACGGCGTTCTTGCTTTTGCACAAAGCAAAAGAAACAAGGTATAAACTTGGAAACTATCCTAATTTTTCCTTTTGGTTGAATTTGGGAAGAGCAGATTTGACTGATAGCATATAACTTGTTCCTGATACTAATTTCGATTTTGATACAGCCACTTATAATTGCTGTGGAGGAAAATGAAACAGTCCTTGATGATACACCAGATAAAGTTGGGGTTGAAGCGGTATGTATCCAAATGTTTACACACATACCTTCTGATTTGTCCCCCGTCAGAAATGGAATCATTTTCATGGCTGTCGTCGTAATTTTAAGTGAATTTATTCTGTTTTACAACTGTTAGGACCTTGCTAGTATTGTTAGTAATTATTGGGTCCCTGAACTAATTTACCCTAGGTAAAGAGTATCAGTCAAGTACTTCAAAAACCCGCTCTAGTTCACCTTCCAGTATGCCAATGAGTGTGGAAGCCTGTTCCCCATCTCCATAATCAATTCATTAGTATCAAAATAACACTAGGAATAAATTCTTTCATTGGTTCTCAACATACCCACTAGGAAAAGGCATTGCTTCGACTCATATGCATTTGGTTTCTGAATTAAATGGAACCTTTCATGCAGGTCAAGGTCTCAAACTATTGGGAAGCAATTGGTGTTATTGCAGCGCACAAGGCCGGAGTAAATCCGCATTCTTTACGAAGAAATAGAATTAAGAATCTTCGATACACTTCTCAGTTGCCCTCTAATGGTTATGCCATTAAATGTTGAAAAGTAAATTGCTTACTAATTTCTTGCTAGTAAATGATTTACTTATTAGATTTATCTCTTGTCATATTGTGTAACTACTTTTTGCTGTGATAGCTTGAGCTTATATGCCAAGTGTAGGGTCTTCGATCAGTTTTCATTTTCAATGGCTCACATGCCTTGTAAGTGTCATGTGTCATAATCACAATGGCTCATGTATTTGAATGGTTGTGATGACTGATGTAAGAGAATGAACTATATGAATAAAATGCATCATTCTACAATGATTAGAATGTTGTAGTGATTATTCCCTTTCTCTCTCTAGCTTATCTCTTCTCTTAATTCTTGTGCTCCCTTTGTAATCCAAAGAGATCATCAATGAAAGACTATACAAACTTTAACAGGGTATCACGAGCCTAGGTTCCATCTGGAATCAGGACGTCGGATCTGTGAGTACTATGCTCGGAAATCCAACGTGAAATTTCTTACTTAGTTCGTCGATTCAGGTTTCAAATGGCTAGGTCAAGTGGTAGTGATCTTCGTGCTCCAATATTCAATGGTGACAATGGTGACAACTATGAATTTTGGAAGATCCGAATGAGAACTATTTTCAAATCACATGGAATCTGGGATCTAGTTGAAAAGGGTCTTGAAATTCCAGAATCGAAGGGGAAGAAGGTTGATGCGGAAGGGTCATCGGAATCAGAGAAAGTATCTTTGCTAAGGCACTGGGTATTATCCAAGGAGCTGTCTCGGATAACATTTTCCCCAGAATCTCGAATGAGGAGACCTCAAAGGGTGCTTGGGACATTCTACACCAAGAATTTCATGGCGATAAGCATGTGAGTTCCATCAAGTTGCAGGGTCTACGCCGTGATTTCGAGTACACAAGGATGAAGGTTGATGAAACCCTGTTTGTGTATCTCACTCGTCTTCTCAAGTTGGTGAATCAGATGAAGGGTTATGAGGAAGAATTACCCAGAGCACATTTGGTTCAGAAATTGCTCATAAGCTTGACCAAAGAATTTGATCCTATTTGCTATGTGATCGAGCAAACTAAGGACATTGAAACTATTGAGGTGCAAGAGGTTATTGCTGCATTGAGGGAATTTGCACAGCACCTTGATATGCATGCTGAGAGTACCACTCAGCGAGCTTTTAGTAGTATGAATGTGAATCCAAAGGAAACTCAGTTAAATACAAAGAAGAACTGGAAATTGAAGGGAAAGAAATGGGATCCTAAGCCTCAAAACTCTATCAATCAAGGTGGAAAAAATGATCAAGAGAGAAAATATGATTAGGCTAAGGGAAAATGCAAACATTGTGATAAACTACACTATGGTGAGTGTTGGTTTAAAGGGAAGCCAAAATGTCATTTTTGCAATTGATTTGGTCATTTCATCAAGGACTGTGATCAACCAACAAGGCTAGAAAGCTTGTAAACTTTGCTAATCAGGTAACAGAACCTGCAACCATGTTTTATGCTTGTCATTCTGTTACTATTGGAAGGAATATGAACATATGGTATGTAGACAGTGTATGCAGTAATCATATGACTTCTCATGAATATTTGCTTATTGATGTTGATAAAAATGTGAAGTGTAGAGTTAAAATGGGCACTGGATATTTAGTGCAGTGAATAGGCAAAGGTACCTTGGTTATAGAAATGAAAGGCGTGACTAGATACATTAAAGAGGTTATGATTGTACCTGGATTGGATGAGAATTTGTTGAGTGTAGGGCAGATGGTTGAACATGGATATTGGCTTGTGTTTGGGGATTACATGGTTGATATATATGGAGATAAACAAATGGAAGATCCGATTGCAAGTGTTCCAATGAAAGAAAACATATGCTTTCCCTTAAGTTTAGAATATGTCAATCCTCTTATGGCTAATAGAGTAACTGTTGAAGAGTCATCTTGGGTGTGGCATAGAAGATATGGACATCTAAACTACATCAATTTGATGCTCCTGCAAGAAAAGGAAATGGTGTAGGGCTTACCTAGACTACAAGTCACTGAACATGTTTGCTCTGGATGTGCTACAAGGAAGGTTCACAGAGAACCATTCGATAAGGAAAAGGCTTGGAGAGCATCACAAGCTTTAGAACTAATTCACTATGATATTTGTGGTCCAATGCAGATCACTACATTTGGAGGAAACAGATTCTTCCTTACCTTTATTGATGATCACACTAGAATATGTTGGGTGTTATTTATGCAGCACAAGTCACATGTCTTCAACATTTTCAAACGGTTCAAATCCATGGTTGAGCTTCAGAGTGACTATCAAATTAAGAAATTCAGAAGTGATAGGGGTGAGGAATACACATCTTTAGAGTTTTCAAAGTTATGTGAAGATATGGGATTAGAAAGGCAATTGACTCCGGCCTATTCTCCACAACAAAATGGTGTTGCAGAGAGAAAGAACCGTACTGTGATTGAAGTGGCTAGAACAATGATGTTTGAAAAGAAGATTCCCTTGAAGTTTTAGGCTGAAGCAATGAAACCTTTGCCCATGTGGCAAGGTTAGATACCATTAGGACACTTATTGCACTAGCTGCACAGAAAAGTTGGAAATTGTGGCAATTGGATGTTTAATAAGCGTTTCTGAATGGTGTTATTGAAGATGAGGTATATGTGGATCAACGTGATAGTTTTGTGGTTATAGAGGCTGAAGACAAAGTGTATAGGCTAAGAAAGGCCCTCTGTGGTCTAAAACAGGCACCAATGGCCTGGTATAGTGAAATTGACACATACTTAATTCACTGTGGCTTTTATAGAAGCTCAAGTGAAGCAACTTTATATATGAAGAACAAGGAAGGTGTTGGTATTTTGATTGTGTCAATCTATGTTGATGACATAGTGTACACAGGAAGTAGTGCAGAAATGATGGAAGAGTTCAAGGCTGAGATGATGTGCAAATATGAGATGTTAGATTTGGGTTTACTCCATCATTTTCTCGGAATAGGGGTACCTCAAACTGAAGGGAGTATATTTATACACCAAAGAAAATATGTTCTAACTCTCTTGGACAAATTTGGGCTCAAAGACTGCAAGCCAGTAAGCACTCTATTGGTTGCCACTGATAAACTGAAAAGAGAGGATGAAAGTGATCCTGCAGATGAGAGTTTGTATAGAAAATTTTTTGGGAGTCTTCTATATTTAACAGCAACTAGACCAAACATTATGTTTTCTGCTAGTTTGCTTGCACGGTTTATGCACAAGCCTTCTAATAAGCATTATGAAGCTGCTAAAAGGGTTCTAAGATATATTCAATGAACAATTGACTTTGGGATTGAATATGTGGTTGGAAAATCTGCTCTATTGATTGGTTACTGTGATAGTGACTACAGTGGATCTGAGGAGGACATGAAAAACACCTTAGGGTATGCTTTTTCATTTGGAAGTGGTGCATTTTCATGGGCTTCAATTAAGCAGCACAATGTAGCACTTTCAACTGCAGAAGCAGAGTATGTTAGTGCAGCTGAAGCAACCTCTCAGGCCATTTGGCTTAGGTTTGTGCTCAAGGACTTTGGAGAAGAGCAAGCTGCTGCAACTACTCTATTATGTGACAACACTTCAGCTATAGCCATGTCTAAGAATCCGGTGTTTCACCAAAGAACCAAGCACATTGACAGGAAGTTTCACTTCGTTAGAGATACAATTCAAGAAGGTGTGATTGATTTGGTCTACTGCAAAGGTGAAGAACAAATTGCTGATATTTCACCAAGGCTCTTCCCAATGACAGATTCAACTATTTGAGAAACTTACTTGGTGTGAAATCAGTTAGCAATTTAGAAGGGAGTGTTGAAAAGTAAATTGCTTACTAATTTCTTGCTAGTAAATGATTTACTTATTAGATTTATCTCTTGTCATATTGTGTAACTACTTTATGCTGTGATAGCTTGAGCTTATATGCCAAGTGTAGGGTCTTAGATCAGTTTTCATTTTCAATGGCTCACATGCCTTGTAAGTCCCATGTGTCATAATCACAATGGCTCATGTATTTGAATGGTTGTGATGACTAATGTAAGAGAATGAACTATATAAATGAAATGCATCATTCTGCAACAGTTAGAATGTTGCAGTGATTATTCCCTTTGTCTCTCTAGCTCTTCTCTCTTCCCTTCATTCCTTTGCTCCCTTCGTAATCCAAAGAGATCATCAATGAAAGACTATCCAAACTTTAACATTAAAGTACCACAGCAATTGGCTGATTAAAGTAGTGTGGAATTTTCATTTTTCTCAACTAGTTTTTAATGCTTTAAATATTCAAAATATCATCATTCTTTCATTCATGACACACAATTTTGTGGTAATAAGTTAATTACATATTTCATGTTTTATAGAAAAGTATGGCTTATCTATACTTGATAATTATATTGCTTTGGGCTTATAGTAGGAGGTTCAACATGCTGTAATCCAATCCAGTCATGTGTTCTTGAAAAGATGTTGATGATATTTCAGTAGGTGAAGTAGTGGATGAAACTTGGTGACTTGTTGAATCTATTATTGACTTTTAAGCAGCTGACTATTTGAAATCTTCACAGGTGAGGTCGATTAAATGCTTTGTCGTCTTTGGTTTCTGGTCTAAGACACAACAGCCTAAATCTTGATGGAACGTAAAACTACAAGTCAATGCTTGTCTCATTTTGGTTTCAGTACATTTTATATTGATAAACATCACTTGGGGTTATATTCAACTCCAAGTTTACAAAGTACATGCATAGATGATGGTGATGCTTATATATTATATATATTTGAATTTTGAATTATGGCCATCGATTAGATTCCTTGTATTGTACTGTTGTTGTTCTTATCTGATATTTCATGTTTGTAGTGAGGGATTTAAGCTTCGGTTACCCATGAGAACACAGAAAGAATTGCTACAACAGAAGTGAATAAATATAGAAAGGTTGAATACTGTTCTTTTTTCGTTGAGCTATTATTATATAAGGTAATTTAATTTGAGTGTCAGAAAAGCAAAGGAATTGGGTACAAATCTAGAAGCCGCCCAGACCGAGTCAATATTGCTGAGTCGAGGAAAAGAGTTGTGTTAAGACAGTGTTGAGGTTCCTCTGTGTGCAAAAGGGCAGACAGTAAACATTTAATTTGAGGGTATGAATCAGATGTTGAAGAAAAAGCTGCTAATCTGCGAATTATGGCTTGTTTGTGAGTACTTTTGGAATGGCTAAAAGTGTATTTTGACAACTAAAGTTCTTCTGACAGCATTTGACAGAAAAATTATCCAGAAGCTCTTCTTGGAAAAGCACTTGAATTTATTATGAAAATTCAAGATTTTTTTATTATAAAAAAGCACTTCTAACCGCAGAAGTACGCCCTAAAGAAGTAGTCCCAATGAATCTTTATTTCAATTAATCATCGTTAAAACCATTAGTTGGTGTGGGAAAATTTGTTTATTGAATGTAAGACTGTACAAATACTCCCTTTTACTTTTGTGTTGATACACAGGGAAACGGAGAAGAAGAGGATGAGGATACTAATACTATAATAATAATTAAGGTCAACAAATAGCATCTCATCTCCAATTTTGAATATGCAGCCTTTCCCCTTCTAGGTCCATCATTGTACGAGCAGTTCAATCAAAGCGGTGATACTAAAGTAATCCAGTCAGATTGAATCTTTCTAAATCATCTCATCTAAGAATTCGCCTGTAATTGTAATTTGTATTGTCAAACCAACCACATTTCTTTTGGACTTTTAGAGGCGATTTCTTGCACGAGACACATGTTCATACTATTTTCTGTTGGTATTTATTTAATTAAAAAAATATTATGATACCATCTAATTAATTACTTTGCTAAATTCTACCGGAGAAGCGAAGGTAAAAAAGTTTAACTCTTAACTTGAAGCTCGATAAAGAACACTAGCTATGCATTAACTTTTACGATGAGTAATTACAAACTTAATTAGTGCCATTCTAGATAAGGCTATTGGCGGTCCTAATAACCAAGCTATAAAACATTAGTTGACAATGTGACATAATCTCTCTCTCTCTCTGTTGACCGGGGCCTCACCCATCTGTCTTCCGTGAATCATTGCATGCACGAGAGACACGTGCTCATCCAGAAGTCCAACGTTCTATATCTATATTATGACCTTTTTACAAATATTATTTGTGCATATAGAATTAGGACGTATATTTCTCCATATATATATATATATATATATATTAATTGCGAGAAACGTACAAAGGTGGGCACTAAATGTATGGTCCCTCGCTCCTTGAGCAAAGAAAGTAGTAGGTACTTCTCTCTTCTATGTAGACGCATCATGTTGAATACATGGTTTGTTTGTAAGATAGATACACAGTCACATATGCTGCATGTGGGAGGAACTGCTGGTTCTGTTCTTGTTGATAACGTAAGCAACTATATGTATACAAGAACAAGACCATCGCACGTGCCTGTGGTTGTAATTACTTTCCTCAATTACGTATTTGTGAAGGAATATTGATCTAAACACTACTAACTAGATTAAGATCTAGCTAATATTAATCTCCATATATAGATACAATACCAATCAAATCTTCAATTACGTATTCGGTAAGTAATTATTATTTGGATCACAGCTAATACATAATTAATCTATCATTTCCGTGGAGGAACAATTTTGTTGAGATCTACTGTTTTTTCAATCTAAATAATCTATTAAATTTAACCTGCAAAGGAAGCAAAGCATAAATCAAATTTGAAACGACAATACTTGTTTGAAAAGTAAAATAAAAGAAAATTGGGATTACTGCAAAGCGCGTTAGGTATGTAATACGGAAAAAAAAAAATCCGAGAGAGAAGATGAACATGCAGGTTTCTTTCAACTTTGATTAGCGAAATTATTGAGGAAAACATCAAGGGAGATGAATACAAAAGACGAGTAAGCAGGACGCCACCAACCTTTCCCCAACCCAAAAGTCCTCACGTTGCTTTCTACTTTTGATTGTTAATTTAAGGGAGCTTCAATAATATACTCCAAATAGGGGCTGGAATTATAAGAAGAAAAAAAACCTCATATGAAATGCACTTTAGAAACACATCAAAAACTCATTTACTACATAAGAAATTGGCATTGAAGTTCCTATAAATTACGTAACTGCCATTGATCAACTTAAAAAAAAGCTCAACACAAAAAACAAAAAGCACCCAAAACCCAACCCAATCACTAAAAAAATAAAAAAAAAAAAAAAAAAAAAAAAAAAAAAACAATTCATTAACACGTTATGTTGATTAATGATTGTAATGTTCCACACATTTACTGTTATATTGATTAATGACTGTAATATTTCAGTCTATAGTAATAACACTGCCAGTTTACTATCATGTTGATAATGACTGTAATGTTCCAGTATAGAGTAATAACACTGCTAGTTTCCTATGACATCTTATTTCTAATGCATGTCTACCCATGTAATGTTCAAGTCTAGGGTAATAACACTGCTAGTTTACTGTCATATTGATTATACTTGTCATGTTGCTATTTATAATACATATCCACCAAACAAAAAACAAACCAGACCAACTCAAAACAAGCTGAGCTTAGATTGTTAATACTATTATGTCATAGAAGTACATTGTTAAACAAAAATGAGGTCCATAAATGAAATAGTAACAAAAGATAAATCAATCATCAAAGCTTAAAATACATTCCGAAAATCAACTAAAATCCGAAGAGAAACGCATAATTGAAGCAAAAGATAAAAAATCTCAAGTTCAAACCAAACAATGACGATAACGACAACGATGATGACAACGACGACGACGACGATGTGGCGAAAGAGGAGTAGAGCTCGAAGATGAGGAGTAGAACTAAGAGCATCTTATCGAGGTTTCCGAACAATCTGAAAAAAATAAATGAATAGAAGCATGATTTTAAAACAAGAAATCGAAGGTGAAATATTGAAAATTGTAGATCAGAGATTAAGAATATAGTTGGACCTAAGACTGAGCTTCAATGGAAGCTCTTCTTGCTCCAATACCAAGAAAGAAGAAATGAATCTGATTTGGTTTTTTGACAGATTTGGTTTTTTGGCAGATTTGATTTTTCTCTCTTAAATCCATAGTACAAGGGCAATATAAGTATTTTACACACACATATAAACTAAAAAAATAGCTATTAAATTAATAAAATCTACGTAGTGTTTATAATTTTAAATAATATAGGGTAGACTATGTCTAAGATGGAGTATATTTCTAAATTTGTATTAACTTAATTTCTATGTTTTCTTTCGTACTATTGTTACCAAGAAAAAACCAAAAAGGTGGGTTGCTTTTCCTCGTACAAAAAAAATAACGGGAACCTCAGCTGTGTCTTCTATTGGATCCCTTTGATTAGCGTTTTCAATATAATAATAATAATAATAATATACAACAGCGAAGAAGGCCGTCTTACTCAACAATGGTGGGCAGTAGTACTGGAATAAATATATGTAGGTGAGGTGGCAGATGAACAGAGATTGAAGATGACAAGGAAGCAGCCATATCTTCTTTCGTTAAATTATATGGAATATGTTGAGGTATGGTTATTGAGTTGAGGTGAGGTGTTGAGGCTCAACCAATAATCGGGAAGGAAGCCAATATCCATGATTGCACTGGCGAAACATATATCACAACTTAACCCACAAGTCACATCAGATCAATACAGACATATGATGAGTTGAGATGCGTTGAGACAGCAAATAAATTACTATGTACTTCATTAGCAGGTTAATTGGTTCTTAATCCTTATCCATATAGACTGACTGACGGACTGGCAGGTGCGTGCATGCATGCTTTCCCTTTGAGTTGATTCAGTTAAGCCAATGTTACGTGGCAACCATAAGCGATCGAAGAAGAGCTATGTATATATGTATGCGCAGAAAAAGTTCACTGGTCGATGACCTAGATTTTATGTTTGGTAAGTAGTGGTACACCTAGATGCCTAGAGGGGAGGGATGAACAAGACAAACTAATAATGCACGTAGGCAAGGCCAAAGCCAAGTAGGTAAAATAGGTACCACATGTGGATAATGATCAAGGAGTGGAGTGGTTATTTGTCAGATTTATATTGTTACACTTTTTGATGATGACGAGGATGATACAAATCGGAAACCCTAGCTATCAGTCAACGTGAGCCTGTGGTCACAATGCTCTTATGGTAGCCTAACCTCCGTCCTTTGTCCATCTTCTTCCCTATTTATCTACGCAACACAAACGTAGTTTTATCTTCAATCACTTTCACATCTACACAATTGATGATCTGCATTACAATATCAGTTTTGAGTTTCATAATTAATATCTTTTTTACAGCTCAATATTAATTAATATTTCTGATGTAGTTTTAGTTGCATATATCTAGCTAACTACGGTTATAAAATGATCAACCTTTCTTACCGGCCGCAACTTTATATAGAAGTGATTAATGTCATGATATTCAAAATTCATTTTTATATACAAAATCAATGATTATGAGAGCTTTTTATCTCTATTTTGTGAGAGCTTTTCATCTCTCTTTTGTGGGAGTTTTATTTGTATTGTTATGACTTGGTTTTTTTCAAGCATTATCTTGAGTTTGCAATCTTAGTTGGGATGTTATGCTAGAGTTTTTTCAATCCTGCGTGATCGTTAGTGGAGGCGCATAAGATAGTCTTAATATTGATGTTAGACCGCTCTGTTATTGTTTTGTGTTTAGTTTATGTTGGCCCTCTGTGACTAGTGGCTTTTTTGACTGAATTATGAATGCAATCCTAGAATTTTTCAACCAAAAAAAATATATATATACAAAACCAATGGCAGAATAATTATGTATGGCTTTTCTTGGCACATAAGAATATTATCTTAAGTATTATCTAATTACCAAAAAGAACTATTTACAAGACCAACTTAATATTTGCCAAAAAGTTAAGTTGTCCACTCCCCACATAACGTGTTGAGACAAGTATGTGTGTATATATATATACACACACATATATGTATATTTGTAATGTATGTATGATCACGCAGTGACACATTGGCGAACCACCGGTCCAAGTCAACCTTTCTTTTCCGGCCATCCTTTGCATGCAGCTCTAGCTACCTACCTAAATATTATATACCTTCCATTTCCTCCTCCACTTTCAATCCAATCCGATCCCTTCTTGCAGTTGGAATTGGCCTTATGCTCTCTCTCTCTCTCTCTCTCTCTCTCGCTGAAATATTATATAACACTACTAGTTTCTCCATTCCTAGCTTAATTTCTTCAAAAGCTGAAATTACAATACAATGAGGAAACCCTGCTGCGATAAGCAAGACACAAACAGAGGAGCTTGGTCCAAGCAAGAAGACCTCAAGCTCATCGATTACATTCGCAAACATGGCGAGGGTTGTTGGCGTACCCTTCCTCAGGCTGCAGGTACATAAATACTTATTGATTTATACATATGCATGGATTAATAAGCCAAAACTTATACTCTCATGAATGACAATATATTCATCACAATGGATAGAATGGAGTAAAAGAAAAATACAAAACTGTTGTTGGTCTTGTTCCTATAATTTACCTGAACCAACAACATTGCTAATTTGGTCCTCTTCTTCTTCTGAAATCAAAGAAGTATAAGAGGCTATACAAAGAATAGAACCACAATTGATTCAGGGGTATTGTCTCCCTTTTTCTCTTTTTGATTTTGGATCAGGCCTACTTCGTTGCGGTAAAAGCTGTAGGCTAAGATGGATAAACTATCTACGGCCAGACCTTAAAAGAGGCAACTTTGCTGAAGATGAAGAAGATCTCATCATTAAACTTCATGCACTCCTAGGCAACCGGTACTTACTATACATTTGCTTCTTCACATTATGCCTAGCTAAACTAATTCTTTATTATGACAAATTATGCAATTGCAGCATGCACAAATAAGTAAGAAATTGATTGTCTTTACAGATTTCAAATAAAGCAGAAAGCTTTGGTGTAATTACAGTTTTGATTGGTTAGTTATGTTTTTTAGGTGGTCGTTGATTGCTGGGAGATTGCCTGGACGTACAGACAATGAAGTGAAGAACTATTGGAACTCTCATTTGAGAAGAAAACTTATAAGCATGGGAATAGATCCAAATAACCACCGACCGAACACCATTAATCTCCCTCGCCCTCATCATAAAAACTCACAAGCTGTTAGCAGCACTGCAAAATTGTCTGCAGGTTTGAAAACCCCAACGAATGATCAGCCAGCAAGATCCGGTGGCAATAATTGTGACCAAGTATCGGACGGTACAAGTTGCTTAGAGGATGAATCTTGTGGCCATCAGCTGCCTGATTTAAACCTTGACCTCACAATGACGGCTCCTTTGTCTAATTCAGAACCTGAAAATCTAAAGGAGGAGCAAAATCTTATGTGTCTAAAATGTCATCGGAATTTGCCTCGTCCACCAATATCCTTCCTCTCTTGAGATAATTGAATATTCATCGTCCAGTGGAAGATTTCCACCAACATTAATTTTAGATGGAAAGGCATATGAAATCAGTTATAATTGGATGGAGATAGATAGGGCCTACAATTTTGTAGGACCTAATTGTTTTGGGTAAAACTATGCGAGGCATCGATCCCATTTGTGGAAAGTCGGCATGAGATGATGAAAAAGTTACAATGCAGTAGCTGAAAAGAGCGGTCGACATGACTCATGTTTGTAATTAACAAATGCATTTGATTAGCTATGTAAGTTTGTGAACGTGAACATCTGGATTCTGGATGGAGAATAATTTTCTGAATTTAATTTCATTTATTCTTGATTGTAATTGGGTTTCAGTTTCTTTCGTTGGAAAGCCCTTTATTCATACTTGAGCCGTTGGATTAGTTTATCCTCCTAACCGATAGGCTTCCAAACACGTACCCAGTTTCGTGCAATTTTGAGAATAATCTTTGGGTCCTGGGCCGGAAGGTTGTATAGCTAGCTAGCTAGATAATATTTTGGTAATTCAGAAATCGATGTACAACTTTCTGCCCTGATCCAATTAAGTTGGAATGTGAAAGGAAAACACATAGAAAGAGATTGATGTAATTTGATGCCAAACATTCAAACAAAGGACATATCGAGAGGGGAGGGAGATTATTGGATACGTATACTGCGCTGGCTGAGGGTAAAATAATAAAACTTTGATAAGCATGTATCTTCGAGTCCAACTGGTGGAAAAGAAATGGAAAAAAAAAATACCAAACATTCAAAGGAGACAAATCGAGAGGGGAGGGAGATTATTGGATACGTGCTGCGCTGGCTGAGAGGAACATACTTGTAACTTGTGTTGTGTTGTGGTCCTTTAATTTAGTAGGTGGTTCCATTGCATGCACATTACGCTAAGTACCGATCACCGTACGAACCATCTAACAATGTAATAGATGTTGGCGTGACTTGTGGACCATTAACTTACTTTCCTTTCACACCAAGAATTCCTATTATAATTGTAATTGATTTACTTTAATTCATGATTTCCTACTATAAATAGAAATAGTAATTTATTATTTACTTGCCCATTAAAGTTCCGTTGTATTATAAATATGACATCTTACAAGAAAAACAATACACAGAAAATTCCCACAAACAATATTCTCATATTAGGTTTTGTATTTTAGCAATAGATTTCACCATCATCATCACATGTTAGATAATTAGATTAGACAGGGAAATGTACATATATAGTACAACACATTTGACATGCCTGATCCTGATGCATATCTACCATTCAATTTCAATACGCATGATGAATGATGCATGATGGGAGGAAGAAGAACTAACAGTCCTTCCGATTTTCTTCATTATCTTTCCATTTTGGTTTTATTTTTGTGGTCTATACTAACATAACATTGTACCATATGTAATTTATGCCCAAGTCTCCGACTAGGTTAGAGATATGTATAAATGACTCTGGAATTAAGTCTTTCCAAAATAATGCAGAGGTGAAACTTATAGCCACTGAGAGGTCGATGATCGGTAGCCATTTGTTGGAAGAATATTCACTAGCTTGCTTTGACTGAGTGTGTGCTGGCTTATTATAATGGGTGGAAACACAACTTGCCTTTTGCAAGGGTTGATAGTATTCACATAAATAGTAACAGCCCTTACCTTCCTTTGTTCTTTGTCATAGCAAATGAGTGGAAATGCTCTTATTTAGACTGCATGGTATCTTCAAAATGGATATTGTGCCCCAACCCAACGTTGTCATGGATGATGATCAGAATATACATATATATATATATATATATATATGCGTTTGGGACCTGCTCACAGTCTAGTCTATGTGTGGGGTTGAGTGATGTGATCATGATCATCATGTGATGATTTATATATGCGTCCAATCTCTAGCTACGTACCTTTCCATATATATGATGATATATGCACTGATTTAGGACCCTTAATGTTCATAGAAGTTTCCATACTATGTAATGTATAATCCACATATATTCAAATAAAAAACATACATATATGGACAAAATTAAAACATTATTTAACAAATTATACTATATTCTGATGGGATCGTATATGTATGTACATATATATATACACACAAAGATATCCTCTCATCATATATACCCATTTCCCGGAATTATTACATAACAAATTCAGCTTATTGTTTAAAAAATGAATATATACATAAATCTAGATGATTAATCGTTCATAGAGCATTTCATCTCTCTCTCTCCTCTCTCTCTCTCTCTCTCTCTCTCTCTCTCTCTCTCTCTCTCTCTCTAAGCATAATTATCTATGTGTAGAGTAGATCAATATTATAGTAGAAGAGTCCATACTTGTATTTATGGAGTCTTGTATGTTGTTGAGGCACAATCTTGTCATGCCCTTCTTCTTTACTTCACCTGTTCTTCTTAAGTCAAATAGAATTTTCATTAATTAATTAAAAGTTTTACCTGTACATGGTGGGGATTGGAAAAGGAACCCAACTTCCATGCATTGCCGATCAATTCAATACACATTTCATATTTCATACATACTTATAATAAATTATTGGAGACATTTGGTTGCTTGATTGAAGTAGTCTTGAGCACAACGAAACCATATTCTGCTATATCTATTCAACTTGCTTGTCATCAAAGATATATTCATGTTGAGTTCACGTGGATTCTATATTATTAGTTATATACATGATCAATGTTGAAGAATATAAGTCTCATATCGGAAACTTGACTAAATAAAATATAATATAAAATGAATGGTTCTACTACTAATATCATCGAGGCATTTTGTGATAAAACCCCATACCTACTAGGTTTTATAGGTGGTTAAGTTGAGGACAATATCGGTATTGTTAGTAGTGGGCCGCTGGCCCATGTCTCTGAATTTGACAATCAATACATTAATGTATAAAAGTAGTGTATATATAGGTTAAGTATAGTTTCCGATTAAAAGTAGTGTTTCAACCTACTTTCCATTATTCTGTCTTTAATTGGAAGTCTCCAAAGTTGTGTCCACTTAAAAAGTAGTGGTCCTTTACCGGATTGACGGCAGTGTGATTGAAATGTTAAGTACCAAATTAAATATAAAAAAAGTAATTATGTTTAGGGTTAAGCAAACCAATTAATTGTGCGTTGTAAACTCGAAGTAGGTGCATTGAGTTTTGATACATATATAGGTTGAGTTGAGTGCATGTTAATTAAGCCTCCGAATCGATCTCAGGTTACGGTTGGGTTACGAGGACTCCACATTAATTAAGACCAAAGATTCCCTTTTGAGGATGTCTGTTAATTTACTCGATCGATCACTTGTATAGGTCTTATCAATTTCCAACTCAAAATGGAAATGGTGATGATGATGATGATGCTGTTCCTTAAAAGTTGTCCAACAAAAAAACAATAAAAAAAAAACAAAGGGTTGACGCGAACTTGCGGATGATTCTGGCTTGTGTTTGTAACTTGTAAGTAAAGAAGAAGATAGTGCATTTTCTTTTGGCTCAATCTCTTCAGAGATTGCTTGCTTGACTTGAATCTTGAAACTTGAATCTTGAATCTTGAAGCTTGAATCTTGAATCTTGAATGTTGATGATGTAAAAGATAACATTTAGTTTTCCAAATAATTTAGCTGCCAGAGCTGGTGAATGGGCTCCTGCCCCACTCATCCTGGCCTGGGTCGTCTGCTATAATATTATCTTTGTTGGCCCAGACTTATACCATTAAAAGAGGTTGAGCCCAAGTGTTTAAAATTCTTCTTACAACTTACAACTTACGACATACAATACAAGAAAGAAGGGAAGGTGCAGGTGCATCCTTAACCAAAGGCCTCCTCTGTCCTCACTGTGACACATTTAAACAAAGTTAAATCTGCACCGCCAGTCCAGCTGATCATAATCCTCCGAACCTAAATCATTATCATCTTTGAATATAGTTTGCTCCATACATACATGATACATATACCATGCATGATGAAAAGTTACCACCAATATTTGTTTTCTTCTGTCTCGTGAGTCGTGAGTCGTGATATACCAAGTTACTAACCAGGAAAAAAGGTAGCCAGTTAAATCTTTTTACCATGTTCACTTGTGTGTTTTTTGCTTTTTCGATATCTGCAGCAGTTAACTTCGCATATATATTATGTATAATGTATAGTGATAAATAGACAGAAGAGAGTATCTGATCTCAACATTGTTGGTCTGTATTTGTGACGTGGTTGAATGATCCTTATCTATCTGGCTCTGGGAGATATATGATGATGATGATGATGATGATGATGATGATGATGATATCACCAATGGCCGTCCACAGTACTACCAAACAAACCGATGTTGAAACCACGTCAAGATGTCAACATTTGAACCAGTCTTGGAAATATCATGAAATTAAATGAATAAAACTCAAAAATAAATACACATGACCAAGCCAGAAGTGCTAATTCGGAGATTTGTATTTTATAGGGTGAAGAAACACCGAATTCATACAAATACATATCGCTGGAGCCTAGAGCCTTAGAGCCTTAGAGCCTTAGAGCCTAGACTACGTACGTGCCTCTTGCACAAGTGGATCCCACATTCCAGGAATTTATTCTCTTTGATTGATATAATGAAGATAGGATATGTATATATCTGCGTTAATTTGTTTTTATTTATTTATATGCTTTGTTTTCGTCGTGTCATCTTCATTTACATCGAAAGATTCTAATCAATAAAACTGTAATATTGGCCTTAATTATGCTTAAATTAATCTTCAGAAGAACCCCAATATTGGCCTTAATGGTAACAAGAGAATGTGAATAGAGTTGGCCTTGTTCTCATGAAGCGGTTCACGTGGCTGCACGTCATTCGCTCATTAAAATATGGGATTCAAAAACCCAAAAAAGAAAAGGAAAAACTCCCTTTCAGATTCGTTTCCTAACCAATGATCTGTTTTAAATATAAATATTCAAAATTATAAATCAGCCGGCAACACCCCAATGTTGTCAAGGTCAAGCCAACTAGCATTTGACTTTTTTCCAATCCTAAAAACATTAAACTTAGGACAAAAAGAAAAGGCCAACCTCTATTACATTACAGCCTTCTTCCTTTACAGCCTTGCAACCAAATACCAAACATAAAAAATAATGTATGCTAGAAAGAAAGAAAGAACACAACAAGTTGAAAGAGTTGGTTTTCGTTTTTAAATTCATAAGCAAATAATAATATTATTATTATTATTCTAATAATTCCAGAGCTTCCTTCATGCAATCCAACTGTCTGTATCCTCCATCCTCTTGTTTTCTTTTCTTCGCCCTCCCATTCAACATCTTTCCTCACCGAGATTCTCGCTTTCTTCACTCACTCTCATTTCCCTCCCATAATTTCTCCCTCTCTCTCTCTCTCTCTCTCTCTCTCTCTCTCTCTCTAAATTCTTTCATTAAATCCTTAATCCCATGACCGCCAGCCATTTCCCTCCCACCTACATTCTGCGTCTTCTTCCGCTTTTAGACGCTCAGACGTAACACCAAGCAACAATCTCCTCCCGCTCACAGCCAGATTGAATAAAGGACCCAATGGCCGGGGCGGTAGCCGGCGGGGAGGACCGTACATCGGAGCTGCTTCAACTACTCAACGACGTCGTAGTGGCCAGCAAAGGCTGCGGCGGCGGCGCCTTTAAGAAGGACTGCACCGATCTGGTCCGCCGGATTGCCCTCCTCACCCATTTGTTTGAAGAGATAAGGCTGTTTAAAGGCCGCGAATTTGGACCGTTGGATGCGTCCACTTCTTCCACGAATTCCAGTTCGAGAGAATCTTGGGCGTCTAATCTGGTGGTGGCTCTCCAGGTCGCCAAGCGCCTCGTTTTGCTCGCCACCAACTTTACTTCCAATTCTACCCCTTCCGTCCCCGTCAATCACAATGTACATTTCTCTTTCACTAACCCCTTGATAATTCTGTTTGTTTGCAATTTTGTTGATTTAATTTTGTTCGTTTTAATTGAAAATTTTCATCTTTTTTAAAGGACGAGGCGAGCAAGAAGATAAGCTTCCAATTCCAATGTGTGACGTGGAAATTGGAGAAGGCGTTGGCTGACATACCGTACGATCAGTTCGATATCTCCGAGGAAGTTGAAGAACAGGTAACGACTAAACCGTGTGGATTGTTTGTTGCGCTCTGTTTTCTCTGTCACTACTATTATTGAACTTCAGCTTAAACTTCAATAAAAGCCATTAGCCATTCCTTCCATTTTAATTTTTTTAAATTAAAACCAAAAAAGTGAAAAAAAATCGTGTTTTTGGCAAATGTTAGGTTGAGTTGGTTAGAGCCCAATTGAGAAGAGCCATAGAAAGATATGGGTCTGGTATGAAGATGTCATTTCATGGCCTCTCCCAGTCTCTGGTAGAGTCAGGCAAATGGGTTTACGTAGAGAACAATGCAAAGACGATTGCCAGTATTCCCAGAAGCTTTAGTGCTGAATCTGCTGATGAGATGACCATTCATAAAACCCAAAGCTCAAGCAACTCCTGTGAGCCTCCTTCACTCTGCTCGGCCAATGAAATCCAGGTTGATGGTCAGGAGGATGATATTAAGAAGCCTGATGCCACTGCAATTCCTGATGATTTTATATGCCCAATATCTCTGGAATTAATGAGGGATCCTGTTATTGTGTCCACGGGTCAGGTATGCTGGAAATGCTATCTTTTTCTATTTTTATTTGGCTTCATATTTTTCTTCCATCCAAATTCTAGCTTTGCCTTCGATTAGTTTAATGCCCAGAACTCAAACTGTTTTTGCAATTTTTTATTCTGTAGACGTACGAGAGATCTTACATACAGAGATGGATAGACTGTGGGAACACAACGTGCCCCAAAACTCAGCAAAAGCTCCTATATTTGACACTAACTCCGAATTATGTTTTGAGAAGCCTGATTACTCGGTGGTGTATTAACAACAACATAGGGCACCCCACCGAGTTAACAAACGGGAAGATCAAGAAGAGTGATGGATCCTTCCGAGACATTAGTGGAGACATAGCAACCATTCAAGCCTTGGTTCGCAAGCTCTCCAGTCGATCAACTGAGGAGCGTAGAGCTGCTGCAACAGAAATTAGATCACTGTCCAAAAGAAGTACGGATAACAGAATATTATTAGCAGAAGCAGGTGCCATACCAGTTCTGGTCAACCTCATAACAACAGAAGATGGATTAACACAAGAGAATGCAGTCACCTCCATTCTCAACCTCTCAATATATGAAAACAACAAGGGGCTTATAATGCTTGCTGGTGCTGTTCCTTCAATTGTCCAAGTCCTCAGAGCCGGAAGCATGGAAGTGAAAGAGAATGCAGCGGCAACCCTTTTTAGTTTGTCACTTGCTGATGAGAACAAGATAATAATTGGTGCGTCCGGGGCAATTCCTGCTTTGGTAGAGTTGCTTCAGAATGGGAGCACCAGAGGGAAGAAGGATGCTGCAACAGCACTGTTCAATTTGTGCATTTATCAGGGTAACAAAGGCAGGGCTGTTCGGGCAGGGATTGTCAAACCCTTACTGAAGATGCTTATTGATTCAAGCAATTGTATGGTTGATGAAGCTCTGACTATTATGTCTGTCCTTGCTAACCACCAAGAGGCCAAAGTCACTATAGTGAAGGCTGGCACCATACCTGTTCTGATAGACCTATTGAGAAGAGGTCTGCCTCGTAACAAAGAGAATGCAACTGCCATTTTACTTGCCTTGTGCAAGAGAGATACCGAGAGCCTTGCCTGTATAAGTAGGCTTGGTGCAATCATACCCTTGACAGAGCTCACGAAGAGCGGCACAGAGAGGGCCAAACGGAAGGCTACTTCATTGTTGGTGCATCTTCGAAAATTACAGCAGCTATGACACTGTAACTGTAGTAGCGCGAATATTATCCTATTTGTTTCATTCCTCCAATTTTTTCTCTCTCAATGAATGTTCTTCCACTATTCCTTTTGTAGTGTGAAACTGAGAATACAAGCTTGAGGCGAATAAGCCGATCTCAATGCTCTGTATATTCGTTTTCCTTCTTTAAGAGTTCAAAATGTTCATTTGACGCATGTTTGTTGCAACATTCGTTACTTACTGAAAGACTAGCTTTCATGTTCAAGCGTCTGCTGTGTGTCCATAAAATTATTTCCTCCTAATAATCCAGGGATTTGTGTCACGGACTGTATACTATTAGGTTCTAAATACGAGGCAAGCTTGTTTATTGATTGTTGAATTTCCGAATTGTCCACCAAAATTTGATTTTATATTTTTTTTAGTTTCGTCCCAAATATTTTCTGACATTTCAAGATTCAAAATACATAGGGACGCCAACGCAAACCAAAACCCAGGAGACTTACAGGTCGAATTAGCAAGAACGAATGATAAAGGGTTTAACTGTAATTTTCAAAGAGAAGAGATGGAACAGCAAATATGATCCTTATCCATTATCCTTTTAAGGTGGGACTATGACCAGGTCATTGATCATCGACATCACCTCAAATTGCTCAAGTTTTCACACAAGCTTCAGCAATGAATATATCTTGAATAGGAGGACCCTTGTGAGTGCTGATGCATATGCTTAGCTTGAACTTGTCAACTGCAGTTTAATTTCCCATGTTTCCCATGCATTTCATGCAAGTAATTTCGCGTTACTTTTGGGAATACATTTCTAAATTCCAATTCGGATGGATATTGCACGTGAAAGACCAACATTTCTGCATGTTCAATTTGAATTTTAGAAAACAAGAGCACTCAGATATTTTTATAAGAGCTGCAGGAAAGTTAGCTTCCTTAGTGAACGGAATTTCATTCATTGTTGTGCTAACTTTATGATAATGTTGGAGAGAAATAATCGCTTCCAAGTTGATGAGCGGACCATCATTTTGGACCCAGTACTTGGACTAACTAGTTTCAGTCACTCAGTACTAAGCTACTAGTCCACATCAGTGCTGCCAAATTAACTACCGTACATTAGAGCTTAATCACTAATTAATCATTTCCAAAACAATAAAACTAAAAGCTAGTCTTAAAAGGGTATAGCTAGTATAATTTAATTTTTATTTGTTTTGGCATCGGAAACAGAGTCAGGGACGGACTTACAGCTTGAAGTTTTTTTCTTTTCTTATTGTTAGTATATATCTTTTAAAGTTTAGCCAAATTCAAAATCTAGCAGTCCATATTTATGGTAAATCTAGCCTACTACATTTTGAAATCTTGGATCGGTTAGATAAAGTCCCATCCCATCAACCATGTCTTGATGGTTACCTTTGAAATTATCTTTTCCTAACACAATAATTGACAGTCAAATTTCTCACATGATCAATAGAATCCAAAGAAGAAAATCTGAACAAGTCCGACCCGTGATTACCGTGAACTGTTACACACAAAATATGATCATGCTATCATCTTTGTTCCACACATCACGGGTTTTTGTGATAGGATCGTTGAAATTGCATATAAAAAGCACAAAACTCAAAAGTAAAGGATTCACAAAGTATATATTATATTAGGAATTTAGGATCGAAAGCTAACGTCTACGTACTTTATGATAATGTCAAAACTCATGAGCTAAGTCGTTTTTTCAAAAAAATTTGCCTTCTTTGTTGACCAACGACCACTATAACAAAATCCAACTACCCATAGAACCACGTCTCTTTCTTATACCCACCATGGCACCATTTCCAAATTCCATGTGAGATCTTAGCCTCCCTTTAGGTATAATAAAAGGGCCGCTTCAAAATTTCAAAACCAAATAAGATTATTATTTTCCTGGTCACTGAGCTAGCCAAGCTCCTACTCCAATGGGGAACAGTTTGGGAGGTAAAAAGAGTGCAAAGGTGATGCAAATTAGTGGGGAGACGTTCAAGTTAAAGACACCAGTGCAAGCTGGCGAGGTAGTAAAAAACTACCCAGGTCATGTTCTGCTAAAATCAGAGGAGGTCAAGCATTTTGGGGTTCGAGCAAAGCCTCTAGAGCCATACCAAAACCTTGAGCCAAGAGGGATTTACTTCCTTGTTCAGCTGCCAAAGGTTGAGCTTCCAAAGGAGAGAGTTCCAAGAAGGGTGAGGTCAGGGATAAACATGAGCGCTAAAGACAGGCTCGAGAGCCTCATGCTGTCTCGGAGGTCGGTTTCAGACCTTTCTGTCATGAAATCATCATCTGCAGCATCAGCTAACAGCATTGTGCCCGATGAGGAGGCAAGAGAGATTGATGGGGCGGTGCGTGTGAGGATGAGGCTTCCAAAGGTACAAGTTGAGAAATTGATGAAGCAGAGCAGAGACGAGGCAGAGGCAGCTCAGAGGATTGTGGATCTTTGCTTGGTCAACAACAACAGCGGTGGGCAAAGGGCAAGTGAGAAGACCAATGGCAATGGAGGTTTTGGTTTGAACCAGCAAACGCATTGGAAGGATGGCGCTCATGGAGGACTACTTGGATCACAAGGCATCAGATCGCGTGAGGTATGGTTTCTCAGAGACATGGATCCTGTTTTTCTGCCATGTTTAGTGGTGTCTTGACATTTTGGTTTGTTTTGTTTGCTTGAGACGTTTAGAAATGTTGTTGTTGGACCTACAAAACTAATCGTCAATTTTGGGTCCTGACTTTAGGGGCTCGACTTCCTTAGACTTTTGGTATGAGCTCAAGCCAAGCTCAACCTTCCCCTGAACTTAAGTATAATCCAGATCTTATTACCTTTACTTAGCACTCACCTTAATATACAAATTGCAGCTTAGCACATAAATTACAAACATGAGTTAGGCGAATTAGTCAAGGAAGTGTGTCCATCTCTTTATATCCGAGTTCAAAGTCTCTTCTCTATTTTAATTAGAGTAGTTTAAATACTTCAAAAAATAAAATAAAAAAATAAGTCACAATGGTAGCCAAACATGCCTAGAACCCAAAAAAACACGTTCAAATAAAGGATTTAACTTCTAAGAGTTTGGGCCTTTTGAAAAGAGAAAAAAAAGACTTAACTAGTCAACATTTTCACCTGCTCTACCAGCCTTAATTAGTTGCATACGACAACCACTTAGTAGTTACCACTTACCACCACTCTGTTTCCTTCTAACATGTTTTGGTAGCATTTCGAAGACCAATTTATTTATTGATTTGTTTATTTTCATTATGATCAAAGAAATATTATTTATTGACTTTGCAGAAACGAGTGAGTTTCCGACCGGACAATGAAGGAGAGATACAAGTAGCTGTGGCTTCTTAACAAGTAGCGGCCAGTAGCCAGTAGGCAGTGTAGTGTAGTAAATGGCCTTAAACTCTAACTGGAGTTGTTCTTGTTTGTGTCCACCTGCTGTTGCTGTATACGGCAACACACTCAGAGTCAAAGCGATAGAGGCAGCGTTGTTTTGTGAGTGTGGTTGGACGAGTAACATAATTTTCCTCTAAACTCTCTACTTCAGTCTGCGCGGTATCCCATCAACCACACACTTGTGGTGATCGAGGATTATTTATCTTAGAGCAACTGATGTAATTACATTATACTGCATAATTATGCCTTGTAGTCAAACTTTTTCATCTTCTTAATTGTGTCTTCTTCTTCATCATGTGATGCCTCTGGACCATACCTACAGTTTAGAGAAAATTCTTAAAATTTTCTTTGAAAAAGGGGGGAGAACTTAAAACATAGAAGAATTTAACTCATATTTCTATCATTTGGGTATGAATAAACTTACATTGGGTAACGAGTAAACATATGAAGCCAGAAGTATGAAGTTTTTATTTTATTTTATATAAACGAAAGTTAATTGACAGGGATTTTCAGAATTCTTTATACCAAAAGTACATTCCAAGGTTTCTTATCCAAAGGGGTTTATATTCAGCATTAGCCCAATAATACAAAGCCAAGATGAACGATAAAATACTCGACACATGTGACCCAAAAGAATACATGTACTCCAAGTAAAGATGCATAATCCCAGATAGATGTGCTCAGAGAATTCAAAGAGAGAATAGTAATGAAACTAATACAAATTTGATATTTTACTAATGAAGCACGTGGACAACAAATCTAACGTTTGAAATTTTGATTTACATTTGTCTACTTTTACGTCACATGGCCATCCTTTACATTGTTGGTAAACTTTGACATGCAAAATAACAGTTGCCAACTCTTCACAATTACAGCGGTAACAAATCTCATTTGGGTTAATTCTGTCCCGTATACAAAAGAAAGGGGAAGGAAAAGATGGAGGGATTTCCCTCCTCTCTGTTTATCAGCAATAACAATTCCCCCGTTCCTTATTAGTGAACACATCTTTTGTGAACAAAAGAAAGAATATGCAATGATGCCAGTTGTTCATGACGACCATTGATCAGGTACAGTGAGAAAATAGGTGGTCATTGCCTTCCGGAATCTTTTCTTGTATTGCATGGGAGAAATGATCGTCGGAGCAGCATTCTTCGGACCGCCCAGGATTCCAGATGCCTTCACCCATGTCTCCAAATGTTTGTCCCACGTATATTGTCTCATAAAATCAATGATCCCCAAAACCAGCTCCTTCCGCTCATCGTCCACCCCAACCAGCAGTGAGTAGTCCATTACATCAACAGACTGGAGAAACATGACATGAGTTAATAGCTACACTAGTTAGCATTTATAGTTTGGAGGCAATACTGTCAACAAAATGGTTCGATCCCATGAAATGGGGGAAGTGCACATACAAGGCACAGGAGAAGCTATGGAAGATGCAAGAAAAAAGGAAGAGGGTGAAGGCATACCGCTAAAAATGATGTATCATTCCAAATGGCTCTTTCCAGGCTTCTCTTTGCTTTGCTTCCAAGAAACATGGGTTTTGTACGTAATGATTCCAACAAATTCATATCCAACAGTACTTTGTTTCCCCCTGATGTATCAGAATTGTAACGGGATCGAGCAGACCCCTTGAGATCATATACCCTAGAAATATTTCTTTTAAAGAACAGGTTCTCCATCACCATCAAATCCATTTTAGTTTCCTTCCCACCTTTCAGGTGTTTAACAGTGACCTGCCAACAAACCAGTGTAATAAGATTACAACAATATTTAAGCCATTACCCACTAGTACTAACCCGTGTGGTGCACATACCAATAAAGAGAAAGTAAACAAATAAATAATTAATTAAAGAAGGTCTAACCTGATATATACCAAGAACCTTGGCAAGACAAGTTGGACTTCCAGAGCCAAGGGACTCTGACAAATATTTAAAATACTCAGGTGCGAACTCCTGAAAGGATTCCAATTCTGTCTTTGTGACTTGTTTTACGATGAATCTATCGTCCAGAGATTTCGCAAAATATACATTGCTCTTCCCCCCTTGTGCACTCCACCTCTGGCAGCGGCTCAGAGATCGTACAAAATCTACTTCACTGGGACAGCACATTTTCCTAAGAGAGTCAAACTGCTTTGCAAAATAACAAGTCACAGAAAATTTCACTTTGCCTACAGCATTTGAGGACTCGTCCTCAAAGGAAATCCTTAAATGTGGAGATCTTTTGGCATCTGCAAACAGGTTACCCATGGATGATGCAGCATCTTCAGATCCATAACTTCCATAGTGGATATAATCCAAGTCCATAGAGCCAAAAGACTGCCAGGGTGAAAATATGGAAGGTGCAGAATCTTCTTTATAGCTATCATGATTACTCCAGCCTCCTTGATGATCATTCAAATTATCAGCGACCCAATCCTCATAATCCTTGGAACTAAGGGCATATGATATTATGCTAGTGGGCTCACTATCATAAACACCAACAACTATGTCATTGTTGCTTGTCTGGGAAAGCAGCAACCGGACCCCATCAGCTATTTGAGATGCAGAGGAGATCAATGAGGGTGTGAAACTGAGTATTGAATCCAACTTCTGTGCCTCTCGTGGAAATGCCTGGGAATGAGTCCTTCTTACACTAGACACAGGATCTCTCACCATACTCTTATAATCTCCAGAAGCATGGAATGATCTAAGTGTCGAGAAATGCAACGAAGAAGGGGGCAATCCCTTCCTGATCCTTTCTTGGACTCTTACTGCAGAATCAAAAGAATGAACTCTCATTGACGACATTAACCTCCTCAAAGGAGGATCGTCATTTTGACTTGTCCGCTTGACAGCACCAGCTGGGAGTCCAACTGCAGATGTATGAAGAGGCTGAGCTTTCACCAGAAGGTGATCAGTTCCAGTCCATGCAGAATCTATTCTCTCAGAAAGAGTAGATTTGTGGGAGGGGGAGCTTTCACAGGATGTCTTCTTAACAATTTCCCTATCAGCATGTATTTCATCCTCTCGGCTATAATGGCATGATACTAACATGGGGTCTTCAGAAGGTTCATGCGTTGGTATATTTGGTTCTTTATCCGGCGATAAATCATTTCCAGGACGCACTTGCAATTTTGAAGATTCAGACACATTATCTTCATGGCTATAATCAAACCTGCCACCCTTGCTAGATGAGTCACTTATCAACTCTTGCAGGTGGACAAAAGATACACCCCCTTCTGTGGCCATAGAAGCAGGATTTTTTCTGAGGAGTGAGTCCAGTGAATAAAGCTGGCGATCCCAAACATGAGAACCAATTAAAAGAGAGCGTCTCAAGCGATTTAGCTCCAGAATGTCTACTACAGCCATTTGGCCTGGTTCTGAAGTCTCCACAAATGCCGGTTGCAGAAAACCCTATTAAAAGAACCAAGGAAACTAGATTAGCAAAAGACAGATTCATTGTCCACAATGCATAAATATGAACTATATACCAGGAAACATGTGATAACAATCAGTCACAAAAACATCATGATGATACTATATTTTGTACTTACAATGTAGTCATTTCTTTCCTTTTTAAGCAGATCTTTCAGCTCCACGATGTGGTTCTGTAATTCACTTGCACCTGACATTTCACGTCCAAAAGATCTATTTTTCTCTTCCATGCAGTCCAGTACATCAGATATCTCCGCATATAAGGTTTCCATTTTTCCCATAAGCTGCAAAAAAGAATTGAGATCTCATAAAATTGCAAAAGTTACAAAATTAGTTCAGCATTCAGCACCAGTCGAGAAATTATTCAAAAATCAGATTAAATTTTTTAAATGCACCTCGGTTGCCTCTTTTCTTATCCACTCTGGCTGAACTTGGCCATTGAATTCAAGCACTGAAGGGGGCAAGTGGACAGAAAGAATATCAATGGGCGAATATCGGAAGAATGCAACCATACTCCCAAACCTGTTATACAAGAGTTGCCAATTTGAAATAAGATCACTTAATACTTGAAAAATTAACAACCAATCCAAATCTATTAGTACTTACCCATAATAACGGAGGCAGTCCCGTTGTAATGAATGGCCACAAGTAGCAACACGATTAGCAGTTGCGTGATTTGAAAAACTCAATTCCAAGAACTTTCCAAAAGAAAGTCCCCAGGCAGCATTTGACATGACTACTCTACGTGTTGCTGGTGGAACCCCATCTATATGGGCACACCTTAGACAACGGTGCCACATCCATATTTTACCATCTCTCTCCCCAGGGAGCTTTAGTGAAGGCAGGCGTCTTACATTAATGGTAAGGTTTCCTTGCTGATGGGTATAACATAGAACATGGGCTTCAGCTGGCTCTTTACAAGATCGACAAAAAGATGTCTGCCAATTATAAAACTCATTAACTATAATTCCATAATAAGAAATAAAATAAGGGGGGAGGGATTAAGTAAACTAACAATGAATTACCTGATCAAATAAGTCATCACGAAGATATCTGCCAAGTGGCTTATCAAAGCAGCCATAGAATTTTATCCGCAGAAGCCGGGAGCGTTCACAAACAGTTCCTTTCAGCACACAATGGCTTGAAAACGATACCAATATGCTCTGATGAGTGTCAGCAGAAGAGAAATACTCACTTGAAACTTCATTGTGGTCAATTCTTTCAGATGTTGTCAACTCATGAATATCCTCATGTTGACTCCAGTTATGAGGCAAGGTTTCTTGCAACTCTGGTTGGGAAAGATTTTTTGTGACAGACGAATGGGCAGTTAGCCCCTTTATATCCTTGTGTTGAGATGGAGAAGAGTCCAAAAATACATTAGATGCTAAATCATCAGTATATGCATCAGAAAATGTATTTCCAACCAGAGAGTCCACAGAACCATTAGGCAAAGGAAAATTGTGCTCGGGATCAAGATGCTCAGACAAAGATTCTAATCCTTCAACTTCTGGTTTCAGAACCAAAATGTCATCATCTTGAGCAGAAGCAACAGCTACAGCTTTGGAATTGCTTGAACTAAAAGAATTAGGGACTACTGAAATTGTATCAGCTGTTGTCCTATCTGGTATAGTAATTGAGTGTCTCAGTGTTGTCTTGGGCAGAGTAGCACCCTCATCAGCAAGGAAAGAAGTTTCGAGGGATAAATGATAAGCTGCAAACACTGCATACTGGACAACATGTTTGATCTTCTTTAGTTCTTCAACACATGCACCCTTCAGCAGGACCTACAACAGATAATGACAAAATTAGGGACAGCCAGACTAAATCTTTATGCTATATCAGAATGCAGATTATGAGTATATTAAATAAAAATATTATTAAAAAAACAGCAGATACTCAATTTGTAAAAGAAATAAACCAAATGTTGTATATGGAGAAGATTACTGTGCAACAAAGACGCCTTGGACACCCTTCAAAAAACATCAGGGTTTTCTGTGGTTTCTTGTTAAACTGATTGGCTGGCTCATGCTGTTCAGAAATCTTTTCTAACCGGAACAATTCACAATGTCCCAAACGACTTTTAGGGATATCGTCAATTGATGGAGTAATAAGTGCACCAGTACACCGGGCTATACGATCTAGTACTGGCCTCTTAACATTCAACACTAACGATATTTCCTTTTCTAGCAGATAGTCTTGAGCATACGAAGATACACTTTTTTCTACCAGTAGAACATTGGGGCGGAGAGCCTCTATCTTTGAGATAATCATCCTAAGATGATCGTTTTCCTGTTAAAAAAAGGTCAAAAATTCATTTACAGAACTTTAAAGATAAAAGAAATTGTCTTTAGAGAGAGAGAGAGAGAGAAACAAAACAAAACCTGATGTAGTAATGTATTAAAAGACGCCAACTGGTTCGGAACTTTCTGATACTCAAGCGATCCTCCTAGAATAAGTAATCTAGGATTTTTGTACTGCGAGGTCATGCGCTTGTGCTTTATATTCTTTGTACAAACTACTCCTTTTACAAGGGTACTGCAAAATCCAAAATGTTTAGCTTAAAGATACAATTAAGCCACTAGTACAAAGATCTGCAAAATGAAAGGAAATCATACCTGTCACTTGCACTTCCTGATGCAATACATTTAACTTTCACATAATCACCAGGATCCATACTGCCTCCTCTGCTAGTGTCCGGTTTAACAAAACTTGCAGCTTGCCATGCTATTGTTGTAACTATGTCAAGCCAGTCCTCATCTCCGTCCTCTTTGCCCACGAAACCCTCACCTTGTAACAGTTGCGATACAAGAGCTCTAAAATGTCCCTGTACCACAGCTCTAAGTGGTTCCTTGTTACCCTCATTCAGTTTCTCCTTTGCAGGAAACATGTTCGAAAGGCTACTACTTGATGAAAATATTGCACCTGAATCTCCAATATCATCATCTTCATCATCATAAGAAAAAAAATTACTCTCTGCCTCATCATTCTCATCATCAGGTGGAGGGGGATACCAGATGAGACCATTGTTTTCAAAATCCAGTGGCCTCTGTGATTTCTCATATTGGCTGCGGAAAACTGACAAGTCATCAGAGCAATCATCAGTAATATCTGGATCCTCAGTCCCTTTCTCAGGCCTTTTTAAAACAGCCGTAGTCTGTTGACCAAAGGGACCGTCATTCTGAGACACCGGGATTCCCTCCTGCCCCTGCTGTACAGAATGCCCAACTCTCCTAGAAGTATAATAAATTCTAGATGGGCAATCAAACTGATTTGATCCCGGTGACCTTGAACGGTAAAACTCATTTCTAGCACTAACACTACTTAAATCTATATCCAAATTGTCATCACAATATTCACTTGAAGGGCTGAAAAAGTTCTTTCCAGAATCCTCTGCCTCCTCTTCGTCACTCCTACATTAGAAAGCAGAGAATTAGTTAAGCACCATATTCACTTGGGGAGGGAGCTGGAGAGAGACATAAAGAGGGCCAAAATGAAAAGGCTATGTCCAAATTTTGAATACTATAGCAGTTAAAAGAGATTAAAGCATAATTACATAAAACATTTAGGGCAGCATCTTGATGCACTACATGTAATCTGAAAAGCATACCTGCTAAAAGAGCGACGAACAGATATTGGAGATGGGTGAGAACTAAACATGGTCATACTCCTCGCAGCATGAGGAGAATACCCACAATCCCGGGCTTCAAGAAACTTTGAGAACTGATCACTGTGAATGGATTCATTATCCACAGAACACTTGACTGTTTCACCACTAAAACAGGGGGATGGTGGTTCAGGGCTTTCTCGGGGAGAGGCAGAAGGATGCACTTTCTCACTATACTTCCTTCCACTTTCCCTCCTTAATCTAACCTGAGAACAAAACTTGCAGAACTTAGTAATACTCTCTCCAACCTCATCATTGCTCTTGATGCCACCCCATTCACAGCCCTGAATACACTTCCCACAAATCCATCGGCCACAGCTTTGGCAGTGGTATCTATGACCAATATCAGTGGTATTTGTATTGCAATCACAACACATCTTGCAACCGTTACTGGGCATATCAAACTCGCCGGACAAACACCGTGATTCCCTTGCTCTCCTAGAAACCCAAGACTTAACTTTCTCTATTAGATCTAGTAGTGATGTATCAGGTATTCCCATAGAATGGTCAGAACCCAACAAGAATAATGAACCAGCTCTTCCTCCTCCAGAAATCTAAATTCTTTTTCTTCTGTTCTAAATGTTCGTATAATGAAAAAATAAAATAAAACGACCCACAATAAAAACGGTGGGCGAATTGGAAAAAAGATGTGTTTTTTTTTATATGGACTTTGATTATGATTTCGTTTCCCTTGTTTCTTGTTTCCTTTTTTTTTCAAAAATTGGAACAAAAACAGAAAGCAAATCCTCCTCCAAGAATCACAAAATAATATCACAGGAGGAAATCAGACAGCTTCGGATACACGAAATCTAACACTATTTACAACCAAAAAAGATATCACCAATAAGAGCTTAAAAGTTAAGCAGCTGCAGCAGCCCAAAGAAACTTAAATAAAAAGCAAAATCCCTCTTGACAACAAAGAAACCCTAACCAATCCCAGAGTCTTCAAGAATGCATCCGGTGATCGATTGGAGCATGTCAGGGCGATTGAATCGGAGCAACTCCAAGTACAAGCCCAAGCAGAATAAAAAACCCTAATTCCATGAGAAATCCAAGAGAGGAGGAAACAACCGGCAGCATAGAACAAGAGAAAGCGAATAATATTATATGATATGATATGACGACTGAAGAACAAAGCAAAAGAAGAAGAACAAGTATGGTAGAGGAGAAAAACAGGAAGCGGGAGAGGAGAAAGATGAGATATTGGAATTAAATGCTGGGAAGAATGAGAATCAAAAGGAGGAAAAGGAGAAGTACGGAGAAGGTTCCCTTTCTGCCGGAGTCTGCTCGCATCTCGAGACACGCACTTGCCTCTCTCTCACTTCTTCTTCTTCTTCCTCTTCTTTCTTCACTACCAGCAACAACAACTGCATCAACAACACTTGTTCTTTTCTTTACCATATTTGCCGCTTTATTTTCATTTCTTTTATTTTATTTTCTCTTCTTCTTCTTCTCTCTTTATTTTCTTTTCTTTTCTTTTCTTTTCCTCCTTCCTGCGCACCCCAACCCCAAAACTGCCTCTACTACTAAAATATTGCTTTTCAAAAAGCACTTTCTCGCCCTCGTGAACTCATCTCTATCTATCTATTTCTTTATTATTGTTTTTTTTTAATTATCCTTCATTCGTCGTAACAGTACAGGTTTTTTTAATTAAGTGTTTTTTTAATTTTTCAATCTGGCATTTAAGGCGGTCATTTGTCAGCGTGATGCTTAATTAGGGCTCAAAAGTCTTATTTAATTCAGTTCTTTTTTTCTTTTTCTTTTTTTTTGTCAAATTTGAGTTTTCTTGTATGATTTTGTACACAACAACTACAAAAAAGCACTCGCTGTTGATTGGTCAGCATCAGTGTGTTTATAAACGTTTTTTGGGCAAAACCTTTTTTTTTTATAACAAAACTCAGTCATGCATTAATTCAATGGATTTTGTTGGATTATTAGGGGCATGTCTTTAATTTGGCGACTTCTTTTATTTCTTTTTAAAACGCCTATGTCATGGAGAGTGTATCACACGCTCCGTGACAGCATCTAGAAAGAACTACCAGTCACCGTGACCCATGGGGTCTTTGGGTGGTTTGGTGGATTCGTGGGTCAAGCTTCACGGGTTTGCTGTGACCCGAATGCTATTTCCTTTGTCCAAGTCCATTTTCTTTGGTTGACCCGGCATCTTAGATGCCAGACCAAAGTGTAATGGGATGCGAATACGAAATGAATAATGCGGCTAGTGTAATGATGATGGTAAACAATTGCACAAACTCAAACAAACATACATACAAGAAGAAGACTTATTAGTGTTGGAGATCATAATTACTCTTGAACAAATGTCACTTAAACAAACTTGATCTAAATTAAACTAGGGTAATGAGTAGAGATACCCATAAGTGAATGTGATTTTTTATTTTTTTTAAATGCTTACATTCAACGACATGACGTGATATAATTCAAATTAACCGAGTCCTCAAACAATTCATTCTAAGTCGAGTCATCAAACAAGACTTGTGTATTCAACACTCATCAGGGTTACGTGATACATTGGCGGAGCTAGTGTGGTCTCAAACCCCCAATTCATTTTTACCTCTTCTATTTGTATATTATATTAGTTTTAAGATATTTACCCTAAAATAAAATAATATATTATGTTTTTTTTGTCTACAAATTAACCATAAAAATTCTTGATTTCTCTTCTACTCATCTCCCTTAAATCTTCTAGGTTAGTTTATGATATTTTCACTTAAAACTCCTAAAGTTTTAACCTTCTCTTCCTCTTCTTTCTCTTTCTCTTTTGTTTAGAACTTTGTGAATTTTTTATTCTCCTCATTCTTTTTTCATATATGAGTTGGGTACCTTAATATTGCGCTTTATGAACTCTTTTTTTTGTTTCTATTTATTTTTATGTCTGAATATAAATTATTAATTTTTAATAGTGTATATTGTAACCAGTTTAAAATATGAAATTCATGATAATTATGAAAAGAAGACAAATTTTATGAAGAGCCCCTTCTAATGTAAAATACTAGCTCCGCTAATATAATTACAAATAAATTTATACCCATCTATAGACAGACCCAAGGCCCGACCCATGTTGTGCAACATAAAAAGTGATGCCAATTGGCATGTCCCCTACAAATTACAATGGACAAGCGGGTGAGGGGATTTGGTAAACACAGGTTTGGTGGGAAGCCAACATCTGCAAAGGTGTTTGTGCTGCCAAGGTCTACCGAAAGATGGAGCTTTATTTCTATTTTCTTCTTGGCGTTTTCTTTGAGTAGATTATAGTTCTTCTTCTTCCCCACCTTTTTTTGGAATTTATTTTCTTATATACTCACAGCCATTAAAGTTACATCATTCCTACACATAAACAGTCAGAGATGATCGGATAAGAGTACAGGGAAGAGCCGCCCCTAGCCAAATTTTCACCCTTTTCCTTCATCATCATCATCATCCGTGACTCATCTCCATGTGATGGACATGTTTTTGTTGATTAATTATAATTACTTTTTGTTTTTGTATTTGGAGAATCCAGATTCCATATCCATACGATTAAGTTAACCAACCTGCTTTAGTCTTTTTCTAAATGTCAAATTACGGCAACAAAGGTCCACAACATACATCTCCTCTGCCTAACAGAAAAGCCTAGCGAAAAAGAGAATCCCACACTACCCCCCATTTCGTTGTACTTGATCAAAAACCCTTCTATTTCATGCTGTGATCTAGGAGAAACACTTATATGAAATGAGGATAGCATTATTTTGCTATTTCCAGCAAATCACAGTATGTTACGCATGATAACTTTCTCACGTGGCATTCTGTTATTGGTCGGAAATAGCAAAACAGTGTTATCTCCGTTTCATACAAAATTTTATGGTGTTTTAGTACTCTCCTCCAAAGTCAATATAAGCCTATTAAAGTAAATGCATTAGAAAAATGAATATTTGGGGCGTGCATTGAACTGGGTTTAATTTACAATTCATTGATTTTGAGGCATGAATATTGGGGTGTAGGGATAGGGAGATCCAATAGAGCAGCATTTAGGCATGATGTTAACATTATTTTTAGGCGTGATGTTAACATGTCATCACACCCACCTTAATAAACAAAAAAATTAGCCCCTAAGCAAAAAGTAATTAGAGCACTAGGATACATCTTATAATATCTAAAGCATGGTGGCGTATTTCAAAACTATTATCCTTGAAAAGTTTGGTGTGCTCTTATATAGAAATGATTCCTTCAATGAAATTAGAGGGGTGTGAATTAATTAATTATACATATGGTATTTACTCTTAACTCTAAAATAATCGGCGTGACATTGACTGGACATGAAAGTCCACTAATACACTAGCCTATGGGATCGCATCTCCCAATTTTCTCTCTAATCGGTCGGTAAATATCTCAATCATACAGTGATTTAATAAGTGCTAATATCATGCTTTTGGAATCTTGGGCTGGCATATGTACATTCATCGTTTGAACTTTGCTAGCTAATGACAAATAATAAAATTCCAATCTCTATGAATTTTTGACTGCTAATTGTGTGTGGATATAAAGGTGATGTTAAGGTTGGATTGGATTTGTAGCTTTTTGAAAAATAAATAAAAAGAAAGAAAAACAGAATACAACCACCAGTCAAATTTACTAACTTCATTAATTTAAACTTAAATTTTTTTTGTTGTAGAAGAGGTATTTTTGTGTTTGTTAATACAAGCAATATTGAAAAAGGGAAATTCGAACACGAGACCTCATATGCATGAATAATTGTTTAATCACTTTAACTATAAGTCCCTTTCGCGATAAAAGCGTTATAATTGTTGAACTGACTTTGACTCTCAAATTGGTCGGCACAATGAATAGAAATTGCATGCCAGTATTAACTTGAATTGATGCCCTTATTAACTTGAATTGAATGGAAGCAGCAGCAGTATTAATTCATTTAGCTGAGCTGGTAGGTCAGATCTGGATGCACAACTTAAATGGACGTGCATGTAAAGCTTATAATTAATGCTTACCAAAAATCAGCAAAAATTATTTATTCTTATGCCATCTCTGTGCTGTGGCTGTGGTGGTCATTTTATATTACGTTTAATATTGCAGAAAAACTTCTGACTTGGTTGCCGCATAGTCATATGCCCTGTTTCAACTTTATGATAATCATATGCTTGCTTCTGATAATTGCATCAATTAGCTTAATCACATTGCTTAGTCATTAATTACAATCTCAATAGGAGGAAGGAAGGAAGTACCCCAGCTTTTTAGGGACGGTAGTTGACTGCACTACAGTGTTTCAATAACTTTCAACTTATGGATCTATTTTTTATTTTATTTTTTGTTGCCCCTAACCCTAAGTAAAAGCAGAGGCAGAACATGAAAGTTGAAGATGTAGCTTTTAGAGGGCATCAAAGGGTAGCAACCATTTGAGTGCAATTGGGTGGAAGGAACAACAGACCTCAGTTTTTTACTTTAAATTAATCCCTTTTTCTTCTTCAATTTTAGTCAGTGTAAATATGGTACAAAACAAAAGAAAGCAACGAACATAATATAATAATCCAATGATCCCATTCTCTCTTTCTTTTTTTAATTTTAAATGTTTAATTTTAGGTAGGTGAGGTTTTATTTTTTATTTTTTATTTTTTAAAAGCTACGAATTTTACCCTTCATTTGGATGAAATTTAAAAAAAAAATTGACTTTAAGCCCTTAATTGGCAATTTTTAATCAATTAGAGTCCTTAATTTACCGAAAAATATAATTAAAAAACTAAATTGCAAATAATTCAAAGACGAAAACCGCTGAAAACCCAACATAATATAATAATCCCATGATCATGTGGGGTAGTGTAGTGGTGATTGACTGCATAGGAGATGCACCAAAGTAGGGGTACCCATGCCTTGGTTTTCAACTTTTGAACACCCCACTTCAATTTATTTTTAAATTTTCTTAATTTTGCATCAAAGATTGGATATATATAAAAATTCAAGCAAAATAGCTTTTACTTGCATGTGAATTCAGAAGTAAGCTAGTTGAGACTGTCGGCCATCTTCAACAATAATCTCACATTTGTGGTCGAAAGCTACAAACCTAGTGAAAATGGGGTTCCGGAAAGCATATATAGATTTCATTTTAGACTATTTCAGCAGCTCCATATACTACTGAAATCTGAATGTAAGTTTGGTGTTGCTGTATTTTGTTGGTTTACAAACTTATATGTTGTTGTATAATATACTAAAAGCTTTTACAATATTATGCATTACATTACAACCTAACAATTAGGTATTGGAGTACGGGTAATGCTAGGCATACCACATTTATATACCATATTCCCACCAATACAATGAGGCCCACCTATATTAGAGAGGTGGTACACAATGCGGTTTATAAATGCGGTTTATAAATGTGGTATGCCAATTCAAGGATGCATCTGTGATGTGTCTTCTTCTTCTCATCATTTGTTAAATGAAAAATTAAAATAAAAGAGCTCCAGAAATCTTTGCAGAATCTTAAGTTTTTTTTAAAATGATTTTATTCAGTACGGAAGTCAGAAGTTCATCTTCTATGACCATCTTCAGTTTCATATATACCAAGTTGCTGATAATTGACTTATAACATAAAATTAGACCCTTAATAATATATAAAATATATCAAATTGGAATACTATAAATAAATCTTGAAGATTTGTTCAAAGAGCATGTTGCCCGTCCAGCACCACGAGGTCAAGCGCGGAGGGGCATGCCTCCATTTGCTGTCTTTAGATCCATTTTGCCGGTTTTGCACCAATTGTTGAAAGTTCAAAGTCACCACCTAGAAAAGCTTATAACAACAACTCGTAAACGTTTGGGTTCAAATAGCAATATTGAGACATGGTCAATCTTTATCAAGGACAAGAACCCTATCAGATTTTATCATAAACATGAAACTTTAACATCAATATTACCTTCAGAAACAAATATTACGGTATGAAAAAGACTGTCATGCTCGTCGAGTGCGCCTTCCAACTTGAAGAGCCAATTCCGTATCAATCTTGAGGGAAATGTCTAGAGCCTTTACAGAATGAGTCAGTGCACCACTGCAAACATAACTAGGCACTTTGTAAACATTCCAGGAATACTCCAAGTGCACACTATCTATTGCTCGTGAATGCAAGCCAATCAATAACAGGACTTAACTATCGGTAAACTATCTTTCACTACGTTATCCCCCGCAACCTATTGCACTGAGATGTACTTCTCACAACCTCAACTGATGAGATTATGAACTGCTGTCTTTTTATGTCACAGAGAAGCAATGTGAGGATCTTGTCACACAGAAGAAATGCGAGGATCCTTAAAGTGGAATTATACAATTGCTAGATCCTAACTTTGAGTCGTCCATCCCCACTCAAAAGTAGTACATCTCCACAGTCAACGTATGTTTACTACTCCTACTGTGTGGTAATATGACAGGTTAAAAGTGTATCTATCTCGGAATACCTTGACAACATATTATGGCCTAAAAGAAAAGGGCAGCATATGATTTCTGTCCACTTAAAAAAATAACTCCAGATCACAGATTAAACGGCATCTGTCATGCCAAGCCACCAAAGAACTCTTCTCCTCACATAAAATTTGTAGATTTACTGATTGAGATTAGAAGCTGCAAATTTACCTAGAAATATAGTCAACCCCCGTTTGTCCAATTTTGTGTACTGTTTCAAGAGTAACATTGCCGGATGCCTGTCACAGTAAGCAGATCAGTCAGAAATTGAAAGAAATAAAAAGCAAAAAAATCCACTCCATACACAATCAGTAGTTATTTCCATATTAAAGCAGCATTGAAAATATCAGCTAACTTGTTTGTGGGGCTTGTCCCCCCTTGCTCATAAAAAATAAATTAAAAAATCTGCTAACATGAAAGACTGCACTTGAATCTCCCAAAAAGAAGAAGGGTGGCAAGTAAGTGGTTAACCTAGATTTGAAGAAAGAGGCTTCAACATAAAAGAGTGAAGATACAATTTAAGATATTTATGGCAAAACGCAAACATCCAAACAATCACTATCTAAATCTAAATCCATATTTTGGGAAACATGGTGTCAAAAATGAGGGTCACCACATTGAAATTATGGCATGGCATGACAAATGTATGAACTATAAAGCAAATCAGGTGCTTTGTAGCATATTATTATTTGAATGAACTTTAAGCTACTTCAATTTTTAAGGTCCAAAAGGTGAACAAACATTAGTGACAAGGCCTTTTAGGATTACAGATAAAACAAATCGGAAACCATAAGAAAACTGAATAAGTAACTTGAAGTACCTCAGTTTCAAATCTTCGACCAATCAAATTCACAGCTTGTTCAAGCATGGTTACATCAACATCCCCATTAGGTAGTGGGACAACCATATTATCCAACATTATTCGGGTCAAGGAAGTCTTTGTTTGAGATGCATAATCCAATACCTTGTCTACCTCCTCAATTGTCCGGGTCTCAACCTGGGAATTAAATCCAAATACACGTTTAATGATTTCAGTCACCAGGAAATCTTATCCCGTCCATCTGTTTTATTGGTGAGCAAAATGATCATTCATGCACATGTCCACATAAGCACACACAAACATGAGAGAGAGAGAGAGAGAGAGAGAGAGAGAGAGAGAGAGCTAAGCATTCTGTAACAGATTGCAAACTAAATGCAGGGCATATCAACTTATATCAATGTCTGTAAAAACTTAGAGTTAACAAAGGATGTTTTTATCATGAATCATGTGATGAATTGCAAAAAAAAAAAGGTTTGACAGGATTTAAAGGTAGTATAGATCTTAGAAGTTGCAAAATTACCTCAACCTCCAACTGGAGATTCCTTTGCTCTAAATACAGGTCTACAGATTTGAGGGCATTTGTGATGCCTCCAGCTATTGATATATGATTATCTTTTATCATTACCATATCAAATAAACCCATTCTGTGATTTCGACCTCCGCCAATGAGTACCTACGACAAGAGGTTTTCATTAAGATTGAGAAAAAACATATCACTAACCAAAACATGTTGGAGTGTAGTAGAAGCAAGGATCTACACCGCCCACTTGTCCACCAAACGTAAACCTGGAGCAGTTTTTCTTGTCTCTAAAATACGTGCAGGGCTTGCAAGATCTGCCATTGCCTGCTCACACACACACACACACAAACATTGGAAACATCTTCTTTACACAGCCAAAAAATATGGAATATTTATACACATTCAATAGGCATAACACGAGTCAAGTTATTTTTCTCTCATCTACCACCCTCTTTTGAGTTTTATCATTAATTTCATTATTTTACAGCCTCTAAAAGCATCATGCTCAGTGTGGCTCTGCACACAGCATTAAATATATGTGTGTTATTGGTAAAAGTTGTGAGCGTTCTGTTATTATCAAAATATAGTCTTAAGTTTGTCATATATCAGCAACAACTGACAAAAAGGAAAACAAGGTTAATCTCTTTTAAGAATATAGACAAGGCTAAGTAGTTGGTTTATAAATACAAATTATCCTAAATCCTTCTGAAGAGATTGTTTATTGCATTTATATGTTTTGATTAAAATATTTAGCACAAACCAGTAGTTGTTGTAACGGCATGCCCCCAAATTATGTTCTCTAATGTTATTCATTATAGTTTAGGATAGCCTATTCATTGATTTTATTTACAGAAGGCAAAGAGGGAAACAAGAATACCTTAGTTAAAGTTGCTACTCCACTCATCCTCTGCATAAAATTCAGTGCTACCCTCTCAGCTACAACAATGCTGTGTGCTCGTCCTGCATATCAATTTGTTAAATTCTAAAGGAATTTTCAAAAACTCCTAAAATTTCTACACATTCTGGTTTACCATAAACTCTTCCAAAATCTAGGCCTTTATGTACAGAGTCTCCATCCTTTTGTGACCACTCAACCTGTATCGAGATGTAAACCACTAATGATTGGACATGAAGAACAAAAACATTCCAAGCACACAAAGTCCAGTCCTTTATACCTTCAGAGAAGGATCCACTTCATGAAACACCATCTCTGCAAGTGAAATTCCAGCAATTATACCATTCTCCTTTGCCAAAAAATGGGCTTCTACTTCCATATCAGATGGAATGGTAGCCAGACATGTCACGTCACCTACAATTGAAGCAACAATATTTAAAATATTTTTTTGAACATGAAGCTGCCCATTCATATATCCTCGATTTAGTAGCATTTCATATAAAAAACAATATACAGGAATCAGATCTCAATATTAAAACCACTTGAAATTGGTGCTTTGGGAAAAACAGAAGAACCACTTAAAACAAGAAATAATGCAAACCTCGATCCCCAGCATCTTCAGAAAGTGCCGACTTGATAATACCCCACAAATCATAGGTGGGATGTGAAGGAGGCTTTATTGGCAAGGATTCAAATGATATTCTGGTATTTTCAGTTTGAGTTGCAGACATTCTAACAATGTTCCTGCAAGGGTTCAGACAAGTCAAATGATTGCACAACAGCTGTCTAATATGCCATCAACTATGAACATAAACAAAACTTGAATCTGCATTAAAGAAGAACAATAAAAGGATAAAAAGAGTTGGAAGAAAATATAAGTTTATAACAAATTTAAGACGTCTGAATCTCTTAAGTATTGGTGACCCCTTAAATTCAAAGAACAAAGTTTCTTCATCAAATCACAAAATGTGATGAGCAAAGTTACACTTTCCCTCGTTCCTGAGCTTGACAATGGTTTTAGGGAGTGCATTATTCAACATCATCACAGTTAACTTGTCTCGTCATGATGCTAATAACCATTAGATAAAGTAATTGTGTAGTCTATATCACTATAGCAAAACTTGCAAAAAGCAGTAGGCTAACAAGAACAAACCACACAACCTAGGAACTGCAATGGGCAGAGCAATACAAACTGAAATAGATAAACGGGAATCGGGATATTAACGTAACCTGCCATCCTTAGTACTCTTTCTATAACCAATAAACTATCAAACAAATATTGTTTGGTATTTGAGATAGTGTGAAAAACTAAAAATGAAGATGCAATTGAGTTGCTTGGGCCCATTCCCAGATAGTTTCCTGAAATTGGATGGTGCCAGACATAAGTTTAAACAGCAGCATACAGCATAATTCCATAGTACACCATGAATTACGACTAGTAGTTCAAAAAAAGAGAGGTCACAAATCCGAAGAATACAACAAATTGAATGAGACACACCTTTACTTTGCGCATGATAAATGATAACACAGAAAGAAAAAAAGTATTGAAAGTATGGCGGGGATGGAGGAGGGTATTACCTGATTGGCGATCGAAAGCGGAAGCCGAGGGGAGGGTCGTAGAGAATCCCGGTTGCAGAGGAAGCGTTGCACGAGTTTTGCAGAGAGAAACAACGAGAGGCAGAGCCCATCTCCTTAAAGTTCCTACAAATTAAAACGAACACATCACTCAAACCAAAGCAAAACTTATCAGAACAGAACACAACGCCCAAAACTCAAACACTCTCTTTCAGTAGCCACTCAAAAACAAAATACGACAAAAAAAAACCTCATTTTACAAAACAGAAAAGGGTGGTGATTTTTCCACTTCCCTTTTATCCGCTTATACTCTTTTTTGCTTTTTAATAATTTTTACTATTACAAAAAAGGGAGTGTAAGTGGATAAAAGAGGAGTGGAAATATACAATTTCTAACAAAGAGAATGTAAGGAGATAAAAAAAGTGGTGCATTTTTTCTCACCAGCTTAACCCTAGGTGTACCCTCACCATTAGGGCTCGTCAATGGGCCGGGCTTTAAAGACGAGAGAGAAAATATCGGGCCGGGCCAGGCTGGGTTTTTTTAGAAAATTCAAAGCCCAAGCCCGACCCATAGGTCGGGCTTGAGAAAGCCCATTGGGTCGGGCTGGGCTAAGCTCAACGGGCCGGGCCGAAACGGGCCTACTTCATTTGAAAAAAATCATAAACTTAATCATAAGGACATTTTAGTCTAAATTTGAGATTAACCTCACTTAATTCCAATATTTTCACATCAAACCAAATTCATAAAATACCCAATAAAGTCACACAACTTAATAAGATTTTCCACAAAAATAATAAAACAAAGTATTATTTGTGAGGTTATTACATAATTAGACCGTAATACGTTTTAAGAAATAATTTTAAAAAATAATAAGTATCAAAAAGATATTTTTTTTAAAGGATGGTATAAATAAATATGTAAATGTTTGGTGATGTGTTCAAGAAAAACATGATTATATTTGGTGGTAGTAGTACGATTATGTTTCGTGATATGATTATATTTAGTGATATGATATATTGTTCATCTTATTTATATATATATATATAATTGTTGTATTAATAATTGACACAAATTAATGTGTTAATCATCCAATTATAAATTAGGAATGAGTAAAGAAAAGTAAATGAAATGAAACAAATTATATATGTGATTTAAGTGATATAATCCTAATCCTAAACTCTTATTTATACATAATTATATATGTATGCGGGCCTAACGGGCCGGGCTTTTGTGGGTGGGCCGGGCCGGGCCTTTTTAGGCTTAATCGGGCCGGGCTTCAGACACCCAAGCCCAAGCCTAGCCCGGCCCAAGGCGGGCCGGGCCATCCCAAAGCCCATAACGGGCCGGGCCGGGTTTTTTTCCAATGGGCCGGGCGGGCCCCCATCGGCCCATGAGCCCGCGGGCCAAATGATGAGGCCTACTCACCATCCCTCTCAAAAGTTGACACATGTCCATTGGTTTAACTATAGTTAATTTTTTATTTTTTATTTATTTGATAACATTATTATGACACCTAGCAAACTTTCCCCTTTTCTAAATTAATTAACAACTACCCAAATAAATAATTGGCAATTGGCTTTATATCCCGTGCTCTAATATGAATATCGATTCACAGGCTTCAATACTTTGAAGAACACACTCAGATACTTTTGAATCTCAATTGGCTTTAGTTAACTCCTTTTATAACTAAACAAGCCCAAAAGTTACATTACTCTTCAATATATTATTACGTTGCAATTTCTCAATATCCTTGAACCTGTTTTCTTTCTTCAACCGATGAGTTAATTATGATGTTGCAAGTTTCCAACCAATTAATTTTAACGTTGCAAGTTCTGGACTAATTAATTCTGGTTTTATTATTTTGAATAAAGCTTACTCCATAGGAGCAAAATATATTGGAGTTGCATAAATTCCAAAAACGACGAAGGAACCAAGCTCTGCAATAATACCCTTCATTGTCTCATTCCTCTGGCTCTGCAGTACAGTTCATTCTATCATTCCTTTCTGTGCTAGTCTTGATCCACCAGTAAAGACGATACCAACATCATGAACTAAAAAAACTAAATAACGCAGAGCAATCACCAAAGTATAAAAAATAATCAAGCAATACAAAGTACTAAAAAAAAAAGTAAAAAAAGCAGCATAGATTATTACCTATCTTTCACTGAGCAAATGGAGGAAGCTTGCAATTGAAGAGCAGCATAGATTATTATTTGGGTAGTTGTTAATTAATTTAGAAAAGTGGAAAGTTTGCTAGTTTAATAAGGGTAAATCAAGAAAAATCTTATTGAAGTATTGTTTCTCTCTCATAATAATGTTATCAAATAAATAAAAAATAAGAATTAATTATAGTTAAACCCATGGACATATGTCAACTTTTGGGAGAGGTGGTGAGGGTACACCTAGGGTTAAGGTGGCGAGCAAAAATGCACCCTAAAAAAAGAGTGGGAAAATTAGCTCTCAACAGAAAATAATCATAAGATAAAGTATAAAAGTCAGCAACTTGGCAGTGGCGGATCCAGGATTTAAAAGTCAAGTAGGCGAAACTTATCTTAAAACTAGACGGTACGAGTGAATTTTATTCATAAAAATAAAAAGATACACCTAGTCATGGGGGACGTAATGAGCCCATACTTGTCTCAAATTCCTCAGAATCCAACAACTCTTTGAGTTCAACTTTTCGAATTAAATTTAACTCATTACGGGGCTTAGCAAAAGCATTAACAAAATTCACAATGTTAGTCAACATTGAAAAAAATATCCGTACAACTTTCACATGCTTATATTGCTTTTTATTGTTTTTGTTAAAGGAGAAAGTTTGAGTGGGTTGGGCTATTGTTTTGTTAAAGGGAAAAATTTGAGTGGGTTGGGTTTGAGTAGGCAGAAGAAATTTAATTGTATTGGGTAATTTTTGGTTTGGCAAAAAATGAAGTAGGCGGTTGCCTACCCTGTCCTTAGGGTAGGATTGCCCTTGGTAGGTTGGGTTTGAGTAGGCAGAAAAAATTTAATTGTATTGCATATTGGGTAATTTTTGATTTGGCAAAAAATGAAGTAGGCGGTTGCCTACCCTATCTTTAGGGTAGGATCGCCTTTGGTAGGTTGGGTTTCAGTAGGCAGAAGAAATTTAATTGTATTGGATATTGGGTAATTTTTGGTTTGGCAAAAAATGGAGTAGGCGGCTGCCTACCCTGCCCTTAGGGCAGGACCGCCCCTGGCATCCTTTTTTTTTCTTTTTTTTTTTTTTTTTTTTTTTTTTTTTTTTTTCTTGATGAAATTGCAAATGGCTTTTTCAGTTATGCAAACTTTTATATTGAATTTCAGACACAAAAGGAAAACACTTTATGCTTAAATAAATCACATTTGGAAAACAAAGATGATCTTATTCACCAAGTAATAAATATGACCCGAGGAAGTTTTTAACACTAGCAATTTGAGAATGACAAGATGTCACGGAGTTGTAGCCGGTAGGGCATATTATTATATATTTGGCTCTTGGCATATGTGTTTTTTTTTTTTTTTTTTTTTTTTTTTGAATTAAAAAAGATAACGAGTAGTTGTGTTTTATAAAAATACGATCCATTATCTTATTTTTCTCTTTTTTTTTAATTTTTTAATATGAAAAAATGTAAATTTACCACATTATCATCGTTTAATTAATAATTTCAATTCCTAATGTTTGCGGACATTTTCTGGTATTTTGAATGTTTTATTATTCTCTGTCTTGGCACATGTGTAAGCTTATTTGAGATATCCCTCAATAGAAGCTATCTGTATATATATCTATATATATTGGTCTACTTCAATGGCTTATGGCGATTTTTCAAATTTTTTTTTTTTTAACACGTGACGGATTTTGAAGATTGTTTGGCAAAAAATAACCTGATTTTATATCAAACAACATCCAAATCATGACGTAGTTTGTAGGCACTTTCTTGGAACCCTGCCAAGAGGCAGGCTGTTGGCAGTTTTCATCATACAATTGTCACGTTTTACATACCATATACAGCCCAGACCACGCCAAACTGCTAGTTATACTAAATCTATAGGACTCTGCCTGGAGTCTCTCTCATGAACCAACAACTTAGGAGGGAAAACAACATGCTAGGCCAGACGAAGACCAAGACGCTGCTTATGACTGTTTTCTTTTCGACTCTTTAGTTTTAGGCAGTGGCGGGCGGGTCAAGAATTCGAAGGCCGAATGGCCAAAACTTACATATTAAATTCAACGAGTGAATTTATTAATAAACATAAAAGAAAAAAAAATATATATATATATATATATATAGACTTAATGAGCCTTACCCTAAAATGCATCTCTATACATACCAACAATTTTTTTATGTAGAAAGAATTTTAATAAAAAATAACAACAAAAAATCAAACAATTTGTCATAGAGCATCTCAAAAATATCAACAACAAATCAAACCTCTCAACAAAATTCCTAAAATCAAAGCCTTAATTAATTTTTAATAAAATCCCTAAATTATAATTTATCCCTAATTAATTCTTAAAATACTCAATTTTAAATTAAAACTATAATTATATATAGAAGATGAGAGAATGAGTAGAATACTTTTGTTGACAATGAGAATGCGAAGATGTTGTTGCCCACCCAAGAAGAGAGAGAGAGAGAGAGAGAGAGAGTTGGGCTGGACTTATAACATATGTAGGTGTTTTTTTGTTTTAAAAAAACATTTGGAATGGGCGGGTACCCACAGAACCACCCCTGGTTTTAGGTACATAAACAAATATTAGCAGGAGCTGTAATGATAAGCCCATGTAGAGTTGGTTTTGCTTAAGTTACTATCCACAAAGTACAAGGCATAGTTAGTCAAAACATGTTTCGAAGACTTCTCATCATACTTTTATAACTTGGGGAGCATCTTCTTAATCTTTATTGTGGCTCTTTCATTTCCCATTTGTTTGTGCGTGGCAAAGGGTCGATTGTCGCGCATGAGTTTTGCTTTGAATAAAATGATATTTGGTGTTAGTGGTGCATGCACAATTAATTTGAACTTGAATATATCTAATCTATTAACTACTGTGTTTTCCAAAATGGCTGCTATTGCATCGTTCAACTTATTGACAATCATTCACGGCGTTCAAAAACAACACAATACTAATTCTACACTCGAGAGCACCCTTTGTTCATTGGCGTTGAATCTCATAAAAAAAACATCCAAATTCTGGTTTTTTTAATCTCTTGGGTCAGAAATTCTAACAGTCTTAGTCCAATACGTACGGCACTCAACTTCTCCCTCAGCCTCTCATCTCATCATCCCTGTAGTCCTATATAAACTAAATAGCATCTCTAATCTTGAATAAATAAAAAAGAGCTGCGACATGTTATAAAGTTGAGAGGAAGATATCAGATATTAGAAATCACCACATTTCCATAATGTCATCTCCAACGAGATTGTTAGGGGTTATTCTTCTGGTTCTGCTTTTGGTGGGAATGGCATCAATGGGAAGTTGCAGCAGAGTTTTGAAGGAAGTGGAATTTAAAAGATCGATTCAAGGCATGCTTCCAAGAGGGCCAGTGCCTCCTTCGGGACCTTCTCCATGTCATAACAAGCTCAGCCCCTACCGGCACACGGAGCAATCTTATCAAGAAGATTATGTCATATGTCCATAATTAACCCCACAAGTCCACGGCAAAACCAAAAGCAGTACTTTTATTTTCTTCCTTATTCTTTTCAATTTATTTCTGGGAAATTAGTGATTTTATCTGTGCAGAGTTGGAAGTATAGTTATAGTTTCCACTTCCAAGAGGTTATTGGAATTCAGATACAAAGTGGAGGGCAAGTTTCGAGCACCTTCTGTTTGATTTCATCTTAATGTAGAAAACATACCAGCTGTTTTAGAATTGTATTTGTTGGAAGCACATGTACACCTCCTCAGAATGTATAGACATATATATATATATATACCTTTTCAATGTTTCAGCTTCTGCCTGTGTGCATGAATCATGATGATATGATACAGTATTTTCTGACTTTTAGCGAAATGAAGAAAACAGAGGAAGAAGCAAGTTGCTAGGCTAGGGCGCAAAGAGAACGTCAAGAAATTGTTTTCACTGTGTCTGTCTGGATACGGCCCAAAGTTGTGAAGTATTTATGTCCGGCCCATTATATGGGCTGTATTGAATTTTGGATATTTTTGATGAGGAGATAAAGTGAGAATGTTTCAGAAAGAAGAGAATATGAAGAAATGAAGCTCACTCTCGCCATTAAAATATCAATATTCTTCTGCCAATAATTATAATAATTTATATTTGTCCTCTTCTTTGTTAACATTTGCTCGCCAACCAAGTCTCAGTCTAAGCCTTGAATTTATTGCATGTATAAAACTATCAGAATAAATTAATAATTTCTCCCAATTTAGAGTACAAGTATAAAGGTAAATATGAAAAAAGACAATGCGACAAATAATATTATTGGGCTAAAAGTCAGTGTGTAATGATTTTGGCTCCCAATATAAAGCTAGTACTAAACCCACCATCTCGGGTTCCATTATGGGAATTCCATGAATGAACCGTCCAAAATCAATGGACCCGTTTACTTAAAGCTACGTTGACGGTAGTCTACCACCATTGTCTCATCCATCCTTCCTTTATTTTTTTGGTCAAGAAAAAAAAAAATCCGTCCGTCTTTTAACAAAAAATATTATTAGCTAGGGAAGAAAACAGAATTTGGTTGTCATCAATTAAAATATATATAATCAAGAAAACAAAGCTAACGATTCACGGAGCCGTTGGATTTTACGTTTTTTATTTTTAGGAACTAATCGTTGTAGTTTTCATATAGCGATGATGAAAAGGTTCGTACTGAGGGTTCTGATTTGAAATACTAAAACCGGTGATGAGAAAGAGACGTGAGGAAAAATGTGTTAGACATGTAGACCCAACAAACACGAAGCCAATATATATGGTAGTTGGTTGGTGGGGGCTGTGTTCCATGTGGGGCTGGTACAGTTTCATTTGCAAGTTTCTCCACACCAAACAAAACAAAGGCACTGTGTCTTACATATGAAATAATGAAACCCAACTTCAAAATCAAAATAATATGAAAATTATAATCTGATGCACAAACCAAAGCTCTCTGCAGTGGAAGGCGCATGATATGCAGTTTTTATTTGAACCTTTGATGTTAACATCCCCACCCACTTCTATATATATAATAAGTTAAGTCCATTGAATTGTCGATATATGCGTGCGTCAGCTATCAACTTTTTGCCACTCTCTTTCCCCCCCTCCCCAAAAACAAAAAAAAGAGCCAAATTCTCTCTTCCTCCAACTAGATTGATGCGTTCGTCAGCTATAATAAGTTTATAATTGGGAGTGATACCAAATTCTCTCTTGCTCCAACTTGATAGATACTTCAACATTTCAAGCAAATAGTGGATGTATGGCAGGATTTACACTGGAACGGTGGAAACTTTTTAGGACTTCTTCGAAATAGGTCCATTTTCACTAAGATATAATGAATGGAGGACACCAATTGTCTATTGTAGATTGCAATCTACAAATTCAGTCATGTGTGAAAGTAAGTATATTTTATGTCCACAAAAGTTGAGATATGCCATTAAAGTGAAAAGGTAAATGCATCAAACATGCTTCTTTAATGCAGAGGCTTTTGGGTTTCAATTTAACGTTGGATACTACAAATTTGGAGTACTCGTCAATTACAGCCCAGCTGTTATAGCCTATATATAGGTAAGGCTGTGAGGCGTATACCTACCTGTAATAGTATAGGTGAAGTTTGGGTGAAAATACCTGAAGCATATATGAGTTCCAAAAAATTATATATAATATATTACCTGAAGCATGAGAAGTGTGCGTCCCTCTGGATGCAAATGAGTGCTGGGATCATATATATAATATATAATAAGTGCTGGGTCCAACCCTAAACCCTTATTACCATATTAAGTAAGTAATATATATATATATATATATATATAATATAGGCCCCGGTAAGAGAGAATAATAGTTAAGTGTAGGCTCCATATAGGAAGTTAGGAAGTTAGGAACTGTACTTAGTGGATTGGGTAATTGGTTAATTATTTCCTTTCCCTTTTTGATCGCATCCTCTGAGTCTTAGGGGATCCGGATCCCCACATTATTTAACTCTGCTTACCCTCTTGTTTTAGGAGACCTCACCCACCCAGCAGCCAAGCATTCTCGTTATTATTTTTTGAGATGTTAGGTGAAATGCTCGTGTAACTCATATATTCTAAACAGTAACTCATCTATTTTATAATCTTCAATTAAAATCCAAATTTAAAATAAGCTACCATTTATCCTATTGTTTTTAACTATTTTACAATTAATGCCATCCAACTATATGGCATTAAAACGTAAATTTTTACCATCTTAATTAATAATTAATGTAAATTATTAGCGATGTCAAAAAAATAAATTTGTAATGGACTTAATCAATACTAATGCCAACCATGAAAGTTGCAATGTAATTACATATACAAGCAATAGCAATACACCTACAGAAATAAGATCATAATACACTTACTGCATACAAAATAAATAAATAAATAAAACTTTTTTTGGGTTAAATAATCCGATTAGGTATGGCAAATATGAATTTATTGTTAAATTTTAAAAAAGTTTCCAACTTGATTCCTACATCCATTTGGAAATCTTTCCAAATTCAAGTGTGTCATTAGTAACAATCCAATTAAAAATTGTTTCTATATTAGTTCCTACATTAATATACAAAATGCAATAAGGTTTGGTTGGGGGTATTTTAGGAATTGAAAAAGTATAATAAATTCGATTTTGCGCTTGATTAGGTAACTTGCTGAGTTGGATCCTAGTGATCATGATTTATTTAGAAAAAACATGATTTTATTCAAACAAAAATAAAGAGAGGGATTGTAGTTGAGGAAAAATTACTTTCAAAGAATTAAGTTAAATTGACTATTATTTGTTTCTTGCCATGATTAATTTATTCACATTCGTTGGAAGATGCCAGAAAAAAGAAAATCATGTATAGCTTTTCCAAGAGGATTTTAGATGCTTTATTGCAGTCTAGTTATCTATTTGAATTGCCACCATTTTTTAAGCAATGTATTCAATTTTTGTTGGAAGATGCCTCATGAATCATTTATATTAGGATTATTTATTGTTTTACTCCTTGAAACGGGCGCTCGGTCTCATTTTATCCTATAAAATTGAAATTTTCTCACTTAACATCCAAAATCTCTTAAAATTGCTGGAAGTTTCTCACTTTATCATTTCCGTTCATTTCCATCCACAAAACCGTTAAGGCCTCGTTTGGTTAATGGGAAATGAGACTTTGAGATGGGAAATCAATTGATTTCCCATGTTTGGTAAGTTAAGTTATAGGAAATCGTTGCCTGGCCAATAGTAAGGGAGAAAATGAAGTCATTCTCCCAACTTGGGTTTTGTTTTCCCTCATCATGGAAAAATTTGGGAAAATGAGCCATATTAAATAAATATTTTTCATAACCATTTTGTCCCCATTAACAATTTTGAATTACAATATATCATTAAATGCATTCTTTTTTTATTTGATTTAACATGGGTATAATTGAAAATTTATACAAACTTGGTTTTCATTCATACTCAAAACAAACATGGGGAATGAAATAAAGTGATATCTCTCGGTTACTTTCCTAGCATTACCAAACGTAGGAAAGGAATCTTCAATTTCCCATTCCTTGGGAAACGACATGGGAAATAATTTTCCCTCAAATTTTTTTAGTGAACCAAAAGAGACCTAAGTGTGCTAATGCGGCATAGGCATTTTAGTAATTGTAGATATTAAAAACTTTAAAATCTAAATTAGTTATTAAAAAAAAATTACTGATTTTAAATCCTTCAGGAAGTACAACAATAATTAAGCTTTTATATTATATATATACCATCAACTTTTGACTGCATGCAATCCATGTGTTAATGTCCTCAGCATAGTCTAAAATATCGATAATATCGACGAAATATTGGGGATATTGTCATTTTTTCGAGTCACTGATATTTCAGAACGTATCCATACACATATCTAATAAATATCGATAATATCGGAAAATATTGATGTCGATAATTTCGCTCACACTTCAGTAATATTTTGTCAAAATATCGCTATAATATCGAAAATATCGATGTAATGAAAAAAGAAAGGAAAAAAAAACACAAAGCACACACACAAAGGGGATTCAAACCCCTAGCATTTCATTCCTCGAACGCCTTAACCACCACCATGTTACTTATATTTTTGTGTTAATATGCTAAAATATGTACATTTATATTGTTTTGTTTCCCTGCGAGAATTAGATTTTTACATGAGAATGTGAGTCTTTGACCTTTCCTTTTGAGATAGAATCAAGCGGCTCATGGAAAGAATCTGAGACCCAATCTTCAAATGATTTTCCTTATGGACAACATCAACCAATCTCAAATCTATACGGATGGCATGTTAACAATTACAGGCAAAACTATTTTGGAGATTTATCATTTGATGACTACTCTTCATAATACACTTACTATACCCACAAAGATGATAAAGATAGTGAAAATTTTGAATATCATAAGAACTTTATGTGGTACTAAGTCACTCATGTATCTTACCATGCAATGTATAAAGTGTAAAATATTGTAGT